GAAGTCATAGCATGTCTGCACGAGGAAGTCATAAAATAACACAGCAAGATGAACGAAGCTATGTATGACATGAATAATCTCATAATCTAAAGAGTCCTAACAGACAGAATAGCCTGTGTGGCCCCGCCATGAACGCCCCCGACTTGTCGGTACTTTCTTGATCCTTCTTTACATCTGGCCGATCCCCTAGGATTAACTTCCACCTGCTGATTTCCTGTTTTTAAGTAAAGCACTATACATTTCTATAACGAATCACATGGTTTTTAAAGGTAATGCCTTTTCGGTATCACATCAAGAAAATAATTACAGGGAAAGGAAAGGGCTGGCCGAGGTGGCTCGGCTGGTAAAGGAGCTTGCTGCCAAGCCCGAAGATCCCAGTTCAATCCCTGGGTCCTCTGTGTCAAAAGAAAAGACCTTCCTACCACAGGGTGTGCTCTGGCCCACACACACGTGCTATGGCATGCATGTATGCTCCATGACACACACATTTTTAAAAAAAATGTTGGTCAGGCAGTGGTGGTGCATGGCACATGCCTTTAATCCCAGCACTCGAGAGGCAGAGGCAGCTGGATCTCTGTGAGTTCCAGGACAGTCTCCAAAGCTACACAGAGAAACCCTGTTTTGAAAAAATAAACAACAACAAAAAAGTAGAAGAGGGGAAGAAAAATGTTTAATTTTAATAAAATTTTAAGAAATGTGGAAATTAAATATAAAATATAAATAAATATAAAATATAAAATAATTACAACACATAATTAAGATTTTATTCCATATACATATGGAATATATATATATATATATATATATATATACATATATATATTTGGAAATCATTCAAAAATAGAAGCACCAAGTAAAACGAACAAACAAGTAGATAGAAAGAGAAGAAATGAAAATGTTCATTTCTAGGAAATATTGCATGAGTTGGGTTCCCTGGACAACAGCTCTGAGATGGAGTTTACCTATGGTTTGTTTATCTGAGGCCGCCATGAGGAATAGTATCTATATGGGAGGACCAGGGCTAAGCAGAAATAAACCTAAACCAGGGTTTCTAAACTTGTGGGTCGTGACCCCCTCATAGGCCAAATGGTTTTCCACAGAGTTTGCTTAAGACCATTGGAAAACCCAGACACTTAATTTTGAGATTCGTAACAGCAGTAAAATCACAGGTATGAAGTAGCAATGAAAAACATTCTATGGTTGGGGGTCACCACACCATGGGGAACTACATTAAAGGGTTGTGGCATTAGGAAGGTTGAGAGTCACTGTCCCTCTAAGGTCCCAGTTCATTAAACTGAGCACCCATACCCCTGCATCAACCAATCAGAAGACGAGAAGGCCACTTTAAACGAGACAAGAAACGCCTTGTGCCTATTAAAAACACAGATTCCAGGTGTGCACCCCCTGGCCAGATGCATCCTCTAAATCTTCAAGGCCTGAATTGTTTCTAAATGCCCCACGTTGTTCTCTTGGGCCTCAGTTAAGGAGTTTCTGCCACGAGGATGCTATCCTTTGTCTTCTGGGACCCTTTATTTCAAACCCCGTGAAAGTGGCCATGTTTGGACACCGGTAGTTGCTTAACTCCTTGCAGAAGCAAAGATTTTAAAGTAATAAGTCAACAGTACATGCAGATTGGCGATGGATTTATCTGAAGGCTAGATTTGTAGTTGTTTGCTATTGACATTGTCCCATATTTCTTTTCCTGCTTCTTATAAAATAGACCATAATCTTTTAACTTTCAAATTTATTTTTTCTATTTTACTAGGAGCAAATACATTTTCATTCAAAACTATGTTTCTTTTTACCTGCCAAAAAGAAGCATATAATCACTGTAGTTCCCATTATTCCTTGCTTGAAGAAACAAGAGAGAGAGAAAGAGGGAAAAGTGTTTTCTGAAAATCTGAATATAAATCCAGAGGAAATGTGATAAGAGCTAAGACTGATCCTGTCGGAGTAAGAAAACGGGACTTTATTTTTTTAATGGATCCGGGAAGGAATAATATCTTTAAACACAGATACAGTTTGTTATTTTTAAATAGTAATATGTTAAGTCAAGAAATAGATGTGTTTGCATTCTGGCGTTTATTGAATTACAGAAGTTAAAATGTAAACTTTATGTTTACGCTTAAAATGCAAGGAAAGAAAAAAAAGGAAATCTCGCAGACATTAGCACTTTTGTCCATCTTTATTCTAGTAGTAATGTTTATTATTTTAGATACGCAGTATCTATTTTAGATTATTTTTGAGTCCTTCAAGTAAAAGAACATGATTTTAAATGGAAGACTAGTTACAGTAGCGTGAAAGCAACTCTGCAGTGAACAGTGTGTCCATGAAGGTGTTGAGGAACCAAAGGCCTCAGCATTTCTTCTCTGCCGTAAGGACTATGGCTGGTGGTACACAACACTGGGTGCACTGGTATCAGCGTGGCGGGAGTGTGCTCCCGTGTCTATTCTAAGGCAGGAGTAAGAGGCTGTGGGAAGTGGCTTCTCAGAGAGGGCAGTTCTAATTCCACTTACAAAATTATGGAATTAATTTGGGGCATGGAGAAAATACTATTTCCTGTTTAATCCCACTTTTCAAACCACTTTATATGTATTAAGCTACAAATAACCAGCAAGGATTTATACAGTATAGTACGTTTAACATGTCAATTAGCTTCCCAATACTCTAAGAACGTACTAATAATTTAAATGTAATATGAAACGAATTATAATCATAATCTATTCTGGACTATTGAATAAATGTAATAAAAAGTAACAAATGACAATAAAAATTTAAGATATTATTATTCAATAGCAACTAACAAACTAAAAAATCTCTTATTTTTAAAATAACTATCTAATGAATATTGCATTGGCATTTGGTGCCAAGAGGAGGGAGACGTAGTCTCAAATACTGATGGCAAAATGCAGAGAAAGAATTAGTAAAAGCAGCTGGGCGCTCTGTGAGTTCGAGTCCAGCCTGGTCTATAGAGCAAGTTCTAGGACAGGTTCCAAAGTAATACAAAGAAACCCTGTCTTGAAAAACCAAAAAAAAAAAAAAAAACACCCTACCATATAAGTACTGATATTTGGCCCCACAGCCCTGGCCAGTGTGCTCTCTTTTCCTCCTAGACACTGAGAGTAGCTAAAGGGAGGACCTGCTGGAGGATGCAAAGATAACACCTGGTTGGATTTCCTTTGTTTAAAACTGTGCAGCCCTAACAGAAACCTGCCATGCAACCATTTTTAGCGTGATATGCCTGCAGACCTTCTGATAAGTCAATAGTGATCATTTTTCTAAATTTTATTGAATATTTTGCTCTAAAACATCACCTCCTTCCCTGCCTCCCACTCACATCACATCATTGACGTGAGCAAATGGTCCAATGTGCCTTTGTTGTCTGGTAAATTCCACCAGCAGGGTTTCTGAAAACCATTCTCCTAGTACTCATTTTCCTTCCCTGAGCTCACACTTGTCCTAAGTAATGAAGACGAGCTGAACATTGTCCTACATGAGGCGTCTAAACAGTGAAATCAGGAAAGGGATTACTACTCTAAGAATGGCAGAGTCACCAGCAGAGCCTAGGATGCACCACCCACCCCCAGCAACAAGTGGGAGCCAAATGTGCCCAGCGCTTTGTTGACTTATTAACAAAGTTTAATTAAGTAGCTTTTCCGGCAGGTGCAGCAAATGCTTGACTTGTGAGAATGTAACAAGTGCTATCAGTAGAAGCCAGCTTGGAGGGAGGGAATTGTGTCAGCAGCAATACAAGGCTTAACAAGACAGGAATGATGGCAGCTGCGTACAGAGTGGTGAACTACACATGCAGCTGATAGGCAGCTCTAGACACGGTACTCTGCGCCCTGCTCCATCTACCCTGAAGTTCGCCACAAACACCCTTCCTTGCAGTATGCTTTGCTGCCTCTGGGAGTCAGTGCTGCTGGAGTGAGGAGGTGGATGTACATCCCAAGTCCTCAGCAGGGGGAGGCTAGCTCAGAATCACATTCTACAGGTCCTCAGAGAGCTGTCAGCCTGACCGGGGCCCCTGGGAACCACGGCAACAGTACTCTCTCTGTGGAGTGGTCCCTGGTCCCCCTTTGGCTCTCCTGATCCCTGTCACATCACCATCATCTGTTAGTGCTTACCAGAACCATCTAAGTAAATCAGCTACCACAAGCATGCTTGTATGTGGGGGAAAACAAAAGCAGTCATCCAAGACAGAAATTCCGAGACACTCATCAGCACTAGGCAATGGCTTTTATGATGGCAGACAGGAGCTTTCCATACCACATGTGCCTGGCCAGCAGGCAATTCAGGAACATCTGTCTCATCTGTGGCCCAGAGGAAATGTGCTATGTATCACTGCCTCCTTGCAGTATGTTTAGAGGAAGTCAACGGAAAGACTAAAGTTACCCACGGAGTTCCGTAGGCAATAGGAAGTACCAAGACAAGAATGATAAAGACTTAGAGGGAGCAAGAGGAGTTGATGCCTGGAAATACGTGGTGCCCCAGAGGCTTCAATACAAACAATAGTGGCACAGGGTTTCTCCTCTGGGGTTAGGGATGTGGCTCTGACCGCGTTCGTTCAATATCAAGGAAAATGGTGAAGCGGATGGAAGACTTGGGAATATGAAGATGGCCCATGTGATCCTCACAGTTACCAGTCCTTGGAAAGTCCTTCTCTGGGGTGCGGTGAAGTCAGAGAGACTATGTGAGCCCCCTTCGTGGAGGGTGATGGCTGGCATGTGGCCTGGATAAAAGAGGTACTAGTCACAGTTCGGAGGAGGCGGGGTAGCCGTCAGTGGGTAGCCTGGACTGGGCTGGTTGGGGGGTGGGATGGGGATTGGGAGACGTTGACAGTTACTCTGAACTCTGAAGGACCTGGATGATATGCACATGTGAGACTGTGAGACAGAGGCTGTCCAGGGACACAATAGCATGAGTGCTCTCAAATGAGTTTTGTGCCTCATATTTTTAAATACATGCATTAATTTTATATATTAGCAAATGAATACAAGGACAAAATTGGTTTTTAATTGAGAAAAAAATGTGCATGCTGTATTCAGAAAAGCAAATGTATGAGCCACAATATGATTAATTATTTCATACACTTAAAACACGATGCTTTAGTGGATTGGTCTAACCAGACATTTATCAGCACGGCCATTGGTGCCAAAGTGACAAGAGGTGCTAAATGCAGGCGATCTGTTTTGACACTGAGGTTAGGAAACCATCCTGAGATCATAACTCCGGGGCAGTTTGTTTTGCCTTTTCTATCTGCAGCTCTAACAGTTCAATCTCCAGAGACAGTTTATATACCTCCAGTGCCATCTTCACGTCAGCTGAACTTGGCAGACATTGCATGAATCTCTTGCCTGCAAACACAGGCTCACAGTCTTTCGCCTGGAAGAGATGTAGGTTTGGGTAGCAGTGAGTGGCTTCCGATGACCAAGAAATACCGCAACATTATATTACACGGTGTAGAAAAGTAGGAGGCAGTACTCCTAGGTCTATGGGACTTCACTCTTTATAGGATTCTTTATGCCCTCAAATGAAAACAGGAAAATGCCTTGTGCCAACTTACCATATGACTGTGAGGGGAATACAGGTTATCTGGATGACTTATAAGTCACAGGTTGGCACTATTGGCTGGGAAACCCATTTTGGTGTTTGATGGCGCAGAAGTTCTAGACCCGTGTCACTTACCTGTGCACATCTGGGCACCTCTGGGTACCAGGTTCCATTCTCTGAACAAGTGATACTTTGGGAACCCAGCATGGTAAAGCCAGTGTCACACTGGATGGTGACATTTTCAGATTCAACATACTCATCTTTACTGGCAGACAGCATCCCATTGCTTATCTCTGGCTTCTGGCATAGAGCTATAAAGAAAACACGTTTTAGATAATTGTGACATAGCATTCTGTAGTAAAAAGAATGAACTGGACTGGCATGTAGCTTATTCTGCTTTCCATTCGTGTTGTTAGCAAAATATTGATGAGCGTTTTTGTCGAGCATGACAGTCTGTGTACACAATGCGACTTTAACTTGAGCCTCATGAGTCCTGCTAAGTGAGTCTACTGTTCTCCTGTGTTTTTTGCAGAGGAAAACTCAGATACAAAGAAGGTAACAAAAGTTTCCATGGCTAAAATGTGTTTAAATGACATGACAGGATATTCGTAAAAGTGTATATGATTCTCTCTAGACACATTAACTCTTGCTGTAAATAGTTCTTCAAGACTCTAATCATGAAGTTTTGATATTCTTCTGTGAGCACTGGGGACAATTACATCAAATAAATTATGAATTACTATGACTATAGTTGTACTAATATTACATGAACATAATATAAGACCTAACGCTGACTCCCCCCCACTCCCTATAACTAACTGGCACTGTGTTTTCTCAACACGGTAGGTGGTACTTTGGCAGAAGTTTTGATGGTAAAACTTATCATTCCAGTGTTTGAAATTAGCCCAACAGAGACAATATTGATGCCGGAACAAGTTTTATTGAAACATATTTACAGGCCCACACATGTAATTATAAAGTGTTTTGCTTCTACAATATTTCTTAAAACATATATAAGAAACTGAGAATATGAGCTGTCTCAAGAAGGTTGATGCTTGTGGCTGTAAGAAAGAAGTAGAAGGAAGTCATACTGTGCCTTTTTTGTGTGTAGTTTTGTGTGGAATACCACGTTTATATGAGTTATTTAAAAATAAACAAAATTGAATCAACCAGAGGCCACACCGAGCACAAGAAGTCTAGGCAGGCTACCCTTCCCCAAACTCCCCCATTATCTCAGCATCATATTACAGCAAGCCCTAAATATGCCAACACAGCTTAAGCACAATTTTATGAAGAGATTGAGGTCTTTAAAGAAATTCAGGGGCTGGAGGGATAGCTCAGCAGTTAAAGACTAGGCTCACAACCATAAATATAAAAAAAATTCCAGGAAAACACAAATGATTGGAGAAAATGCATAAATCCCTTAAAGAAAACCAGGAAAAACAAACAAACAAACAAACAGTTCAAGGAAATGAATAAAACTGTCCAAGAGCTGAAACCGGAAATGGGAGCAATAAAGAAAATACAAACTGAGGGAATTCTGGAAATAAAGGATCCAGGTGAGTGCACAGGAAGCACAGATGCAAGGATCACCGGAAGACTATCAGAGACGGAAGAGAGAATCCCAGGCGTAGAATATACAGCAGGAGATATAGATACATCGACCCAAGAAAATGTTAAATCCAAAAAGTTTCTGATACAAAACATCCAAGGGCCCAGAAAATATTCTCAACAAAATCACAGAAGGAAACTTTCCTAACTTAAACAAAGAGATGCCTGCAAAGGTACAAGAAGCTTACAGAACACCAAATAGAGTGGACCAGGAAAGGAAGTCCCCTCTCCACATAATAAAACACTAAATATTCAGAACAAATAAAGAATACTAAAAACTGAAAGGGAAAAATATCAAATAACATATAAAGGCAGACCTAGTAGACTGACTTCTCGATGGAGACTCTAAAAGCCAGAAGGACCTGGACAGATATCCTGCAGACAGAAGACAGATGCAAGCTTAGATTATTATACCCAGCAAAACTTTCAGTCACCATAGATGGAGAAAACAAGATATTCCATGAGAAAGTCAAATCTAAATAATATCTAACCACAAACCCAGCCCTACAGGAGGTATTAGAAGGAAAACTCTAATCCAAGGAGTATATAACTACAAACAAGAAAGCAAAGGAAATAATCTCACACCAGCAAAACCAAAAAAGAGAGAGAAACACAGACACACACATACACACATACTCACTCACTCATACACTGTCAACAACAGCAAAAAAACAATAAAACCAAGGACTTAATAATCACTTATCATTGATATCTCTCAAAATCAATGGGCTCAAGTCCCTAATAAAAAGACACAGACTAATAGAATGAGTGTGTAAAGAGGAATCACCCTTCTCTTGCATACACCTCGACATTAAAGATAGACATTTCCTCAAAGTAAAGGGTTGGAAAAAGATTTTTCAAGCAAATGGATCCAAGAAACAAGTTAGTGTGGCCATTCTAATATCTAACAAAATTAACTTCAAAACAAAATTAAGAAGAATAAGGAATAATAATTCATACTCAACAAAGGAAAAAAATCACCAAGATGATATTTCAATTCTTAATATCTATGCCCTAAATGCAAAGACACCCACATTTGTAAAAGGAACATTGCAGAAGCTTAAATCACACAATGACCCTCACACACTAATAGTGGGAGACTTCGAAGCCCTACTCTCACCAACAGACAGGTCACCTAAGACATTATCTAAACAGAAAATTACTGAAGTTAACATGTTATAAACAAAATGGACCTAACAGATATCTACAGAACATTTTATGCAAACACAAAAGAATATACCTTCTTCTCAGCACCTAATAGAACTTTCTCCAAAATTGATCACATACTCTGTCACAAAACAATTTCATCAGATAGAAGAAAATTGAAATAACCTCCTGTATAATATCAGACAACTACAAACTAAAGCTGGATTTCAACAACAATATAAACAACAGAAACTCTACAAACTCCCTACTGAATGAATTCTGGGTCAAGGCAAAAAAAAAAAAAAAACACTGATGAGTATTTAGAATTCAGTAAAAAAGAATATACAACATACCCAAACTTATGGGACACAATGAAAGCTGTGGTAAAAAGGAAATTTCATAGCACTAAGTGCCCTCATAAAGAGTTTGGAGAGATCTCCATCTACCTCAAGACCCAGCTATACCATTCTTGGGCATTTACCTAAAGGATGATCCATCCTACCACAAGGACGCTTGTTCAACTATGTTCACAGAAGCTTTATTTTTTTTTAAGTTGTGATTTATTATTTTTTTCTTATTTTACATATTGATCCCAGTTCTCTCTCCCTCCCATGCCCCACCACCACCACCCTCCCATCCCATTCCCCCCCCCACTCCACAGGGAGGGTGATGTCCTCTGTCAAGTCATTTGGAGTAGAGACTAGGCCCTCCCTCCTGCCTCTAGGTTAAGGGAGTATCCCTCCATGGGGAATGTGCTCCCAAAGTCCTATTGCACACCATGGATACATCCTGGTTCAACTGTCAGAGGTCCCTTAGACTGCCCAGGCCTTCTAATTGAGATCCATGTTCAGGGGGTCTGAGTCAGTCCAATGCTGGATTCCCGGCTACCAGTCTGGGGGGGGGGGCTCTCCCTTGTTCAGCTGTCTCTGTGGGTTTCTGTAGCCTGGTCTTGATCCATTTTATCACTCCACCCTCTCTGCATCTGGATTCCAGGAGTTCAGCTCAGTGTTTAGCTGTGGGTGTCTGCTTCTGTCTCCATCAACTACTAGATGAGGGCTCTATGATGGCATATAAGGTAGTCATCCATCTCATTATCAGGGAAGGGCATTTAAGGTAGCCTTTCCAATGTTGCTCAGATTGTTAGCTGAGGTCATCCTTGTAGGTCTGTGGACATTTCTCTAGAGTCCGTTTTCTCTTCAAACCTATAATGGCTCCCTCTTTATGGTATTTTTTTTCTCTTGTCTATTCCTCCCCTGCTTTATTCATGATAGCCAGAAACCAGAAACAACCTAGATGCCCCTCAACAGAAAAATGGATAAACAAAACGTGGTACATTTACACAATGGAGCACTACTCAGCAGTTAAAAACAATGACATCATCATCCTGAGTGAAGTAACCCAGGCCCAGAAATACAAATATGGTATATACTCTCTTATAAGTGGTTATTAGCTGCTAAGTCAATGATAATCATGCTACAACCCAAAGACCCAGAAAGGCTAAGTAACAAGGAGAGCTCTACTAAGGATGCATGGACCTCCTTGGGAAGGGGAAAAAAAAAAGAATAGATTTTGTATGAAGGTGGGGCTGGAAACAGGAGATATCAGGCAGGGATGGGGTGAAGGAGAGAGCGCTGAGAGAGATTACTGGAATTGGTGGGCATTTGGGGAGCAGGCGATGTGGAAACTTAGTCCAGTAGAAACTCAGGATTCTACAAGGGTGACCCTAATGAAGATTCCCTAGCAATGGAGGATTCAGAGCCTAAACCAGCCATCCTCTGTAACCAGGCAAGGCTTTCAGAGGTGGGACACGGATACCAACCCGGCCACAAAAGCTTCAATCTAAACTCTAACTCTTGTGCAAGATGTACTAGAGGGCAATGGAGGTACAGAACTTGTAGGAATGACCAACCCATTACTGGTCTAACTCGAGGCCCACACCACAAGAGGGAGCCCATGACGGACACTGCTTGGATAACCAGAAACCGGAGGCTAGGTGGTCCAGAGACTTGTGATAGAAAAAAAAATCAATAAAATCATTCCTAATCATATCCATATATGCTCACAGATTGGTGCCCTGCCCACTAGTCATCAAAGAGGCTCTTGCTGGGAGCTGATGGGAGGAGATGCAGAGAGTCACACGTTAGGCAGAGAGCCCAAACTAAAGATCTCCATAAGGCTTCCCCCCTTTGTAGCTCTGGGAACGCTACGGAACAGGACAAGGAAGAAAGGTAGGAACCAGATGGGTCAGGGATGCCAGGAGAACCTGACCCACAGAATCTACTAAGTAGGGCTCACAGGTGCTCACAGAGACGGAAGCAACAGTCATGTGGGTCTGAGCTAGTTCCTCTGCATATATGTTCTAGTTGTTAGCTTGCCATTTTTGTGAGGCTCCTAAGAGTGGGAATGTCTCTCCCTTTCTTTTGTCTGATCCTGGAACCCTTTACCTCTTACTGAGTTGTCTCTCCCAACCTTGATATGAGGGTTTCTGCCTAGTCTTACCCAATCTTGTTTTGTCAAGTTCAGTGGATATTCCTGGGAGGTCTGCTCATTTCTGAAGGCAAATGGAGGAGGGGTGGATCTGGGGGAGAGGTGAGGTAGGGTGAGGGGCTGGGAGAGATGGAGGAAGGAAAAACTGAGGTTTTTGTATTGAAAACAAACAAGAAGGAAAAATCATATAATGACAAAAAAAAAAAAAAAACCAATCAAATGCTTTGTCCTTCATCTATCAGGGAATAACTTTGATCTCCACTCCTGACAACAATTCTACCCATGTTGTATTGGGGTGGGAAGGAGGGAGATGTTACCTTTACATTTGGGAGGTGCTGAAAACCATCCTGGTAACAGGCAGGAGATGCTTGCCTGTCCAACCAGCCTGTATCCTTTATCACATTCATATGTAACCATAGTTGAGAAGAAGCTCTTAGATTTTATACGTCCATGGGCAATGTTTGAAGGAAAACCACAATCTTGGTGATAAAACAGAGGAGAGAGGATAAGACATGCATGTAAAATGTGTCAAACAGCACTTCTCCCACCTCTTGAGTTTGCCCAGATGTTTCATAAGTTGCATCTCCTCTGTGAGACATGAGGCACCCTACTTTTGGCAAGACTTTATCTGCCTTCATGGCTCTGAGAAATATGCATGTTAAATATGTGTTTGGGTATTAAACTGGAAACCTTCTGGGATCAAAAAGAACTTTTAGGGTATTTTTAAGAACAACTTTTAGAGGATTTTTAGAAAGAACATCTAAAGAAACTTTGAAAGAATATATTAGGAAAGAACTGTTTTTGAAGAATAAACAAACCTTTAGAAGAATGATACGTGTATGAACTAATTCATTGGCCCTCAGGTCTTATTAGTCAGCTCTACCAGTTTGCTTTGCGCCTCCTGCCTGAATGCTCATTAATCTTAAAAGAGAGAGTCTTCCTGACTGGTCCAGCTAAATTGGGAGTATTGAGATAGAATGAATCAATTACCTATGCAGAGAAAGATTGGAACCCTGGGTACAAGAGACCAGGCAAGGAAGCAGGTAAGTTGACAAACAGAAGTGGGCAGGAAGGTTGAAGGTGTGTGTGTGTGTGTGTGTGTGTGTGTGTGTGTGTGTGTGTTAACGGTAGTGCATCCCCTATAGACGAGGTATTAGAGGACGAAGTAGATATCCACCAGATAAAGTTGGGTGTCCCCTATCATTGGGGATGGGAAGAACAGTTTCCATGGTGACCGAGTGGAACAAACACAGGAGCCAACAACGTGGACTCCCATTCACCGAGGCAAATCATCATTCTTGACATTCCAACAATGATGTCCTTGCTATGACAGTGTAGCCGGAAGTGACCCAAAAGCCACAGTAGCAACTTGTCTCCCTCAGACCCCTTCTACCCTGAAAGGCCATGATTTTGTTTTGATAGACAAGTATTCCAGACACGAGATTGCCTTTCTTGAATGTTCTACCTCAATCTGTAGCTCCTCTAAGGACTATAGAGTAGACAGGCTAAACAATTAGAAGATGGGAGGGCTAAGAACATGCAACCCAAAAATATGATTGCTGTATTGGTCATGCACTACGTTCTCTAAAATTACCCTTGTAACCCACTAGCTTTATACCCCACACCAGCCTCCAAGTTGTGGGAAACATACTCTAACTTGCGCCCAAAGATGCCTAGTAGATGCCTTTCATTTTAAAGCAGAATAAATCTTGGCATCTCTGCCTTCCTTTTTTGTAAAGGTATCTCCTTTGGGTGAACAGTTGAGGTCCTGTTCCTGATTGAGTCTACATGTCAGACCCATTCTGCAGTTTGAACACCAAGTGTCTCCCTCAAAAAGATGCTGTATTTGAAGCAGTGTTCAGACGAGGCTTTAAGGAAGCAATTGGATTATGAGGGTGCCGACTTTCTGGGGCACTGTGGATGTATCTTTGAAATGTGTGTCTTTTTCTCTTCCCTTTCCTCCTGATATCTCTCTGCTTTAGGGCCACTATGAAGTGTTCGGCACTGCCCTGCCCTGACATTCTAAGTAAGCCAGCTGTCTTAGTTAGGGCTTCTATTGCTGGGATAGGGCGGAACGGGTTTATTTTCCTTACACTTCCACATTACTGCTCCTCACTGAAGGAAGTCGGGACAGGAACTCAAGAGCAGGTACTGGAGGCAGGAGCTGATGCAGAGGCCATGAAGGGGAGCTGCTTACTGGCTGTTTCACATGACTTGCTCAGCCTGCTTTCTAACAGAACCCAGGACTACCAGCCCAGGAGTCACAGCACCTACCATGGGCTGGGCCCTCCCCCACTGGTCATTAGTTGAGAAAATGCCTTCCAGCTGAGTCTCACGGAGGCATTTCCTCAACTGAGGCTCCTTCCTCTCTGATGACTCTAGCTTAAAGCAGTCATGCTAAACCAGCTAGCACACCAGGCAAACTGCATGCAGCCTCTATTGCCATGGCCAAAATAGATCGTCCCTTCTTTAAGCTGTGTCCCTTAGGCACTTGTCTAGCAATAGTCAAAATGTTATTCGTTTAAACATCTATCTTAGCCCAGCAGCGGTGGCACACACCTTTAATTCCAGCACTCCAGAGGCAAAACAGAGGAAAACCTCAGCAAAACGAATGAGAAAAATAGCAGCATAAAAGGCAGCAACATGGAAATAAATTCATCAAATAAACTGAGATTTTTGAAAAACAGAAATATAAATAAACTCCGGGAATCAAAGAAAAAAAACGTACAGTGAAAGGACCCCCAACCCCTACTTGACAAGTAGAAGAAAGGATGTCAGGGAGGGAGGACAAGGTTGGTGGAATGTCACATACAATCTTCAATGTGAAGAAAAGTAAATGACTGTAACAATAGCTTCCATGAATGCTGGGATGTGAGCAAGGGAAGAAACCTAAGACTTCATGGACTGGGAGAGAGAACTGAGACAGACACCGAAGGCATAGAGAATCTATGCAATGAAGTCAAAGCAAAAGAATGTCCCAGATCTAGAGAAAGAAAGACACATTAAAACACATTAAGCATTTAGAAAGAAACTGAGATTCAAACATAAGGTACAGCCCTTTCTATTACATACTATACTCATGGATCAAGTATACAGAGAAAGAAAAACTATCACACTAAAAGCTTGGCAGGGACAATGCCAGCACAACCACAACAAAAGAAGCATCAGAAGAGCATCATGTCCCTTCTCCCTCAACAAGTCTAAACGCCCAAAACACAGGGGAAAATAAAGAGTAAGCACTACTTCCACCATCCAGAAAAACAGCAAGCATCGGAGGAACTGGTAACAGTCTCTTAATAATAACCTTCCATGTCAATGTCCTCTAACCAGGGACACACAGACAGACAGACACTGGCTGACTGACTGCAAAAATGATATGCAACTTTCTGTGGTCTCCAAGAAACATTTCACTGACAGAGAGTCCGAAGTTTGAAAGAAGATCTATCCATCAATCAAGTGGAAACAAAAAATGAAGGAGAATAGCTACTGTTTGATCTGATAAAGTAGACTTCAAACCAAAATTGTATTAGAGATGAAGACAGTCACTACAGTTTAGTGAAAGGAACAATTCAACAAAAAGATTCAACAGGATTTATTGTGTAGTCCCTCCTTACCACTATGTTGTCCAACCTATCCTTGACTTTGTTTTCGCTGCATTGGGCTCTTGATAAAACTTCTTCTATCTACACTATTACTTAAAGAAATTCTGGGGCTGGAGAGGTGGCTCAGTAGTTAAGATCATTGGCTGCTCTTCCAGAGGACCCAGATTCAATTTCCAGCATCCACGTGGCAGCTTACATTTTCTGTAACTCCAGTTCTGGGAGATACTACACCCTCAAACAGACATATGTGTAGGCAATATGCCAATGCACATAAAATAAAAAATAAATAAAATTTTAAAAATAAAGAAAATAAACTCTCCCCCACAAAACATAATTCTGTAAATTCTTACTCTTATCACATAATGGTGTTTTGGGATTCCATGTGCCATCTGATTTGCAAGTGGCTGAAAAGACAAGGTCATTGTGGCATTTGTATGTCACTGTGTCATCATAGAAATAAGTACAGTCATTCTTAGGATGTGTTTTTTCATGTCCAATGACTCTAACATTATTTGGGTCTGGTTCTGGACAACATACCTCTAGAAAAACAAAAATGGAAAAATGAGCGGCAATGAAATCATCAGAAAGACGTTCTTACAGTTAATAACCCAATTTCTGCAACACTGAAGAGAAGTTTGGGGTACAGAAAAGGAAACCCAAATGCTTCATCTTGCACCTCCTGTAGGATTTCTTAAAACAACAAAGAAAAAACTCAAGTCCAGTCACTTCCTCCAAGTAAGCAATTTGCAAATATGCATATAATGTGTTTTAATCAAGTCAACTCCAATTAACTCCATAGCCCCTTCCCTATCGCCCACATATCTCAGTTTCATATTTCCTTTTTATTTTTTTAAAAATAGTTTTCTTATTTTACATAGTGATCCCAGTTCCCTCTCCCTCCCATTCTCCATTCTCCCCACAAGAAACCCCCCCCTCATTTCATCCCCTATCTTCTCCCCAGGGAGGGTGAGGCCTTTAATGAAGGGTCATCAAAGTCTGTAGAATCTCCCCTTCCTTAGGGTTAGGGTTAGGGTTTTACACTGAGTACACTTGATGTTTCCAGTAAGTGTACAGGTGTAAGGCCATCTGCTGAAGAATGAGTAGCCTATTAGAGTCTGCTGCATCATGAACAAAACGAAAACAAAATAAAAAAACAACAACAACAACAAAAAAAAAAACCTGCCTCTCCATTTCCTGGCAGCCATCAGTTGCTACTAGCTCTGACTTGCGTCTCTAAATATAAGCAGAAAGTGGTTGGTTACTCCCATAACATGTGTACCTCTATTGCTCCAGTGGGCACACCTCACCAGGCCAGTGTTGCAACAGTGCATAGCTGGGTAATAATAATGATTACCTTCTCCCCATCCTCCCAATAGTGTGCAGATCATCTTGCCATACAGTGAAAGATGGCCACTAGGGATAAAGCATCTAGGTTGATATAAACTTGATTTCCCCACGTTCTATGATTCAAGTATGTGTGACAGCAATAACCTATCATTGTTCAGAATCTTTGGTGCCCACTGACCAACATCTATTAGATGGCCGGCACCGTACTTTTTATTTGATAGCCTATGGTGTCTGAGAGAGGCACTGTTGCCTGCAAACCCCCCCCCCCATTTCAAGGTAATTCCACTTAAATTCTTTATATATGCATGTATGTATGCTTTGGGAAGATTATAAAGTAGTTGGGTTCCAAATGGCTTTAAAAAAAAAGTCTTTAGTGTTATCTCTCCCCATACTTTCTCCTCTATCCTGCTATCCTGCTCTCCTACCAACATCCCATTTAATCTTCCTATCCCACTATGCCCCATTTCCCTCTTTATACCAACCGCATTGTTTATCAGCCATAAGTCTTTTCACGCTCATGTATGGTATAATATCATCTGCAAATAAGGACACATCTTCCTTTTCTATCCGTACCCCCCTTATCTCCTTCATTCGTCTCACTGTTTTAGCAAAGAGTTCGAGTGACATATGGAATATACATGTAGACAGTAGGAAGCCTGGTCTGCTTCCAGATCTCACTGGACATGCTCTGTTTGAGGTGATATTTAATTCATTTTACTATTATCTCATTGAGAAGTTTTGCATTTATGTTTATTACTGACCCTTTTACTTTTTAGTTGGGTTCTTATCTGGTTCTGGTCTCAGGATAATACAGGCTTAGTAAATAATGAAAGCATTCCTTCAGTTTCTATTTTACAGAATAACTTAAAGAGCAGTGTTATTACATATTATTCTTTGGTAGTCTAGTATAAAGAATTCTGTACTGAATATACCTGGCCCTGAGATTTTTTTTTAAGTTGGGAGATTTTTAACTACTGGTCCTATGTTCTTGGTTTTTATGGGTTTTTAAAATTATTTGCTTCATCTTGATTCAATTCTGGTTGATGATATGCATTTAGAAATTTACCCATTTTCTTTAGACTCTGTTATTGAGTAGAATACAGGTTTTCAAAATATGTTTTTATAGTCATTTGAATTTCATAAGTGACTTATATTTTCCTTATCAGCTATGATTTTCTCGATTTGGGTCTGTAGTGAGATATTCACCCAGTCTGCACCTGTTGCACTGACCACACCCATTGGGGAGGATGGGGACAGATGCAGATGTGACCAGAGAAAACTAGGTCTGGAGTTGGGAGTTCCAGAGACTCTCTCTTACTTCCTGGTCAGAGACAGAAAGCATCCGGAGGCATCCTTGGGACGACGGGAACCTGCTGACGCTCATCCGTCTCTGTTGTAAGTGATTTCTCCATGAATAAACATCTATCAGCCTATCTGTTTTCCTTGATCCCTATTCATTCCATGATATGGGTCCTTTCTTTCTCCTTGTTGATTTTGATATGGGTTTGTCAATCTTGTGAGTCTCGTCAAAGAACCAACTCTTCATTCAGTCCATTGAGTCTTTGTATTGTTGTTTGTTTGCTGTATTTTATTCATTTTTACCCTGATTTTATCTTTTCCATTCAACCATTTTGTGTGTGGTTTGTTCTCATGTTTCCAAGACTTTTTAGATGGATCGTTAAGTTATGAATATGAGAGCTCTCAAAGAAACTTACGTAGGCACTTCGTACTATAAATTACCCTCTTAAAATCTCTTTCATTGTGTTCCATAAGTTTGACATATTTTGTTTTCCTTGTGACTCACTTCTAGGGATTTTTAAGTTTCTTCTTGATTTCCTCATTGACCCAATTATCATTCATTAGTGTGTATTTAATTTCTGAGAGTTTTGGTCATTTTCATTCCCATTAACATCCATCTTTATTCTATTGCTGCCCAATGTAGAATGTTATTTCAATTCTCTTATATTTGTTGAGAGTTTCTTTGTCTCCTACTATTGAAGAAAGTTCTAGGAACTGCTGAGAAGAACCTTGGTGTATTCTATAAGTGCCTATTAGGTCTGTTTCACTTAAGTCATTTATCTCCAATATTTCTCTGTTTATTTTTGTCTGCCTTGCTGTCTCTTGATAAGGGTGAGGCAGTAAAGTCATCCACTACCACTGTTTCATTTAATCTGTAGTTTTATGTCTAAAATATTTCTTTTATGAAGTTGGGTGCATCTAAATTTGGTGCATATATGCTCAGATTTCTAATAATCCCTTAGTAGATTTTCCTTTCATGAGTATAAAAGGACCCTTTATTTCTTCTGACTAGCCTTTGCTGGAAGTTTATTTTATCAGATAACATAATAGATAAAGCTGCTTGTTTCCTAGTTCCAATTTCTTAAGTACCTTTTCCCATCTTTTTACCCTAAGTTGGTATTTATCATTGAAAGTGGTATGTGTCTCCTGGAGGAAAAAGAAGGATCCTGATGGGGGATGTCCTTCTGTATGCTGTGAATATATGTTTCTCTTATTGGTTGATGACCAATGGACCTGATGGATAGGCAGGAAGTATACGCAGGGTTACCAGACTAGGAGATGGCTGGGAAGAGGAATACAAAGAGTAAGTCGCAAGAGAGTCGCCATGTAGCTGCCAAGGAAGAAAAGGCTCAGGTATCACCAGTAAGACAAGACCACATGGCGATGCACAGACTAATACACAGAAATGTGTTAATAACTAAGAGAGAGCTAGCCAACAAGAAGCCTGAGCCATCAGCCAAACAGTTTATAATTAATATAAGCTTCTGTGTGTTTATTTGGGACTAAAGGACAGCAGGACCTGGCAGGACAGAAACTTCCTTCTGTTTTCTAACCTAATCTGTTCGTTGTCTCTTTATTGGAGAGTCAAGATCACTGATATTAAGAGTTATTATTAAACGGTGTTTTAATTCTTGTCATTTTATTGTGAAGGTGTTTTTTTTTCCCTTAGACATCTTTAGATTAATCATTCTGGAATTATTTATTTACTCTTTGTGACCTCTTGTTTTTACCCTTCTCTTGAGACTAAAGTATCCCTGTCAATATCCACTGTAGAGATAGCACAGTAGCCATAAATCATGTTTTTTACCATGGGACATTTTTGTTTCTTCTTTGACTATGACTGATACTTTTTCTAGGTATAGTAATCAGTGTTAGCATATGTGGCATTTCTGAACTTGTAAAACATCAATTCAATCCCTTTTATATTTTAAAATCTCCATTGAAAAATCAGGTGTTACTCTGATGGGTCTGTCTTTATTAAGTGACTTAACCTTTCTTTCTTGTAGCTTACAATACTCTTTCTTTGTTCCATATTCTTAGGTTTTTTTTTAACTATAAAATACCAAGGGAGTTTATTTTCTGGTCCCATCTATTTGGTGATCTACATACCTCTTCCACCTTGGCAGGCTCTCCTTCGATTTGGCGAATTTTTTTTTTCTATGATTTTGTTGAAACTATTTTCTGTCCCTTTGATCTGTATTTCGTTTCTTCTTGTAGGTTTTTTGTATGTTTGGTCTTTTTATAGTAATTCCAGAGTTTCTGCCTGTCCCATTCATTGGTCATTGATTTTCTTTTTAATTTTACACTTTGTTTAACCAAGTGATTCAGTTTCTCTGCCTTGTCTTCAAAAGCTCTGAAATGTGACACCCCACTGGACAGGCTAATCAAAACCATTTCATTTTGCTGCTTGTATCCATTAATAGATGTTTCAAATTTGATCCATAACATAAAAATGCCCTGTAGTCTGAGTCTGTGTTTTTACTGCTAAAATGACAAGCTTCTGCTAGGAGAGAGACAATTTCTCTCTCCTAGAAATTTCCCTGAGGTCTGTAAAATAGCGATTACCCACCTTAGCCCCTCTTTTGTTCCCACAAATAGACAAAGAGGTAAATGAGCAAGTTCTTTTCTATACTGCTGAGGTAAGAATTCTGGATCAGGAGTTAGTACCTGTCTTCTAGAAGACAAACCCGTGGCTCAAGAACTGTAAGACATATGCCAATTTGTAGCTTGTTGAATTCATAATATTCTCATGGACTTCTGTTTCTACCAGAACCCCCAGACTTCACATGGTGAAAAAAGTACTGTAGAGTCTCACTATGACAAGTGTTGAGCTGGGTACTCCACCCCAGATCCACCAGCAGTGAAGCTGAAATGTAAACCCGCACGCTATCTGACTTATATATTTATTTCTTCTGTTCACTTCTAAAGTGGCCTACAGAAAGTTTTACAGTCTTAGGCCCTGAAACTTTATGATCACATGATACTAAATAGCTTCTACTTTGGTTAAAGTAGTGTGCTCAGGTTTTATTCTAAGTGATAAAACTGCACTCACATAAGGTCTAAGGTCCAGTCACTTAGACATTTAATATCCACACCCATTTAGAAAACCCAGAACTCACCCTTGCATCCTTTGAACGGGCTCCAGGATAAATCTCCCTTACAAACGACAGTCATAGGCTCTTTTGTAGAAGGCTCATAGCCAGGATGACATTGGTAGTGTAACACAGTCCCAACCGGATACAGGTCTTTTTGGGGATTGAGATTTTTTAGCCAGGAAGCATGTGGGATGTTTGGAATATTAGTGCAACCGGCTCCTCATTAAACCAAGCAAGAGAAAAGGACATTGTTAATAGGGCTGCCATAATATTCAGAGAGCATATTTCATCAAAGGGTACCAACAGGAACTACTCTTCCATAGCTCCCATTGACCACACCAGAAAATACAGAAGGACATTTGCCAGTCTTGGCCCAGCACCTGACTGTTCTTACCAAAGGCACTACCTAATGCTGTCTGCGTGCTACGCCAACTACACTCAACAGTAATTCTCTCCATTGTACTTTACACAGTGTTGTTTCTAAATTGGAACATGAGGCTTTTTAAATGAAATGAGAGGGAAACCTATGGTGTTTGTCTTTCTGAGATTGGCTTAATTACCATAACATGGTTGTCTTTGTGCTGTAGACAGGAATTGGAAAGAATAAGTCACTTCCTTCACCAGAGCCCTTACTGTAGTGTAGGGGCTGTGGAATGGAAGGAGTGTGTCAGAAAGGAGTCCTGCACCCAGCTGTCCCCACCACCAGTTACATAGTCTACAACCCAGAGCCAAGAGAATGAAATCTGTCAATATTTGCTCCTTCTCAAGTCTATAACAGAGAAACTGGGAGTGACAGTTTGTTGGCCAACCCACTAGACCCTTTCTCTTCCAAGATGGATCTTTTCAGAAGCAGGAGGATACAGTTGCTGAAGCCGCCTCGCCTGGCTTCTCCATCCTATGCAATGGATGGTGGATGGAGGAACAGACCTGATGTCTGGCTGCTGACATCTGCTTAATATAAACTTCTTACAATGTGGCGCTTTACAAAATTCCCACTATTCAAAAACAGCCCATCCCAAGAGTATCTTTCACCCAGCAGCAGATAGGAGCTGGCATTTAAGAGTTCACATAAACAGTTCTCAATGAGTTAGTGTTGATACAGTGGCCTCTCAATATTTCTATCAAGTATCCGTGGATTTACTAAACAAATGCTTCTCAATTTGTTGTAACTCCTTTAAGTACTCTCCAAGACACACTGAATAGTTTCTTTACTAATTTTGGTCAGTTTAATAGATGCTTCTCCAGGACAGAGATCTGTACCACTGTTATAGAAGTCCCCAAGATAAAGAAACATAATGCTTCATGAGTGTAAAACTAAGACTATAAGGCATCAGAGGTCTCCTCCCCTTACCAGTTGTGTGACCTTAAGAACTCACTTACCTTCTAGAAATGTTTGTTCATATGCCAAATTAGGGTAATAATACTACCCACCATTTATTGATTGCTTTAATTCTTTTTATGAACAGAGACTAGTTCCAACTTAACATTACAACTTTTATCACTATTAAAAAGATCCACAAGTTACTTGTACAAATTAGAAAAGGACATTTTATTACCTGACTTCCAAAAAATCATTTTGTTAGACAATTATCTATTAACTGCCAAAAATTAATTACATAAATATACTAATCCTCTATGTCTGCAACATCAATGCTTCTCCTTAGGACTGGAGTGAATAACTGTGTATGATAGATGACTTTGCAAGGAGTACTAAAGCCATCCTTCATTCCAACAAGAAAACAAGTTAGCTTGAGAGATAGAGGCAGGCGGATCTCTGTGAGTTCGAGGCCAGCCTGGTCTGCAGAGCGAGTTCCAGGATAGCTAGGGCTGTTACACTGAGGAACCCTGTTTCAAAAAACCAAAAAGAAGGAAGAAAGAAAAAAAGGGAGGGAAGGCGGGAGGGAGGGAGGGAGAAGGGGGAGGGAAGGAAGGAAAGAAGGAAAAGAAAGAAACCAAAATAAAAATTAAAAATCCAAATTTAAAATTTTGTGGTCCAGAATCTAGACGTGAAAGAGTGTCCACACAAATATACCTGGGTATCTTTAGATGCCAAACAATGAAACTCCTTCATGGTCCATACTTACTGAGCTCACAAAAGGGAGGAGGAAAATTCCAGTTGCCATCAGCTCCACAATGGATTATATTTTTGCCTCTGAGGATGGACCATTTCGGGCAGGCAAAACTAATAGAGTCTTTGTATTTATAGGTAGTTCTAAATCCAGAAGTAATTATTCTATGCGAAACATTTGGCTGAGGACATCTGATTCCTAAATAATTATGAGAAAAGACAAGTAGATTTTCAACGTTAAAGGTTACTGGGGCAATGGCTCAGTTGGTAAAATGCACAAAAGGACCTAAGTTTGAATCCCCAGAGCCCACATAAAAATCCAGCATGGGAGCATACCTCTGTAATGTCAGTGACCCTACGAGAAGACAGGAGACTTTCCTAATGCTGGAAGGACAGCTACTTCTGTGTATGCAGCACAGAGGCGAAGCCAGACATGGCAGTGTTCACCTTTAATCCCAGTCCTTGGGAGGCACTCATAGTGAGACCCTGTCTCCGGGTAGGAGGAGGGCTGCCTCGAGGTCAAAGGTCAGCACTAACCTCCCACCTCTACATTACTCATGCACACACATCACAGAGAATTTGAGATCTGGGGATGTAGCTTAGTGCAAGGGTGCCAGCTGGGTACCTGGGTACCACACACACACACAACAAAAAACAGTATCTTGATATCTTGAAGAATTAACATAAGTAGTAATAGGAATTTGATTGACGACAACTAGCGGATGCCTCTGAAAAAGCCAGTTAAGAAGTCAGAATAAGACTTTATTTAGAAATAGAGAAAGAGCTTTAGAAATCCACAAAATAATTGAAAAGGATGCCAGAAAAGATGGGGGGGGGGGCGGGGCTTGACACAGAGAAGTGACCCTAACCAGCCTCAGCTCCACAGTTCCCTGTGGAGGAGGGGAGCAGAAGGCACCCGAAAGGCAAGCCAGACAGAAAATCAGGAAGTCTGACTCTCAAGACAAGCTAAAACACCCTCATAAGCCGCAGGGCCAGTTGTGGATTTTGATGAGACAGTCAGATGGGGCCAGCTAGGAAGAAAAGTCCCTTTTGTCACAGGACTGTATGACAGCAGCAGAGCCGGTACAATCTTGAAAGAAAATCTATTTCTACAACTGAGCTACCTATGGGCCTGAGGTTAAAAGAAGCCCCAGGTTAAGGAGCCTTAATGTAGCCTGTTCCAGTCCCTAGTGAGGGAAGGCCCAGAGTTAGCAATTGTGGTTAGGAGGATGGGTTAACACCTCTTCCACTCCAGTTAACACAATGAAGGTAGGTACTCCCTACAGGCTTTCCTGAGAGGCTGTCTTCCAGGTGATTCTATGTTCTGTCAAGTTGATAGTTAACCTTTATCATCACAGATAAGATGAAAAAAAAAATCTAAGAATCCCCAGCATAGAAGAAAGAAGTAAGGTAATACAGAATCTACTCAATAGAAACATAGCAGAAAAATCCCCCAAATCTACAGAAAATATTTCAAATACAAGAGGCATTTAGAACCCAAAATAGACATGACAGGAGAAGGGCCCCCTCCAGTACATATCATAGTTGAGATGTTAAAAAATGGCAAAAAGGGTCAGGCGGTGGTGGCGCACACCTTTAATCCCAGCACTTGGGAGGCAGAGGCAGGTGGATCTCTGTGAGTTCCGAGGCCAGCCTGGTCTACAAAGTGAGTTCCAGGACAAGCTCCAAAGCTACACAAAACGAAATAAAACAAAAAATGTGGCCAAAAGGGAAAAAGTCAGTGGCTTTCTGGCTATAAAGACACTTGCTGGCCAAGCTTGACTACCTGAGTGCAATCCCAAAGACCCACACAGTGACCAACTTCCTTGATCAAAACAAACTTAAAACTTCTCAATAAAATTGTACAGGTCAAATCCAAAAACATTAAAATGATCACATGCCAAGGATCCATTGTTTCAACATAAGTAAATCAGTAAGGTAATATATTCAGCATACAAATAGACTTAAGTACAGAAATCACATGATCATCTCAACTGATACAGACAACAAAGCTCAACACGTCTGCATGATAAAATTCCTGAAGAAAGTAGGAATAGAAGGCCCACGCCTCAACTTTGCAAAGGCTATAAATGCCAAACCTCTATGTGTGAGTGGCAGCCAAATGATAGATGCATATATGCACTCATTCATTTATCTTTAAATTGTTCTACTTCCCACGATGAATTCATCTTCTTTTTTCTTTTAAGCAAAATGTTAAGTGGACAATTGAAAGTGTCACCAGGCCTTACTTTCACAGGTAGGAGGGCTCGGGCTCCAAACGCCTACTGTTTTGTTCACCACGGTGCAGGTAATGGAGGCATTGCCAACAAGTGAGAAGGTGGGGTCACACCTATAGGTAACCGAGGAGCCATACGTGTAGACATCTTCATATCCACCATTGTGCTTCCCATTGCTGATGTCTGGAGGAGAGCTACACTTGACAACTGAGAAATTAGTGAAAGAGAAAGAAAACGTTCAGGGATGGGCAATCGTAACAATGCTAGAATTACTGCAAAGGTATGCAGGGTCAGGAACAACACATAGACTCATCCCCTGAGTTTATGGCCAAGTCAAAAAGATTTCTTTACTTACTTTCACATTCTGGGAGTGGGTTGCTCCAGGCAACGCCTTTACTTTGGATCTCACAATAACTAGTGGATGAGCCAATTAAGAAATATCTAGATAAGGGAAGGTCAAAAAGTTTAATGGAATTCCCACTTTAAAGAAAATCATATAAACCAGGCATTGGTGGTGCACGCCTTTAATCCCAGCACTCGGGAGGCAAAGGCAGGTGGATCTCTGTGAGTTCGAGACCAGCCTGGTCTACAGAGAAACTTCCAGAACAGGCTCCAAAGCCACAGAGAAACCCTGTCTTGAATCCCCCCCAAAAAAAATTGTATGAAGGTTACATACATATTAAAGAAATGATGTTTTCTCATCTGAGGAGTTGTAGTAGAGGGTTTGAGGAAGAGAGAGGAGAAGTAGATCCAAGAATAATGACACATGTTTGAAGATGCCATAATGAACCCATTTCTTTGTACTTTAAAGATTAAAAGTCAAAAAGTACAGTGAAACAAATGCATAAAATTGTCATAATGGAACCCATTACTCTGTATGTTAACTTTAAAAATTACTTCAATTTTTAAAAAATCATTATACATTGCAGTAGAAGACTATTTCAAAATGCATTTCAAGTGAAGGTTACAAATGATCTACATATTTAAGTTAATGTACATTACATAGTAGTGAAAAATTGGACCAACTGCTCCCATTAAAACAAGTAAGATGGCTCAGTGGTTAAGGCCCCTTTCATAGGACTGGAGAATGCTTCCTAACGCCCACCTAAGTTCACAGAAATCTGCCTGTCTCTGCCTCCTAAGTGTTCAGATTAAAGGTTTGCATCATTAAACCCAGCAGGACTCAGGGGTTTTTGTTTTTGTTTTGACGTTACTTATTCTTGAAAATTTCATACATGTATCGCATACAATGAAATATGATCATATACATCTCTATTTCCCCTTCCGACTTCCCTATATAAGAGGCTTAAACAGGAACTAAATTTGTTATCAGAAAGGGGAACTGAGAAACGTGCTAATTTCCTGACTTGTATTTGAATGAGGAGGAGAAACTGATGAAAAGGAAATTACCTTTTATACCACAGGAAGGGAAAGGGCGCACGGAGATAGGGTGGAAGAATTCCACATAGATATTCTTTGTATCACTTTAAGTTTTGAAAGTAGCTGGTTTTTAAAGGTAACTGGGAACTGTTCCTAAATTACCTCACACTCACCCTTCTGAGCAACTGAATTCTATCTGTGATCCAAAATAGAAATCTGTTTTAACTTCCACTTGTCCATTTTGTAAGTCTCCTGGGTTCCCGCATGATTTTTCTAGAGAAAAAAATTAAATGATGGTAAGTGATCCCACCGTTCATGGGTAGCATCCATTTCAGAAACTCACAGATCCATGCCTCTCTCCACACTCACAACGACCTACATACTTAGCGGCACGTTGCCCCTGAATCTGACTCACTGAATTTCTGTTCTGGAGGGGAAATTCTCACAAATCCTGATCTCTTTGCATCACCATGCTTTATTTTAGCAAGAATCGTTTTCTTTATTATGAAAAGAAATGAGAGAGAGAGAGAGAGAGAGAGAGAGAGAGAGAGAGAGAGAAGCCACTGTGTCATTACTGTTGGGGACAGTACAGAATATATTACCTGCTCGCAGTAAATTAGCTGCTTTTCCAAGTCCACGAAATATTTTGGTTTCTGCGTGATTTTACTTAATATTTAAATTAGTAAACAAAATAGTGGTTTTCATTATGACATTTCCATATAGGTATAGTATTTTAATCATACTCACTAGCTATTGTGGTCACCTTCCTTCCCCAATATATGTATGCATGTATGCATGTATGCATGTATGCATATGCATGCCTTTGTTTAAAAACTTCCAAATTCCACATATAAAAGCAAATGCTCACCATGAGTTTGAGGTAAGATTGCTATTTTCTGGTCATTTAGTCCCAAGATGTTTTATCATATTATTATCTTTACTATTTGTATTACTGTTGTTGCTGCTGGGGGGGTGGCTACAGCGTGCAGACTGAGCTCAGAGGACAGCTCTGGAGGGAGGCTCACTTCTTTTCTTCCATCTTTACACAAGTTTCAGGGATCGACTCAGGTCACCTTCACCTGCCAAGCCAGCCTACTGGGCCCGATTTTCCTTTCTTTTCTCTTCTTTATGTTCTGTTTTGTGTTTGAGAGAAGCCCTGGGCAAGCCTGGAAGTCGCTATGTAGACCAGGCTGGCCTCCAACTCACAGAGGTCCTTGCTTGCCTCTGCTTCCCGCATGTTGGGATTAAAGGTGTTCACTACCTCACATCAGGCCTTAGTCCTAATATTTATTTAAAGAAGCACCCGGTAAGTTACTGATAACTTAGTTAGGGTTACTACTGTTGTGATGAAACACCATTACCAAAGCAACTTGGGAAGTAAAGGGTCTATTCAGCTTATATTTATATATAACAGTTCATCATCAAAGAAAGTCAGGACAGGAACTCCAGCAGGGCAGGAACCTGGAGGCAGGAGCTGATGCAGAGGCCATGGAGGGGTGCTGCCTACTGTCTTGCCCCTCATGGCTTGGTCAATCTGCTTTCTTGTAGAACCCAGAACCACCCACCCAGAAATGAAACCACCCACAATGGACTGCCTCCCCCCATCAATCACTAATTAATGAAATTCCCTCCTGGCTTGCCTACAGCCTGATCGTATGGAGACATTTTCTCAAGGGAGGCTCCCTCCTCTCTGATGCTTGTGTTGAGTTAACATAAAGCTGGCTAGCATTCTTCATTGCAATTAGCTTATTTCTTATTTTCTGCTCTGTTTTATTCTGCTCTCTAGAAGATTCAAACATATGTTCATTCAAATTGCCAATTTATCATTTAACTAGTTCCTTAGTGACTTAAGATTCAATAATTATATAACCTGAGATGGCATTCCGAAACCGGGGAGAAAAATAAATATCAGTACTTACTAACACAGGAGATACCAATCTGCCAATCCCCTCCATGTGCACAGTAAATAACATGGCTTGAAGTTGCCCTACTGTAGCCAGGGCGGCAACTGTATCTCAAGACAGTTCTGCTTGCGAAGTCTGTCTGGTTCGTCTCTCTTTCTGGGAAGGCACCGGGCACATCAGGTGGTGGACCACATTTACCTAGACACCGACAGGACAGCAACGCCAAATGTTACACCCTAAAACACAGCATCTATAATTGCAGACAGAGAACGGTTCTTTTCTTCTGTAATCAAGAAAAAAAAAATCACACGTGTACTATTCCCCTGTTATGAGTCCTGAGAGCAGTACGACCATGCCTGTTGATGAATGACGATGACAATGATGACAAAAGGCATACAGCTTGTAACTTTTCCAAAAAGGAGACAGTCATACATTTCTTCGGCCTCTATTACCCATCTCTGCTCAGAGAGCATCGATGAAAATCCCGAAGTTCCTATAGATTTGCCTTAACAGAAACACGCTGTCTCACTTGAACTAACATAAGCCAGACATGATGATCTGTAAGGAAGATGATGAATTCAGTCCAGCCTGGGCCACAGAGAAGCCAAAGCACAGAACTCTTGAGATACAAGAATCTAAATCCTACTTTCCCTATTACAAATGAATAGACAGAGCTAAGGTGTTCTACGTGAGCCCCAGAAGTATGTTCTTCACTTCTCCATCCCAGACCACCCCTCAGGCCATGAAATGTGTTTAGGTGCTGTTAGGCAATACAAGTTTATTTCAAACCCCAGCTGGGAAACAGGTTGCCTTGCAAACTTAGGTAAGAAATTTGAGGTGAAACACCTCGAAACTGTCCCAACTCCAGCTGGCCCAATAAATCCTTTGTTGCTGAAACCGAATCTCCACTAGCTAAACTATCTCATTTTTAAAGTATTGTAAATAATTCTTTGTTATCCATCTGGATTTTTTATTTTTTTGACTCCTACCCTACTCACCAAACACAGCAACCCAGAGAGCAGCAATGATGGTCATTTGGAACAAAGTTGGGTCAGAGACTCTCCAGAGCCTAGAGAAGGGCCAGGCCACAACATCTCTCCCATGTGGAACTCTCGAGGGCCACATAGCCTGCTGGAGCTTTGCCCACTTCTGTTGTGCCAGAAACCTGAATTTAATAAGCAACGTTTAATCTACTTGTCATAAAGCACTGGAATAAATGCTATTATGATATCCACCTCTTCAAGGAAGTGACAGCCTACATTTTACTAGGATATGAGCACAAATGGTATCACCAGAAGACCATGAGGACTCGCCTCTGTAAAGGCCACTTCTGGGAAGAGAAATTCATTCCGACTGGAAAAAAGGAAGTGAACTTGCAGAGGAGGATACACCAGTGCCCAGTGTTTTGTGAAGCCAAGAGAGTAAGTTCATACCAGACAGGGTCAGGAGACATTGTTCAATTTGGCAAACTAGGAGAACTCTCCTCTCTCCTGCTGACTTACTAGATACCTAACCATGTGGTTATTCAGATTGTAGATACACACTGAAGACTGAAGATCTGGCCTGCACATATAAGAGAAAATATACAATATTTGTATTTTGGGGCCTAGGTTAATTGGCTCAGGGCTATTTGTTTTTCTAGCTTTGCCAATTTACCCGGGAATTTCATGCTATCTTTCTTAACAACTGAGTAATACTCCATTGTGTCAATGAGTCACATTTTCATTTTCTATCCATCAGTTGATACACATCTAGGTCATTTCCAATTTCTGGCTATTATGAATAGAACAGCAATAATGAACACGAATCTGCAGAAGGATGTAGTGTCCTTTGGGTGTGTGGTGGTGGTATAGTGGTATAGCTGGATCTTGTGGTAGATTTGTTTCCAGCTTTTGAGAACCCTCCACATTGATGTCCATAACAGCTGTATCAGTCCATACTCCCACCAGCAATGAAAAAATGTTTCCCATTCCCAGCATCCTCCCTAGCATGTGCAGTCATTTGTTTTATTGATCTTGGACATCCTGACTGGAGTAAGATGAAACGTCAAAGTTGTTTTCGTCTCCATGTCCTGATGGCTAAAGCTGGGGAACGTTTCTTTAAGCGTTTCTCAAGTATTTGTGTTTGATCTTTTGAGAACTTTCCACTTAGTTTTCTGCTTAGTCATGTACCCCATTTTTAATTGGAGTATTTATTTTCTTGACGTTCAGGGCTTTATTATTTATTATTATTACTAGCCTTCCACCAGATGCATAACTGGTGAAGATTCCTGATGCTTTTGTCTTCATTCAATAGCTGCTGCTTTGCCCAAATACTGGTGTCCTTTACTGAAGCGTACTAGCCTCACGAGGTCCCATCTACTAATTGTTGGTCTTAGTGCCTGTGCTACCAGCATCCTCTTCAAACCTACACAGCGTAGTCTTATGGATTCACAAAGGGAAAACTACAACAGGAGGACTAAATGAGGAGGGAATGGGAAAGCAGGGAAACTGTGGTGATATTTTGCTTGTCTGGAAGTCAGAGAATGGAGCTCGCCACTAGCTAACCATAGAAGTCTGGAGGGCTGTATAGACAGACAGGAAATGAAGTAGCTGGGCGGAAACAGGATATAAGCAGTGAGAAACAGGAACTCGCTCTTGCTCCTTCTTCTCTCTGATCTCTCAGCATTTTCCATATCTGACTCTGGGTTTTTATTACTTAGACCAATTAAGAACTACATTTACAGGGGAGTGACAACTAATATTAAAGGCCATTTGAAAAATTATATGGAAACATGCTACTGTAGAAGCTTCCTAAAATATATTCATTTAAGAAAGGAATTTAAATACAGTCACTATATAATGTGGGAGACAATGCCCCAACAAGACATCTTTTGCCACCAAATATCACAGGCTATTTCTAAGGCTATTGGTTGCTTTCCACTTGATGGTAAGGTCCCATATCTGATGACAGCAATAGTTAGGTCATCCAAACAGAAAAGCTGAGCTGATGCCTGTCAAGAGCTTCACTCTTACTAACTAGCACTCATGGCACTAGAAGGTACTCTGCTGGTGACTGGAGATGAAAAAATGGTCATCAGTATCATCCACCTAGCAAAGTGTGAAGACTTTGGTGGTTTTGTTTTGTTTGTTTAGTTTATTTCTTGTGGTATGGAGGAGATTGAAGCCAAAACCTTCTGCATGCTAGACAAGTACTCTACCAAATACAGTTTTAATGAACTTTTCTCATTTGGGTTGATGGTGCTTCCTCCAAGACCCAAAGACCACCTAGCCAAAAAAAAAAAAAAAAAGACATGACAAGCCCTCTTTTGAGTTTTTTGGCCAAGGCTATTCAAGAGACTCCAGAACATAAAGCCTATTGCTTTGCCCTTGGCCAACCCCTAGAAGAGGAAGGTAAGTCCCTATTGCTGAAGACACCATGAACTTTAGAAATAGGGACCAGAGACCCCTGAGCTGGAGCTGGGGCTGATTTGAATGCCCTCTCCCAGAGGAGTAGCTTTTGTGGTACTAGAAGGCACCATGAAAACTTCCAAAAGGAGGCAGCCACCAACAGCCCTACCTACCTATGATGTCTATGAACCACATCAAAAACCAACATAGCACACCAACCACTAACCCTAAGCATGTAGTTGTGGCACACACACCATCGCAGTAAACAAAAGCTCTCTAATTGGACTTAAGACCCATTCAACAAGGGAGGAAACCATGCCCAGTACTGCAAACCTAGCTAACTAATTACTCGGTGCTAGTGAGGTCACAGTTAATAACAGAGACTCTACAACCAGCAATTTACTAAATCAGCATAATCTGTAACAATAATCTATAAACATTTGGTCTTATGCCCACAGATAAGTATAGTCTTCCTCGCCAAGGAAACTTCTCTTTGTAGCAGATGGAGACTAACACAGAAAACCATAACCAATCAAAATGTAGAGTTATGGAGCCCAGTTCCAATGAATACATCTACAAAGCACTCCTGTGCCTAAGAGGAGCATTGCAGAAGAGGGGACAGGACCCAAGGGAGAGTTTACTGTGAGATTGTAACTAGTACCATCAGAAGCTACACCAGTAAAAATCTCACCAGCATGACCTCCCAAACTTGAGCTGAACAAGGACGCCAGGGAACATACAAAGCTAGATGGGCAAGGCCCATGAGGCCTTGATTCTATACAAAGAACTATAGGCAACTTAGGTAACCTGGGAATGACAGAGGCGGCATTGCCCAGGAGAAAACCACCACGACTGGGTGTCAGTGCCAAATGTTCAGCCCAGAAAACATGCACACAAGTAACATGATACGGGCTGAACAGATTATATTTAGGAATACAGTCATGCAATCACAATTAATGAAAAAAGAGGTCACAGATTTGGAAGGGGGCGAGAAAGGGTGTATTTGAGGGGAAGAAAGGGAAAGTGTAATTAAATTACAATCTCAAAAAACAAAAACAGAACGTAGAGGTGCATGCCGTATTATAGGGCTTGATGGCCAGCTTTACCCATAACCCCCCACCCGTGATCAGTTGCTCACTGACCTGCAGTAGCAGAGGAAATGACTCTGTGACGGTGCCTTGATCTTTATTGTACTAGCTTCTCCCAAGATGTCAGTTGATCATAATATCCTAAAGGCCGCCAGTAATGGCTCCACCAAAAAGTCCCTGGATTCTCCCCACACAGGTGGTCCTTGGATTCCACCTACTCGGGTGGCTGGTCAGAGACAGGTAAATAAAGATGGACGGGAGAAACTTCTCTGTCCCAGTGAATGATTAACAAACCGGAGCAGTGGTATTTACCTAATCTCCTTCCTCCCCAGCACGCTTTCTTGACCATGTGTTGCAATTATTTATTTTCTTCTCTGCCAACCATTTCCCCTAAGTTAGAAGGGTGACTGGAATTTGATGCCAGAATTTTCCTTTTGTTTTCATAATCATAAGAGTGATGCAACATAAAACCCAACCAGCCTAGAAACCCTAAGGAGTTCAGACCCACTCCAGCTACAGGGATCCTCTTCCTAGTACAGGAGGCCTAGAGGCATTCAGGGAACTCAGGTCTGGGGTCCTTGCTCTTCACTTGTCTCCATGAATCACAAGGAGGTCCAACAGAATGTATTTTATTGGGTTCCTGCCATGTGATAACATACATGGAACATACTCAGAGCTCAACAAATATTAACAACCCGCCAGCAGGCACCAAGTGGTCTCCAGAAGCTAGTCTGACACTGATTACCACTCAGAAGAATGTGATGGAGAGGCTGGCAGCGTTAGATATCACACAAATCTACAAATAACATCAAACCCCAACATGTCCATTTAACAAAACCTAAAGTTTCGGATTTCATGAGCCCAAAAGACTGCTATTGAAAAGCAATTCTGGACCGGTGAGATGGCTCTGTGGGTAAATGTGCATTTCGTAAGCCTATGCCATGTTATGAATGCCCCTCGTATAAATAAATACATGTTAAAAACAAACAGTTCTTACCAGATGTAGTGCTACAAGCTTGTAATTGTAGCCCTTGGGAGGCTGAGGCAGGAGGACTAGGAATTCAAGACTAGCCTGGGCTACATATAAGATCCTAGCTAAGAAATCAAGGGCTGGAGGTGTTTCCCAGTGATAGAGCACTTGTCTAACATGCAAAGGTCCTTGGGTGTGATCAGCATAGCAAAAAAGAAAAAAAAATGTTTGTGGCATAATATTTTGTTTTCGCTAATAAACACTAATGGCTCCACAAATTCAGCTCATCAGGGAAGTTTGACAGGGATGTGAGATTTAGGGTGGGCCTTGAATGATAAGCAGCAATTACTAGATGAAAATGAGAAGGATATTACAGGGGGGAAAAAAAAGCACAGCCACCTCACAAAGGTAACAGCCTGATTTAATTTGATAGGAATCTAAATAAAAGACAATCCACAAAACTGAGTTGGAGGAAATAACACCTTTCAAGTTCAGTCTTCAAAGTATCGTTTTTTTCCAATGTGTTCTTTCCTCTGCTCTGTGCTACGGTGGGTGCAGAGTTTCCAAGGGGCCTGGCTTGTCTTACTCTCAGCAGATCAGGTTGCCTTCTCAAAACTCATTCTGTATTAGTTTTACCCATGCCACATTTCTCTCTCCTGTCAATCCTGATTTTAAAGAGTTGCCTCTCCTCTGATACAAGTCTCTTAATCTGAAGTATTCCTGTAACCTTGCCAGGACTTCAAACTCCTTTTCATTCCTTAATATGGCGCTGTACTCCTCAAGAACAAAGTCTTTGTCTGCAAGTTTACATGTCTTATGTCTCTTATGTGTTTAACTCTGCCAAACATTTCCATTCTAAACCACCCGTTCCCACTTTGATTCCTGTGATAATGCTATCAACTTGGCAAAATTTAGGGTCATCTGGGAGATGGATAGGCGTCTGGGTGTGTGTGTGGGGATCTCTTAATTATGCTAATTAAGGTGGGAAGACGGAGCACCATGGGTGGCATCATGCTCTAGGCAGGACGTCCTGGGTGGTATAAGACAGTGAGCAGCACATGCATGCATTCATTGTCCTCTTCTGACTGAGAACCAGCTACCTCAAGCTCATGGTGTCTTTAATTCATTTCCTGTCATGATGTACTGTAACTGTGAGCTAAAACAGATCCTTCAATTAACCCTAAACTTCCCTGATTCTTCAAATTCCTCTCAGGGTTTTAGAACTCCTTTTCCTTCCTCTCATCCATAAACGTAAACACATTTCATTCCCGTCTTCTTTTATCATTTTATCGTTTAGAGTTTAGGTAGCCCTAACTGGCCTGGAACTCATTACACAGACCAGGCTGGCCTCTGCCATGCCTGGCTCTTTTCCTTATTAAAGAAACAAAGCAATCAAACAAACAAAAACCTCTTCACTTTAATGAACTTATTTATTCTTAACCTTTAAATAGCCCCAGTAGGAGGACCACTCCATAGAACATCATTATCTTTGATTGCTGTCCTAAGTTCTATTCACATTATTGTGTTGTGTGTGCGACATATTTAAACACCTCTCACACACAGCACATCTAAAGAGAACTCTAGGTCCTCGAGGAAGGAATTTCAGGGCTGCTTTTGAATACTTCTTCCTTAAGCAAATCAGTTCGCAAGTTATTTTTTATATAAGTATCACAACACCTCTCATTCCTTCTGCTCCATTTCAGCATCTGCCTCCATGAAAATAGTTCCGTACCATCAGTGTCTTTCGTGTGGGTGTCTCGGTCTCTTTTCTGTTTCTATCGCAGAATGCCCAAGGCTGGGATTCTTATAAAGAACAGAGGTTTACCTCTCACATCTCTAGATTAGTAAGTCTGAAACCGAAGGGCCTACTTCTGGCTAGGGCTTTGCTGCTGCGTTGCCCCACAGTAGGAGGTGAGGGGCAAGAGAGCAGCAGGAGGCAAAGAAGAGATGGAACTGAACTCCATCCTTTTGTCAGGTCTCCTGTGACAACTAACTCAATATCAATCCACTCTGAGGACACTAACCCATAAAACCTAATGACTTCCTATGCTGGGTGCTTTCACGTCAATTAGACACAAGCTAAAGCAGAGATACCCAACCTTCCTAATGCTGCCACCCTTTAATACAAGTCTCATGTTGTGGTGACCCTCAACCATCAAATTATTTTCCTTGCTACTTCATAACTGTAATTTTACACCCGTATCGATCATAATGTAAATATCTGATATGCAGGATATCTGAAATGCAACCCCTATAAAAGGGTTGTTGGACACCCCCCACCCACCCAAAGGGGTTGTGACTCACAGGAACTGTTGAGCTAAAATCACCTGAGAGGAGGGAGCCTCCATTAAGAAAATGCTTCCTCAGGATGGGGCTGTAGATGAGTCTGTAGGGCATTTCTTCATTAGTGACCAATGGGGGAAGTCCCAGACCATTGTGGGTGGGGCCATCCCTGAGCTGCTGGTCCTGGGTTCTATAAGAAAGCAGGCTGTGAAAGCCATGGGAGCAAGCCAGTAAGCAGCACCCTCCATGGCCTCTGCATTGGCTCCTGCCTCCAGGGTCCTGTCCCGCTTAGAGTTCTTACCCTGACTTCCTTCAGTGATAAACTACACGGTAGGAGTGGAATCCAACTAAACCCTTTCCTTCCAGCACGAACTCTGGGGAACATACATGCACCACTGCAGAGACCCTTGATTGGTTTCTCCATGTCAATTATTTTCCACCTCAACACATGCTATTAGGGTTTCCCTTACCGCTATGAGAAAGCATCCTCTGTGTTGTTCCCATCTCACTGCTTGAAGGCCATATGTACTCTGCCTAACAAAAGACGTGTGCAAATTCTCTGATGCATGTTTTAAAACCCTGTTAGCTGGATTTAAGCAACCTTCTTCCCCTCACCACCACTCATGTTTCATTCAAGCCAACCCAAGTTACATGCTATTGCCTAAACATGTTCCATCTTTCTTGCATCTCGGGAACCCTTTATGAAAAAAAAAAATTCACTTCAAAGCATTAAATCACCATAGGGGAGAAAGCCTTAGGGTTCCTGCATCTCCTACTCTTTAAGTAAAGAGACGAACATGCGCTCACCATACTGCAACATCTCAGACCCATGTGATGCGGGGGACTGGGAGTTACAAAGGCAGTGACCATATTACCCCAGGCACCACACTATCACCTGGTTACTTCATAAAGCAAGTGTAGACAAGAGTTTGGGACCTAATTCTTCTTCTGTCTCCGTGGGTCATTTTATTTATTTTATTTGGTTGGAAACATTTTAATATTCTTAATTATTCTTCGAGAATTTCACATGGCATATTTTTTTACAATATTTTCCATCCTCCAAGTCATCCTAACTCCCCCACCCATGAGATTTCATGCTCTTTCTTTCTCTAAGAACAAGAGTTCCAGGCAATGCTGGCACACACCTTTAATCTCAGCACTCAGGAGGCAGAAGCAGACAGGTCTCTGTGAATTCAAGTCTAGCCTGGTCTACAGAGACAGTTCCAGGACAGCCAGGGCTACACCAGAGAAACCCTGTCTCTAAAAACCAAAAAGAAACCCAAAATTCCTACAGCCATGGGATCTGATTTGTGTTAACGAACTATTCCTGAACATGGGGCCTCCCCTGGAGTGTGGCTGCTACTGCTATGCCAATGTCACTCCATTGAAGAGAAGTGATTTTCCCTCTCTCAGAGGTGGGACTTGTACCTCCTTCCTTCCCTTCATACTTGGATTTTGTCTTGCTTGAGTGTGGGTCTTGGCATTCTGGCATAGTCTGCGTGAGTCTATCTTTCCTGTTGTGTCTGGAAAGGCTGTATCCTTAAGGTCATCTACCACCTCTGGCTATTGAAGCTCCCCTGCATAACTCCCTCCCTGGGTTCTAAGGGTGGTGGTGTGATAAATATATCCCACTCACGGATGAAGGCTTCCAAAGCCTCTACTCTGCATGTCGTCCAGTTGTCTCCGCTTAAATTATCATCTACTGCAAGGAGAAGGTTCTCTGATGAGGACTGAGTGATGCACTGATCTATGGGTACAGCAGCGTGTCATCAGGAGTCATTTATTCCTCTGTTCCTTTTGCAGAATAACAGTAGTGTATTTTTTGTCTAGTCTCTAGGTCTTGGCTACTTACACAGGGTCAGGGATGGGTTCCATCTTATGGATCAGGCATTGAAACCAATCAAAATGTGGTTGGCTATTCCCTTAACATTTCTGCCGCTATTGTACCAATGGGCGTATACTGTACGAAGAACGTTATTATAGCTTACAGGTTCACAGCCGAGGGAGATTAATGAGCACTCTTCTTCTCTGGTAGCATAGTACCTTCCAACACTGTGAATTTTATCCAAAAGGGATGAAACTCTCTGTTGAATACCAGAGAGACTTTGCCATATGGTATGTCATATCTTCAGCAGTAGGGACTTACTATCAAGTTGTCAGAATAACCAATGGCATTGTCAATAATCTTTAGCGCTTGAGAGGGTGTGGTACTCAATAGGTAATTTTAAAGATGTAACTGTTGTAAATATATTTGTCCAGAATGGAAGGTTAGTGCTTGTCTCGGAAATTTTGACTTGTAATTCACATCTCATGTGACCCTCTGAACAGATGCATGATTTCTTATTCCCCACACAGCCAAAGAACTCATCTTTGCATTCTTCATTAGCATGTTGCCAACTCTGGTCTGCAGCGGATAACCACCACAGCTGGCCCTCCCACAGTCTAAGTAAAATTCCCACCCATGCCCCCCAGAGTACACACAGTATACCCACTGTAGAGTCACACGACCTTGCACTTCAACTCAGTAAGGAACAACCTGAGAGCACCCTCAGAAGCGCTTTATTCACAGGGGTGCGTCGGTCACCATCTTGCTTAGCTATATTTCAGTAAAATATCTGCCTTCAGCTTAGTTTTCTTTATCTCCAGGGAATATTTCAGTTCTCCCATTTTTAGTCCACTTTCCCTCAGGCTTCTCACAAAGTTCTCTGTGGCGCTGCAAAGGTCCTTACTCTCCTGAAAGGCAAGCTGAGGGAAGAAAAACTTTTGAAGTCAGGGAGGCGAGATTCAGCTGTCTACTCTTAAACCAATAAATAAATAAGCTGCAAACCCAGGGAATTTGCGCGAGGATCTGAGCCCTCAACATGATCAGCCATTTACATGTCCTGCTTTAAATACAAGCGTTACTATTTCTTCAAGAATAAATGCAGGCCTAAGTTAGTCTGAAGGAAAATCAGTGTGTTCAGAATATACTGGAATCTAGACTTGGAGCAGCTTCTCACAGCTGCCGGTGCACCGAGTATAATTAAATGCCGAACGAGGCAATAAACCATGAGAAGGTTGTGTGAGGTGTTTGTGATGATGGCGATGAATAGGAATGTTATCCAGAAGTGCGAGTTGGCATTTTATGAGACCCCTTCTGCAATGGGTCAAAGTTAACCTATTCAAGCACATTACCCAGAACTGAACAAGTATCCACTAAGTATATGCCATGAGTAATGGCAGGCCCGAGGCTGCAGCTAAGAACAAAATAGATAACTGCCCCTACTTACAATTGCTGTCCTAAGTGCAGTCTGTTCAGCCTGGCTGGGATCTTCCTGAATAGGCTCACAGGTAGGATAGGAACTGCTCCAGTCCCCGTCAATGCATCGCAGCTTCTGCGTGCCCACCAAGCGGTACCTGGAGATGTTAGAACACTTAGCCTTTGCGCCTTCTAAGCGGAGCAATGGGGACTGCATTTCAGTGTTTCAAACTGTCGTCAAATCCACCTCCCTGCCCCCAACTCCCAGTGTATTCTGCAGTTATCTCATTCTGAGAAAACAGCTCTGGAGTAAAAGCTCTCCTGAAATGGTGGGAAGACCCAGGGGATGAGTTAACCCAGGATCACATGGAGGTAAGTGAGAGCTCCAGGGCCAGGGCTTTGGGTGGGGACCGGTGAGGGAAGAAGTGTTTGATTGGTCACAGCCTACAACAGGCGTCTGTGTTAAGCTCTAAAATCTGGTGCAGGTGAAGGGACTAAATAAGAGAGGTGTGTGTGATGAGAAAAAATAAAAGGTGACTCAAAACCGAGAGGTGGGACTTAGAGGCTGAGGAAGCCACATGACCCATCCAGGAGGGAGAGGAGACCATGTGAAGGAGGGTTGGTCCTTGTTATAATGTGTGTGTGTGGGGGGGCAGACAAAAGGGAAAATCTGGGCCATGAGAGACGAGGCTTCCCCTGAGCCAGACAGTATAGTGACCCTCTAGGTTTGGAGAAAACAATGAATAGAGACTTGTTCAAGATTCCACATCCCTGAAACAGACTCCTCATATGGAGTTGGCTAGTTATCGGTCCCCTGTAACACAGAGTCACAATGTGACAGCTACCGGTGCCAAAAATACACATATTTAGAAACCCGGATAAGTTTAAGAACCATTTAACAGAAACTGAGGGATCCAGTAGACAAATAGCCCCGGAGCTCACTTTGAGACTGGGGCATATGCCCCAAAAGTCTATGTCACAATCCCCGAATATATTGCGAGAATGAATGTATTATTGCAAACTACCATGGGGAAAGGTGCATGGCAAACAAATATGTCTTGGCCACAAAGCCAATCTCAAGAGACCATATCAGTGACACTGCTGACTCCAAGGCCATGTACCAGTACTTTCTAAAGGTATGGGGGAGCACCAAGAGAACACAGAAACAATCCATGAGTTGGGAAAGGTTAACATCACTATGCTTGTATACAACCCTTTAATTTGTTGTCATACCCTATCCAAAAGCCTAATGGGACATAACTTAAGACAGCTGGTTACTGGAAATATTGAGTAAGGTGTATCTGGCCCTACTTAACACTGCTATACTGTTTAAGTCTTGAAAACACAACCAGGACATCACCATTGTGTGTGGTCTATGTACCGGATTTGTCCAATGATTTTTTTTTTAGCTCTGATACAGTAGTTGAAAGGCAAGAATATTTTGCCTTCATCTGGGAAAGCCATCAGTGGACTTTCACCATGTTTCTGGCAGAAACGAACCAAACCAGCAACTGTTCAAATATTGCATTACACGGAGGAGACATTAATCCAAACAAGGTCCAAGGACCTGAATTGTTTATGAAATATTTGAGTGTTGTCTACCATAAAATGTAAGTATTGCCACAGATTTAACAGACAAGGCACAGGCTTTCCTCCTTCTCTACATGGTTTAGCAAATACAGAAGTCTATAGGGCTACTTGGCTACTACAGGGCTTCCATCCCATACCTGACCCTTCCCACCTAAGGCCATTCCAATTCAAATATAAAGCAAGAGATAAGAGGCTGTCCAGAAGCTCATCCCATGGCATTTAAGGAAGAAAAGCAAACTATGGAGCAAGTACAGGGTGTGCAGACAGTTCTCACACAATAAGGGGCTAACCATGCGTGTGTCTGTGGGGAAAAAATGGTACACTACTCATGAAGACTTAATAGCCACAAAACCCATTGGCCTAGAAGCTCTGGTCAATACACTGACTACTTACCCACTGGAGGCTAAATAACATTACTTATAGACCCATCTGTATTCAGGGACAGCACTGATAACTACTTTGAAGATAGCACATTCTCCCTCAGTAGAGAACTCCAACAGTGTTGTTACCCCATTAACTATCAAACAGAAGAAGTGTAGGTGAAGTTTTTCCATTGGGACCCAATCAGCTCTGTCCCATCAGCTGCTCCCAAATATCCACAGAGACTTAATGTTAATTATAAATGTTCAGCCAGTAGCTTGGGCTTGTCTCCAGTCAACTTTTACAACTTAAATTAACCCATTTCTATTAGTCTATGTGCTACCCCAAGGCTCATTTACCTCATCTGTGAACTTCCTATGCTGCTTCTTCGATTCTGGCTCTCAACCCTCAGACCCTGCCCTTCTTCTCCCCAGAATTCCCTTTGTCTTGAAAATCCTGCCTGGCTATCAGCCAATCTCCTTTTTTATTAACAATGAGAGCAACACATTCCCACAGTGTACAAAAGGGTTATTCCATAGCAAAGGAGGCGTGACTATACCCAGGGAAGTGTTCACTCATCAGTGAAGGAGGGGAGAAGCAATTATAAAGTGGCGGGTTGGCAAAGTGAAACCACCCCCTGACAGAGGGCCTACTACTGAAAGACAGAAAGCTTTTGTGTTGATGAAGGTCACGTTTACAGCAGTCAGTGGGCCAGACGCCACACAGAATGGATCCTAGCAATGTGAGAAGAGAAACTCCTAATTATAAGCACAGAGCTTCGGTCCATGTTCAGAGGCCTTCCATTTTGGCTTCCTCACTGGCAGAGTCAACAGTGGTCCATTAGCAGACACCCACTGTGGGGATGAGAGCCATGGGGAGATGTGGGTCATGAAGTGAAACAGGTAACCAAGACCTAGTAACCAAGGCCTACTGTGGGTGTTCCATCTATCCTTCAGCCCAATAGGTTCGGGACTCACCAGGAGCAGGACACATCAAACAGGCGAATAAGTAACTGAATCTGGCTTTAAAGATAGACTCCCGCTTCTTTCCCTAAAGTACTGAGAACGTTCAATAAAAGGCCAAAACAAAACAAAAAACAAAAACAAATCCAGCAGCAATAGAGTAATAGTCACAATTACCCAACAGAGGCCCCCAACATTGAGACTACAAATTAAATGGGCAGATCTCTGTAGCCAGCACGGGGACCTGACAGAAATGTGCTCCTCTGAGATCAAACGGAAGTCACACCATCCACAGAATACCTTATGTAGCCCTAGAAGGTCTCAACCATTGTTACACCTATCATGCTAAGAAAATGGTCTAACACTTAAGTGTGCCCAATAGCAGGAATTACTCACAAAGGAAAATATCATATAAACAAATCGCAATTGCATCTCCCTGCAGGATCTGTTTCCTTTCTCCCCCAGGTCCCAGCCTGACAGTTGGTTGAATAACCGAGAAAAAGGAATTCTTTCACAGTGTGCTGTTTTGAATAAGATGCCCCCATAGTCTCCAGCACTCCAATACTTCATTCCCAGTTGGTGGTACTATTCGGGAAGGCTTAGAAGGTATACCCTTGTTGGAGGAAGTATGTCACGAGAGGCATGCTCTGAGAGTTTAAAGACTCACGCCATTTTGAGTTCATGCCCTCTGCTAAGCGCTTGCCGTTTAAGGTGTGAGCTCTCTGCTTGCTGCTCCAGCCACCATGCCCCTGCCGTCATATTCGCTGTCAGGATGCTACCGGGCTCTTAACCCTCAGGAACCATAAACCCAAGCCAACCCTTCCTTCTACACATTGCCTTTATCACAGCTATAGACAAGTAACTGCTCCAACTAGGGTATAGTGGTACTCTACGCTTACCCATCTCGACAGTGATAAGTAACAACGGATCCTGCAGTGAACGATCCTCCTTCAAAATAGCCATTGCTAGGAATCCCAGGAGATCCACAGTCTCCTAAGGGAAAGACAGCCGGGAGTGAGATTTGTGAGAGGTGGGTACAATCAACAGGACAGGGCGTCCTATGCTGTCTGCCACCTTCACACTGGGACATGTGATACCCGAGAACGTGTTCCCCATTCAGTTCTTTCTCCACTGAAATAACAATTGCCCATGGGAAAGATCCTTTCTGCAGCCGGTCCCCTGAGTCACAAGGAAGCGGGAATCCTTTCTGACCAGCAGGGCTCCGGGAAAGGAGCTACACATTGTAGAGCTGCCAACTGGTAGAGTGTAAGAGAAGGCAAATTAGGGTTGAAGGTGTGGCTCCGCTGGCAGAGTGCGTGCCGAGCACGTATGAAGCCCTGGGGTCAAGCACCAGCACGGGCTAACAGGGATGGCAGCACACCCATCATCCTAGCTCTCCTGGCGTGGAAGCAGGGGGATCCGAGGTTGGGAGAGGAGGGGCGGGAAGAGGGAGAAAGGAAAGAGGAAAATTTGGATCACATGGGAAGGAGAAGTAAGTCACAAGACAGTAGGTAAAGGTTTTATCCTGGCTTGTACACTAATAGGGCACCAAAAGGCAATTTTACCCCCACGGTGGCAATACTAATCAGTACTTACTATTGTGGCATATGGGCAAGGGAGGTGCCCAGGTGTGGTCCTCTAGGCACTGGCTCCAATTGCTTCCCTTGAGGATGTAACCATCATTGCACTTAAACACGATTCTGTCATTTGTATTCACAGGCCCAGAATAATTGGTGTTGCCATTTTCCAGTACAGGCTCAGGACAGTGGCCCACTGAAGTAAGAGAACCATCAGGCTAGGAAGAAGTAAATGTCACACTTCCCCAAGCCTCGGAAAGGTAACAGTAACTCGGAACTTAATGGTGCCCATCTATTATGTATGTATGTGTTGTCAAACCATAACCATGCAGGATGAGAAAAGGCCAAGGTACAGTAATTGGGAACAGAAAAAGGAGTGGGACTATTGTATGGAAATGTCCTCCAAAGCTCCTTAAGTAAGCCCCACAACTTTCGAAAGAAGGCCCATTTAGACTCTGGAAGTTCTAAAGGGGACGGACTCAGCAAGAAAACAGCTAAGAAGGACATCCTGAGCCTGGCCAGATTCACAGGACTCTTCCCTCCTTAATGTTACATGAGCAATAAGGACTGCCCCAGAGCCCTCGGACCAGCTGAGTGGCCTGGGAGAGAGTTTTGAACCTGTTTAGCTGCCTGCAAGTTGTACAGAGGGCTGCAGTTTCCCAGCTTCTGTGAGCCATCATAAATGCTGGGGTGGGCCTTGGGCGATGCCGCTGTCACTGAGTCATTTCTGTTCCTGGAAGTAACCCCAATAAACTCATTGATTCACCACGTTGGACTTCGGTAGTATCCTTAACCTTGGTCTGTCATTAGTTTCTTATCTGGGATGGGCAGACATTTTCCATGTCTCCCCAGGAATAGTGTTACACAACATGGTCGTGCACAAGAATGTGAATGACAACTGTATTACACAAAATGAAGTATGTAACTAGTTATTCCAGTAACATGTTCATTATTCTGCTATGTTGAACACTGTTCAAATGTCTTAAGCCTATGTTTCGTGTAAGTCTTTCCTTTTCTTTCATCTAGCCATATATATATATATGCTTGCTCATTTCTTGCTTTCTTTTTTCTTATATATTTTAATTGTTTTTTTTTTCCCTTGTTGAAAAATCAGGAGTCAATGGAGAGGGATGTAAATTTTTTTCATATGACAGAAACTTTAAAATATTATGAATACATAAGATTAACACGGTTTATTAGAAAATAGTAGTAGCAAAAACCATCTGGAAGAATTATGCTCTGTCATTATAGAAGATAACTCGATGAGTTTTGTCACCTGGAGCAAGCCACTTGAATCACACTTATTACACATGTAAATTAAGAGTACAGCTTTCCCCTAGCTTAAAAGTAACACGATGGACAAGCATTGGTGATGTGCCTGAAATTGGAAGTTCCAGGTCACTAGGGCCACATATCAAATTCCAGCAAATTCCAGATCAACATGACGGGCTACTACAGCAAGATTCTATTTCAGAAGCACCTGGGAGAAATGAAGATTAGCTTCTTAGAAATTGAGATTTTTTTTTTTTTTTTTTACAATTTTAACATGAAGCAGGATATAACAGGATACAGGAGATGACAGTGTGGACAGAAAAACCAAACTCACGGCGGCACTCAGGCGGGGAGTCAACCCATTCCTCTAGGCCACTGAGGACCAAAGACTGCTTTCCCACCAAGTGGTAGCCTCGGATACAAAGGTAAACCCCCTGAATCTGTCCTTCTACTTTCTTTGCAACAAATACACTATTGTCCACTGGAGGAAGCTCTGAGAAGCTCTCTGCTGGAAGGAGAAAAAGAGAATGGAATCATTCGGCACATCGCTGGCTTCTGGCTTCAAGGACACCCCACTGGATTCCTCCCTCCAAGTCTTTGCTGAGCTTATCTTCACACCATGCCGTGGCCTCTCTCTTCCATTGTATGTGTATCCCCATCCCCCATTCTCCAAGGATTTCTGAAGCTATGTTTCCAAACAGATCATGGGCATTATAGTCAAATTCAGCCACAAGTTATCCGTTCTTGAACGAGCAACCTCCCCCCCAAGTATCAGTCCTGGAGTTTTTAAATAAGTGATACCCCAGAATTTTGAAATTGTCACTTTTGGGGGTCCCAGAATAAAAAGAGCAAGCCAGCACTGGCCATCCATCTCAGGGAGCAAGATGACCATTAACATTCACCAGGTCCCCAATGAGTATAGAGCATATACCTCAATTAAGAATTTTTAATATTATAAATGTAAATTTCATTAAAACACTACATAGAATGCCTCTTAAAGCCACAGGCTGGCATGAAATATCTTGTAAGGAAATAGTACTTACCATCAAAGGCAGAAATCAGCCACATCAGAGAGCACACAACCCAACAAAGCATTTGGTGAACACTTACTTGACCCTGGGGTGAAATTAAAGCGTGATTTCAATCCTAAGCATCCTCCTAACCCACTTAAGGTCTGAACAACTTCCTTCTAGGGAAGTTTGATTTTCCTCCTAGAACAAATGTGAAAAAGCGAAGTCTTCCCTGAAGACGGGGGAAGGACAGCAAAAAGAGGACAATGTATCCAGTGGCTTTGCAACCACAAAAGATTGATTACAGAGCTGCCAGATTTAAAATTTTAACAACCTTCCCCGTTTCTAGAAATGTAAGCCAGCTGACCAGTCACTGTGAACTGCAGGTTTATCCTTCCCCATTGGGCATGGGCCAAGCGGTCCTGCCGTGACCTTGACTTCTGTCAATATTTACCAGTGTTTTTACTCCACTGCCTACACTCTCTCCAGCTTTGGGGACAGAGGAGGGTACAATGGTCAATGGCAACTTCCCAGTGAAGACCAAACTGAGTGCCACTCTCTGCCACTTTTCTGAATTCTCTTCTGTGTCCCCGGACAATGCTGACAGGCAGGTAAGGTGAGGCAGGTGAATGGGTGTACACAAGGCAAGAGACTGTGTTAATGAGACACAGTTCAGTACAGCCTCAGTGGGAAAGGCTAGAGGCAACATCCACCTGGAGGGAACTGAAGGTGCTGCTTTTATCCGGTGCTAGGCTGACTATAGGGGCAGTCAGCCATTGTTTCAATGCTAACAGTGATCTGGAATGAGTGATGTATTATTAGAAGCAATGACAGTCTCCACCTTGGATCAGAAATGGCTCAGCATGACCACCCTGTCCTGAGCTGACACCCACATTTTAGAGCTACAGCTCATTATGAATAGCTCTGATGACCAGCAGTGACCCTTGCTCTGAGCCAAGCCTTCTGTGAGCCAAAGCAGACTTGGGTTGGATGCCTTGGTACATTCATCCATACCAGACTGGCTTCCACACATTAGCATGTGCTCAGTACTCAAGACCAGAAGTTCAAGTTCTACTGGGAAACTTTAAGCTTCTCTTTTTGGGTTCTTAGTCTAACCGATGAAAGGATTTAAAACAGAGTCGGGAGGAACACGGTGAACCATTTTATTGGAGTTTGAAGGCAGGCCTTCAAATCTTAAGGCTGCCAAGGGGCAGGAGGTGGTGTGAAGAGGGAGGGATAAAGCTGTGCCCTGAGCTTTGGAGGTTGTCAAGCAGCTGCATGGGCTGGGACTGGGGTGCTTCACAGAGGAAGGCTGAGAAATCCCAGGTTGCCTGGCAAAGTATGCCTCTACACTGAGCTGGGAGGAAAGAAGGGAAAGGTGTACATTTCTGAAAGCAGAGGGCCTCTGCGATGCTGCCTGAGGGACGCACCCACTGGAGGTCTGAAGTAGTGGCTTCTGCGAGGACACTTCATTATCGGTAGACCCTAGCTCTTCCTGGACGCTGCCTGCTTTCATTCATTATTCTGCCTTCCCCTTAACACGACAGGTCCAGCTGGTTAACTCTTAAGAGACAATAGCATACAATGTTTTGGGAGGCTTAGAATGTCAGCTCACCACCCAGGGAGAGGTAAAACTTAGACCCTGTTCTTTTGATCAGGGGGAAGTAGCTTTACCTTGACAGACCTCAACAAAAACTTCACCTTTCCATACAGTAATTTACATTCTATGGTGCTTGCCTTTCTATTGTTACCAAGGAAACAAGAGATGGGCTCAAAAGTCAACCAGGAGAGAAGGGTCCATCCTCAAAGGCCTCCAAGTCTATTAATACCAACCCCCCAACTTAAGGAGGTTGTGGCTTCCCAGAACTGGATTGAGTCATTACCTGTCAATCAACAGGCAGTCATTAAATGTTTGTAAATCAATGAATGAATGTCTAGACTAGTAATAATATATGGCTAAAAAAAACTCCACTGATAGTCACTAACTGAAGACAATACAATAGCTGGAAACATGGATACCATTAACTTCAGAATCATTTCCTTAAAAACCTTCAAATACATTTTGGAAAACACTCATATTTTGTGCATCTGTAATGTACCAAATGATGTCTTTTCGTATGTGAATTAAAAATTTCACTGAACCTTTTAATTAAAAAATAACTTTATTTTATTATAAAAGCAGTTATGGAACTCAGATATTTCAGCATGGTTTTTACTATCAGAGAGAACTTTTCTCCAGAGAAATACATTCCTTGGTTTATGATAAAAATCAATGAAAAAAATTTAAATGTACTGCCATAACATAGTTATCACTCTTTTACACACACATGTATTTATGCACTACAATTTTGACTTAAGGTAATACTATGGACATGAGGCTTAGGAGTCAGGCCACCTACACAGCTAGCAGAACACAGAACATACATGACATCCTGATTAAATACATGCAAAATCCTCACACACAATAAATAGCTTCACAAAAATACTAGCTAATCATCAAAAAGGAGTGTAGTCCAATGCAGAAGGCAGCCTGGACCACCAGAACAAAACCCTTGTAGCAGAGTATGCTGCAAGCAACCGAGGGGAAACTCTCCACACTGAGCAGAACAAGGAGCCTCCCTCCAGGTGATGTGTGTATGAAGAGAGCTACAAGTTGGGAGACCCTGGACTGCCCGCAGTTCACCATATCCTACTTAGGTAACCGTCTCCAGTATTGTCCGAAATATAAAAGAACCGTGTAGAAAAAGAAGCATTTCATGATTTTTCTTGCTACTATTTTTCTGCCCAAAGAGTGAGCATTACAAGTGAAAAGAAACAAAAATGTAATGGGAAAAAAACAAAACAAAACAAAACAAAACACTAGGTTGTACTTGTAAGGTACAATACACTTTGTGGCTTCTTCATTCTTCTTCAGGAATAACACAAGAGGAGTGCATTCATAGTGTGTACATACATGTGATCTGGGAACAGCAATCCGATTCGTCTGAAAGGGCATCTACTCACTGATGCATCACCGTAGCGACAGCTAGAACAGAAGTACCCGTCTTAGGACCACTAACTACTTATAGTCACAGCCATGGCTTTCCCAGAGACCGCGTCAATAAGACAGATGCAAGGGCCACGTCTGCCTCTGCCTATTTTGAAATTTAAAAAAAAAAAAAAATCCCTAGTATAATTTATTTTCAAGAAGCCATCCTTACTTCCTGGTGGGATGGATATGATCCCACCTAGCCTTCATTGCCAACCCCTCAGGAGGCACTGGATTAGTCCTCTCTAGCTCTGTGAGGCACAAGTCTCAGAGAGAAAGATCATAGCTACAGGAGAATGTAAAGGCTGGTCCCCTTTGGGGAAGGCTGGCATCCAGACCCTGCACCAAAGAGTATGGAAGAAGAAAAACTTCTCTAAATAAAAAGAGAGCCATGGGCACCACTCTTCTGTGGCCAGATGAGGCACTTCAGAGCTGAGTTCCTGACACCCTCCATTTACCTGCTGATAGATCTCACTCCCCACATTGCAAGAGGTAACCGCTTGCACTCATATTGCCCTTCAGCCTGCTCACCCTCAGCAGATGCTACGAGCACCTCTCACGGAGCAGAACGGCCTTCCTGAAATCCATCCTCACCTAGAAACCAATTCTAAAGCAGTGCGTTCACATGTTCGGCCAACCTCCAGCTAAGGATGCAGGCAGTCATAGGTAGACTATTGAAGGTCTAAGTAGAATAGCATTTGCAAACTTGGGTCGAAAGAGGTAAGAACTAACTCCTTCAGGCTGTAAAGATTTCTGAGGCACGGTGTAGTAATAACCCTTCGGCATGACGGGAAGAAACAGAGTCAGGTTCTCCAGGCCTCATTTTTGATGGCCTCAAATGAGAGGTTCCTACTTAATTTCCTGTTCTAGCCTCGGTGATGCTGGCATCCCAGGCTTTTTAGTGGACCCAGTTCCTCGGAGAGGTCTGGCCTCAGCCTCACACCATCAGGAGAGCAATGTGAGGGATGCCATCGAAGGGCGTCTGTGCTCAGCCAGCACCTTTTCCACTTCCTAGGAGTCAGAAAGAGAAGCAAAGCCATTATACCACAGCCAAACAATGAGCAGACGTGAGAAGAATCCATCCCCAACCCTACCAGTGTTTGTTACCTCATCCCCACACCCAGACACACGTGAGGACACGTAGGTGTGCCTGCACACACCTTGACCCTAGGAGCCCAGGTAAACTATAATGGCTTAGCTGTTCAGTGGTTTCTTTCCCAGAGGAGCTGACCTTAGGACAGTAACAGAGTACCTGTCTGTTTCAGGACTGGACTCTCAGTTGCACATCAAAGATACAAAGTACAGGTGGGTTGAGTCTCTGTGGTAAGCAGGCTGCATCAGCCCCAACACACACACGCACGCACGCACGCACGCACGCACACACACGCAAACACACACACGCACGCACACGCACACCAACAGCAATGAAGTCACAGGCTATATGACTTCTGAGGAGGGTCCCAACTGTTATGGTTACCTCAGTCCACCCTGAAATCTATAGCCAAAGTAGATCAACTTCCCATGAACTGATATTTAACGTTTAATTATTTCCTTTAGGAAAAATTGTTTAGAAAGTATTAGATGTACCTATGAACCCAGTCACTTGGTGATCTAGTTAAAACTGTGGTTTAGTAAGTTTGGGAAGAAGCCTTTGATTCTGAATTACTAATGAGCTCTTGGTCGTTGGTACTGCAATGTGGGATAAAGCAAGAGAACACTGGATACCCATCTGTATCTCTGCTCCAGGAGATGGTAAGTTCCATCTCATACCATTGGCTGAAGTCTGCTTGGAAACAGGCAGGATGGATTTTAGAAACAACAGCTTGGTAAATTCTTAAAGACTTACCAAATTTTTCTTTACAATAGATAACAAAGGTTATGTGCGGTGTGGTCTATTACAGTTCTTAATTCTTGCACAGGTACCAGAAGGTGCAAGGGACTGGCAACTAAAGTTGATGCACTACCCACAGTGTCTTCCCCACCTTCCCCCAGAAGGTGGTGGAAGAGAGCCATGCCTATGACCCTGGACTCCAGGCTTTCTGGGAACTTCCATTAGTCTGCTACATCTCGTCTCAGCTTGTCACGGATGAGGCAGTTTTAAAAGACAGTGAATGGGAAGAACAGCTCAAAATACAAACCAAATTAGTAATAATAATGATAACAACAATAATAAAAACCAGAAGTCTTCTGATAAGATCAAGTTACTCGATGACTTTATTAACCCATTCTACACAGGCATGCACATAAAACACATTTCAAATACAATTATATACACTTTCAATGGACCCAATGCAATATTTCATTATTAATACCACGAAATAAATCAGAATGCTACTGAAGATTGACATTCCCACTTTCAGCAGGGCTGTGTCTAAGAAACCTGCAATAACATTCTGTTACCGGGCTTCCCAAGTGCAGCCCATTTCCATCCAAACCCACAGGGCTCAGCCTCTCTCTATCACATGCCCCATTTGGGATGGGCCCTTCGCTTTTGCCACAGGAAGCCACCACGTCTGAGCAACTTGACCTTCAACAACAACAGAAAAGCTACACACAATTCACAAGTCCCTTTACAGAGTGAGCCACATGAGTGTTAGTCACACACCCAGTGAAAGGCTTACGAAAACACTCTTGAGATCAGTATTTGCATGCACATCTCCCTTTGCATAAGATTAAGGCCGAACATACAGCAGACTAAAAACAGCATCATCCTCAGTGAGAACCGTAGCCCATGACTTCAGATCTGTGTCCATCACCTCTAGGGAAAAGTTGAGATCTTGCACGGCAGTCCTGCTATCTGGCTCAACTGTTACATAGTTTTAAAATAAAAGTGCTTCAAAACACAAGTCAAAAATGAATACAAGGGAATCTGGGTAACTCACTAAAACATCAACAAATACAACATCCCTCTGAGACTGGCAAGGCAGTGGGACCTGCATAGAACCCCATCACTTGGAGCTGTCTCAGGTACCTGCCATGAATTCCTCTGTTCACTGGCCACTCCCAGAACTAAAGATCTCTGGAACCCAGATGACACCTGTCCCAGAAAGGTCATCAGGAAGACTTATTCCCTAACAGTTACCCTGTTTGCTCAAATGAGGCGCCTGGAGATCAACTGTGGATTTCTAAGAGGATTACTCGGATCCTTGCCTGAAATGCTCAACCATTTGGTTCTAGAACACAAGCACGCTGCTTCCCTAACTTGACTTCTTAGGACCCAGGAAGAGCGGCCAGCATGCAGCATACTGCATGTCTAAAAATGGTGAAATGATCCCTTTACCAATGGTCAGGAAGTGCTACATTTTGGTTTGGGAACAGTACAGGGCAGAAGTGGTTCTCTAAATCTCCTTTACATTCCTCTCTGGGATCCATTTCCTGACTGTCTTCATCCTTCGGTGGTTTTTTTTTTTTTTTTTTTTTTTTGTTTGCCCCGGTACTGGGGACCGAACTCAGGGCCTCCTATATGCTAGGCAAGAACTCTACCACTGAGCTGCATCTCCAGCACCCCTCCCACCATTCTTCAGGGTTTCATCTCCCACTCAACTTTGAGTTTAAAAATAAATACATAAATAAATAGACTACTGCTTTCTCTTCCACTTTACACAGGTAGCATTCACATGGTAGATCCAAGGCTTCACCTATTCCTTCCACAAGAAAACCGAAAGCCTCAATACAGTACGGCAAGTCACCCTTGAGACACAGACACAAGCACAGCAAGGAAATCTCCCACCCGTAACAACAAGGGGGAGGGGGAAATGAGAGGTGGATTTCCCTGGGATAAATACTTTCCACTCTGCTTCTCCTGCGCAGCTCCTCTGAAGGATCTTGCTCTAAAAGGTGAAGGATGTTGAATCGTCCGCTGCTTTTCAGCTCTAACTTCCACTCCTTGTCATCCAGGGACAAAACTACCCCAGCTTCTAATACAAGAAGGGAACTAACACAGGGGAAACGAGAAGAGTGAGTCTAGACTGAGTCAAGAATGACCGTCCAGTGAACCCGTACAGACGGTATTTATAACAGGCTAGCTCAGTCCCAGGTGGGCAGCAAAGTCTCCTCTTACAACCTAGATCCTCAGCCTTTGGATCAGGGTTCTTCCTCCTCCCACTCAGTGTCCCTGAACTACTCTAACCTGGCAGCAGCAGAGAGGACCGAACGCCAATTTAGACCAAAGCTGATAATATCTACAGTAGACCAGGAAACTGTGTACAAGTACCAGGCATGCTACCCAGGCCACATGTCACCCTCACACTGTGAGGAGAGCACATCCCAAACCTACTCACAGCCGCAGAGCAAGAAAACAGTCAGAAGACAGGCTACCCGTACTCTATCCAGCGTCTTCTAGCCTGTTTGTTTATTTTGCAAATATTCTTGTCTTTTTAAATCTCATTTTTAGTATTTCATACGTGAGTACTGCATTCTAGCCCTCCCACTCCATCCAACTCCTCCAAAATTTCCTCTACTCTCTTTCAAGTTCTTAATCTCTTAGTTATTGTTGCATTCATATACATATATACACGTATGTATGAATAATGTGGCTCTAGATACAGAGCCACAGGCAATCAATGGCTGCTGAGAGAGGGAGACTTGGTCTTCTCCAGGAACAAGGCCCTGACAGGTTATCCAATCCTAATTGGTCAGCCCTAAACACATATATGTCTGGCCTTTTAAGGGTTGTTTGTTGCTGTTTGTAATCTCCAGGGCAAGGATACTGAAAAGAAATTTTTTTCTTTTTGCATGTTTTCCTCACCAAGACCAGTGCCTACAAACAAAGCTCAAGAGGGGACAATGAACACTGCCTAAAAGTTCCCACTTTCTTTGTCTTGGACGCTTCAGGAACCTAGACAGTCTCCGAAGCCGGCTGAAACGTTCTGTATGGGATGGAAGGGTAAAGGTGTGACATTGGATGGCCTCCATCAGTCCACGTGCTCTATCTCCGCATACCCTCACCTTGCATGAATTCAGTGTGGAACCAAGGACGTGTGTTTAAGTCAGTACTGTGCTGCACATTCCCCTGCAATGCCAATGGGAAGGATGGGACCTTTCTAACAAAGCAGCCTGCCCTTGAGGGGATAACTCATTCAAAACTGCTCTAACCCAGCGTCACAACCAAGAACTCAGAATTTCCAGTCTGATACATACTTTGTCTAAGATACCAATATACTGGCATTTTTCTATCCAGCTTCATAAAGTGGGATTAAAAAAAAAAAGATTTACTTTAGTTTTACTTATATGTATTTGTGTATACGAGCTACATATATGAAAGTACCTGGAGATCCCAGAAGAGAGCATCAGATTCTCTGGAGCTGGAGTTACAGGCTGTTGTAATTCACTCAACATGAATGCTAAGGGCCAAACGCTAGACCTCTGGAAGAGCAGTATGTGCTCTTAATGGCTGAGATATCTCTCCAATCCCTCAAATGGCCTTATTAACCTCGAATTAACTCTTCTCAGTGGGCTGATCACTAAGGAAGTAATTTAAACACCCAAATATCCAGGCTCCAATCCCAGAGATTTTAAAGGCAGTACTCAGCCTAACAAAAGGGAACCCAGGCATGTATATATTTCAAAAATTCTACAGCATAGTCTAGGGACTGATTTTAGATTTTAAAAAAAAAATGCAAAAAGCTTTCTATCACAAGACAGTCTCATTGGAAATTGCTAACCTCCCATCACCAGCTGGCCCCACATGACAAACTGTCTCTTCTGAGACCTTAGAAGATTGGACACGAGTGGACTGGTATTGAGCTCAGAGGACAAAGCCCTGGCCAATGCAGAAAGAATCCCCTTAAAGCAAGCAATAAATACACATATAAACTTCCAAGAGCCAAACCTCAGGAGACTCCCTGGAATATTGAGATGGTTTCTCAATATAAACAAAATGGCCCAATAAGATAGGTTAAGTCCATCATCAAAACTTTCTTATGCTCAAAAAAGAAGAGATGGTTTTTTCATGTAAAAACTTGGCTTAAGGAAATTGTTCTAAAAAGTATTGGTACATGCAAGTGGCTTTACTGAACTTATTGACCACCTGTCTTTTGCCTGGAGAAATTTGGGGCTCAGTGGTAGACCCTGGTGCTTTTAAACAGCCCCAAAAGTCACGTGCTACAGGAAAGCTACTGGAAAGGCCAAGAACCTGAGAGCCACAGGACAGAAAGTCTGAACTGGGAATTTGTAAGGGCTAGACTTCACCCTATCCCCAGTCCCACTCCACAGCCAGGAAAGGAGTGTGTGACTCCTCGAGTTGATAACACAGATCAACATCCTTAGAGCCAGCTCCCCAGGGCAGCAAAAACTTAGGACTGTTTCTCACGAAAAGAGGCAGGAGCTCTCACCCTATGCCCACTTGCAAACTCCAGGGCTCTCTGTGGATGTTCTGTAGCCTGGGCTGACCCTTGCGGGACCTGGCTGGAGAGGAAGGGAGAAGGGGAAGGGAGGCTCTCCCAGTGCAGAGCCAGACCCACTTGCAGGGAGAGCCAACGGGCTTAAGCTCCTCTTAACCATCCCTTACTTTACAGCACCACAACGCCACGCATCAAACCAGACAAGCCAAAGAAGCCAGAAGGGATGGGAGTTCAGCAAGGAGAGTAAGGACAGATTAAAAGGACACAGGCAAAGGACAAATGGGTTTTGTGTCTCCCTCTATTCAGCACTCCCTCCCAACCCACCCTCCACCCACCCCACACACGCTTCACAGAGACATTAGCGGATCAGACAGGAGAAAACAGAAGAACCAAGTCCATGACTCAGGCTTGGCTCCTCTCCCTCCAGACCATCCCATCTGGGAAGCCGCCCTAAAAAGACCCAACTTGCCATCTTGCCCCCGGCTGAGGTGTTTACACTAGAGAATGGCTGAGGCTGCTCTGCACACGCATGAGCTCATATTCCATGTTCAGATTAATGTTGGGACAGGAGCGGGGTAAAGTTAAATGACTTCTTGGTTGATTAGTGGCAAGGGCAAGAGGCCAAAGCTGGAGGGAAACACACAATTACACCACCGGAATGCTGACGTGGCTCTTCGGCTGGTCCGCCCCTTCTTGCGTGTCCAGGGCACGGAGAGGGCTGAGGGGCTTGAGGGGCCGGCTCCCAACACTGTAATTTCTTGGACGCCTTATTGTGTTCGAACTGGACAGAGGCGTAAAGCTGTTCCTTCTCATCCTTACAGGGGTTTGGCTCTTGGGGAAGTTGTGCTGATTGGAAATGGAGGGACACCACATACATGAAAGCCATACCAAAACCTCACCCACAGAGGTCAGACAATGGTCCTGAGCACAACCGCTGCTCCTCCTGCTTTCTCTACACACAGGGCAGAGCGGGGCAGAGGCTGGGCCCAGGGCCCCAGAGGAAAAAAAGGGTCATCACAGGGGGAGGCCCCTGGCCACCACACTGAAGAGCAGTAAGGGAGCCAACAAAGGCATTTGTTTAAGACCACACAGGTTGCCAAGCCCAGACCAAGGAGCTGACCTGCACCTGCTGACTATACTATACTGGCAATGGCCCCCCGGACCCTGCTTTGCAAACGGAGACTTCCCTGCGGGTACAGCAAGGGAATTCATACATTTCACTTTTTATTTTGAACTCAATACCCTGGGCTAAGATTCATGAAAGAAATACTCATTTAAAGAACTAAAAGTCCCTTCATCTTTTCCTCTTGGAAGTAAGGAGACCAGTGAAGGCCATGAATTCTGGCTTTGCTTTTCTTTGTACAGAAAGGAAACCCAAGTCTCTTGACAACAAAGAATCAGAGATCCAAGATGACCAGGAAATACTTACAGTTGGCTTTTCACGATGTGTGTCCACAGCCTCCACATTGAGTTTAATTGTTTCCACTTTGCAACCTGAAAAAAAAAAAAAAAAACAAAACAGTAAAGAAAAGCTGTCATAGCCAGGCATGGTGGGCTCACTCCTGAAATTCCAATACTTAGAGGCTGAGGCAGGTGAATTGCCACGAGTTCCACATTACCTGGAGTTCCAGGCTAGACCCAACTAGTCCCAACAAACAAAACAAAATAGAACCAAGCGCAAGAAATAAAAATACAACAAAAATGGGGTAAGGGTGGAGAGGAAGAGGAAGAGATAAATAAAAGCCACCAGAAGTAGCCCAAAGAGAACTCTTCAGTGCCAGCATGATCAAGTATACACTGGCTGGCGCATACGTGTCCTCTCAAAGAGACACGGGTGCATGTGCTTTTTTTCGAGTGGCAGCTACTAACACAACATCCTTGCTACCCAGAGAATGTTCCTCATCCCCACCTCTCACCAGCTCAAGCTCATAGTTACCATAGGCCACAGGAGTAAGTTTGAAGATGGTATGGAGAGGACACCTCAAGTATGGTAACTCATCTGAAAGAAAAAGGAGCCGGTGAAGAAAGCCTTAGTACTCTAGGTAAGATCATTTGAGGAGAAGAGACTCTAAGGGGCTCGTGAGTCTCCTTTATCCTGACCATCACCTAGAGTGACACAGCTGCTCCAGTAAACTCAGCAAACTGGCGAGGCCAAAGAAGGCACCCAAGCTACCGCGTGGCGAGGAAGGAGATAAGGCCACGCAGATCTGAAAACGCAAAGAAAAAGGAAGCGATTCTGAAGCCAAGGACTACGGCCCACCCGAGCCCTCAAAAGCAGTCAAAGGCTTCAAGTGGCCCGAGGACTGGAGAAAGGCAGGTCAGGGTAGCACTTCCGGCTGCTTTCCTAAAACAGCTGCTCTCTCTACTCCCAACCTGAAGGCTGGAGACAGTCCTTGTAAACCATCCACGATGGTTTACCTTGCCAAGTCAGGGTAAGACAGCCATTCTATTTCCCTGCTGTTGTTGTGGTCTGTCAAGTTCTCTTGGCCTTAGCCAAATCTGGGTGTACCAACGTCGCTGTGAGACCTAGGGTGACTGTTCAGGTGGCTTGCTGTTTCTGTCCTTGCTGCACCTTTTGGAAGTTGTCCATCCGCATTTCCTGTCTACTCTAGTATTGTTAATTTCCTTCTCAGGTCTTGATGAGGTTAAAGATTAAACTATCACAACTATTATTCTCTCTTCCTAGTTAGATATATTAGGTACTAGACTTAACGTTTTCCAGCTTAGGACAACTCTATTGTAAACTCCATTATGCCCTCACCCTAGGACTAGATATGTAGGTCATTTTGTTCTCGATTTTCCTTTTCTTGGAGCACAATTGTTATTCACTGTTTTGTATATACTTTTGTATTAAGCCTAAATCTTTTCTTTAGACTAAAAGGGAAATTGTAGTGAGATAGTTCTGTGGCACTGACCACGCCCATTGGGGTGGAGCCATGGGTGGAAGTGACCTGTGGAAGGAGGTCGGAGGGGGCCAGGAAAGGCGCTCTCTTTCTGGCGTGACTCGGACAGGAGAGGATCGGGTTGAATTTTCCGGTGTTCATCTGTCTAGGTTGTAAGTTATTTCTCCCTGAATAAACATCTATTCGGCCTATTTGTTTATCCTGATCCTTATTTACCGCGATAACTACAGACTGGACTATCCAACCGTCCACCTTGATGCTGCCAGTAATGTCAGCTGGAGCTGGCCCTTTAGGCATCAACTCAGCCATCCTCCGCTGCCGGCCTTTGCAGCCGCAGACTGAAGAACCTTCTCTAATATGAGCGGAAGAAAAGGAGGGCCAGTGGTCAGAAAGCCTGGTACCACCGAGTCCAGCCTTGTCCCGGTGTGTGCCTATCCCCTCCCCATGCCTTCCCTCAAACGGTACCTGCGCCTTTATCTAAGAAGTAGGCCAGGAGGCAGCGCATGACAGCTTGGTGAGAGATGACCAGGATGTTGCCCTGACGCTCCAGCTCCATGATGACAGGCTCCAGGCGCTGCACCAGGTCCTGGTATGACTTGGGAGAAGTAAGGAGAGCTGGTAAGGGGCCAGCTGCATGCTAGCAGCCAAGCTGGTGGCTAAGTTTCAGAATCAAGAGACTATTCTGGGAGGCAGGGCGCCTCTATGTTGCCTAACTACCCTAGCTAGCGGCCCTGCTTTCCCGAGAAAAATCAGATCTTTCAGAAGCAACACTTGAACCAAAATCCAGTTAAGGAATGCACGTGGGAACTCAATTTATTCCTGTTTTCCACACAGACATTAATAGGCAGTGTGTAAAGCAACAAAAGAGTTCTATTAGTTTCTGGAACTTCTGCCATTACACTCCATTTACCTTTACCATACATACCCTAGGGTAGGAAGCCATTTCAATAAGAGTAAGTGCCTAAAACATGGTAAACGAGTAACTCATGCCCCATACTTATGTGGCGACTCTATCTGCTTGTAGGAATGGAGTAGAGGAAGTAGAATTAAAAAGGAACAGGGTCGTGTTCATTCTACAACATTTCAACACAAAAGGTATCTTGCCACCCTGTCCCCTGGAGATCTTAAGAACCTAACAAAATGTAAAGCACTGACTGTATAAGCTGAATTAAACAGTATAACCAAAGGCAGGATAACAAGGGCTCTTAGGTCACCCTTTCTCGTCCCCTTAAGAAAAGTGCCCGGCAAAGCTCTGGGCAGCTAGTTCAAGTGAGCAGAGCCTCACCTCCCCACCAGGGTAGCGATACAGGTACTTCTCTTGATCTCGAAGAGCAAACTCCTCAGGGTACCGTTTCTCAATCTCTGAATAAGTCATCTCCTCACACACGCCCTGCAAAGGCCATACCAGCATCAGGGTGTGGGCTACCTACCCTGCACTCTCCACATCCCAGGTAGGACGGTGACACTGGAAAGCGCCAGAGCCCCACCACGCGCGCGGGGGGAGGGGGGGGGGCGCGTGCTGTGTTCTGTGTGTCGCACCCACCCGTCTGTGGCAGGGAAGTCAGGTGTCACAAGGTGCCATGAACAGGAGGCACTTCAGAGACAGGTGGTTTCCCTGGCTTGGGCTGCCACTCTAGCCTGCTACCACAAGGGAAATCACAGCTCAGCAAGGATCTGCAGGACCAACAGGAGCGGGGATCAGAGGACGGGAAACTAGGGAAAGAGAAAGCTTGTGGGATGAATGCAAGGCTAGGGAAGGATGGAAAGAGGAGCATCTAAGCCGAGCATGGCGGCTCATGCCTGTCAGTTCAGTATTTGGGACACTAAGGTATGAGTTACAAGCCAACCTGGGCTAGAGGGAGCCCTGGTATCAATACAACAAAATGAAATGTATATTTGGGCTAAGAGGCAAGGAGTGCAGAGAGAGACAGGGAGAGAGAGAGAATTGGGGGAAAGACTCTCCCAGAACTGCTGGCCGAACGATCAAAGCAGGTCTGACAGAACTGAGGGATCAGGAATTTATTTCCCTTTTCCTAGCAGGGAAATGAAATGAGTCCTTGTTAGCTCCACTTTCCTCAAACACCAGGGGCTCAGTTACAGAGAATGGCCTGGGCCTCTCATCCAACCTCTGAAATGGCTGGATTCAGAGTCCTCGGTTTCTAGTGGGTGATTCCAGTTTCCTAAGTTTCTCAATTTATGAGTTCTGAGAGTGTCGATCGGAGATGCCTACTCACAGCATCAATCTCATTTAGGATCTTCCACTGTTCATAGGTCACCCCGAGGGACTCAGCGGTCTGGATAGTCCTCTTCAACTGGCTCGTCCACACTTTGAGGTCCTGGATCTCCTGTTCCTCCAGAAACTTCTTCAGAGCCTGAGAGAACTGGGGGTTTGAAAATATAAGCTAAACAAAGAAAACCCGCCACACCACACACACAATACACACAGAGACTACCAGCCATGGTCAAGAGGAAATGCAATTCAGTTGGAAGGCTCTGCTCACATCACAAATTGTTCCCAATAATTTCCTGATGGCTGAATGATCACAGCAGAACGTTCTCAGGTGACTCATACTTTAATCCAGAGTTAGGAACAGTAAGCAGGGAACATCCTTAGCACTTGCCTGGCCATGTGAAACCACAGCCTAAGCCCAAATGGGATTTAAGCAGGAGGGGATAAAACAGATGACCTCTACCACGCCCTTCTAACTCTAATCTAAGGAAATCCAGCCTGCTGGCTATTTACCTGCTTTCCTCGGAGTGAAAGGCCAGAGTCACCCCCAATCTTTCCCAAAAGATTGAAGTCGCTCTCTCCATGTCGGCAAAGGTAGATGGTTCGAGGCTGGACATGGATATTCATAAGGTAGTAGACAATTTTACTTTGGATGTAGTCCTGGACTCTGTTGACCAGAAATCTCTGGCCTACGTTTATCACCTTGATGAAAGACAGATCCCTGGGACAGCATAGAAAGAAGAAGTTTTGCTGTCAGAAAATCTGAAACTAGGGACGAGGCAGGCACGGTGACAAAGCTACCAGCACGTGGTGACAATCCCGGCACTCAGGAGGCTAGGGCGGAAGGAAGGGCTTGGGCTTGACCCTGACTCAAGACAAATGAACAAAGGGAAAGTATGGGAAGGGTGATCTGCACACTGACTTGTAGGGTCCCATGACCTCTTCCCTCTGTCCCCATCACTGCCACATTTATAGAAGAACCAAGCGTTAGAGACAGATACGATTTGTTGAACTTACAGTAAACATGTACTGTCTTCCTGGTGTCTGCCCCATACCATGCGGTATGTGTAAGAGTGAAAAACAGAACTCAGGGCTAGACTAAGGGACTTGAAGAGTTTCCTAAATTCAAAATTTGGTGAGACACGTGGGCCCCACATAACGTGGTCAAAATCTAGACAGAGAATGACAACCCAGGGGAAGCGGAGGAAGGAAAACCCAGGGCGACCGCTGCACCCTGAACCGCCTAATCAATCTCTCTCACCTAATCAATCTCTCACCTAATCAATCTCTCTCACCTAATCAATCTCTCTCACCTAATCAATCTCTTGCCTAATCAATCTCTCACCTAATCAATCTCTCTCACCTAATCAATCTTTCTCGAAGATATTGCTGCTATTTGCTTTGTAGCCAGAGGATTTTTCTTCAAATTAAATAAGAGATTATTCAAAATAATAACCAGGAGAAAAAGCTACAGTAAGTAAGGAAAATCACCCATTGACCTACCAGCAGAGATAAGTATCTATAAACATACGTACTGATAAACATAAATATCCCTCTGAAAGCTTTTCTGCCCAGGCCGTAGAGACACTTCTCCTTATGCAACATCTAGGACAGTGCCTGCCTTTCAGCCACTTTATAGAAATCCGTTTGAAGAAAATGAAAACATTCAAGACATGAATAACTGTAGTGATTTAACACTGCGCTACGCACAGTTGTGATGGCTGGTTTTCATACTCACCTTGACGGGATTAAGAATTGCCTAGGGTACTAGAGACACACCTCCGGGTGTGTCCGTGAGGGTGTTTCCACAGAACCCTAACCCTGACTGTAGCCAGCATCATCTCACGATCTAGAGCCTCCTAGACTGAACAAAGAGGAAAAAGGAAAAGAAGGAGCGAGGCATAGGACCTCCCTCACGCCTGTCTTCTCGGCACTAGGACTGCCCTGAGCCCAAGGCTAGCCTAGCCTAGGATACACAGTGAGCCCTTGACTCAGAGAATGGGAGAGAGGGGAGAGAAAGCCAGGTGAGCACAGCTTTTCCGCCTTCTGAGCCTCTGAGATGAGAGCAAGCAGCTGCCCCTCAGCAGCATGGGCGGGAGCCAGCCCTGCCCCCAATGCTTTCCCTAGCGAGGGGGCTGTACCTGCTGAACACTAAGCCAAAGCTAACGTCTCCTCCCAGAGTCCCCATGTCAAGGGTTCCGTCACAGTGATGAGAAAGCAGTGGCAACAACACCGTTTCATCGGAATATCATGCCAGCACTGTGGAGGTGGAAGCAGAAGGGTCAGGGGTTCAAGGTCACCCTCGGTTACACAGTAAGTTGAAGGCCAGCATGGATGAACTGTCTTGAGTCCTTGAGACTGTCTCAATGACTCAAAACAAAACACTATTTCATAAGGCCATGTTCCCACAGGTTTCCCAACATACACTGCCTTTCTGCAACACAGACTTAACTTTCCACTATATCCTACACCAGGCAAATCAATCTGTATTCTATGTCTCACTGCCATTAGACATCACCACAGTCACGACTACTGTTTAACACTGATCAGACATCTGTCCTTCAATCAGACAGTCCCTGGGTTTATATGATACACATGCAACAAATAAATACGTGTATATGTTAAAACACGAATTATATATGGTGAGCTTTAAAATTGTAGAGCCTAATGATGCATCTCTGGGAGATATCCTATAGCATTCTAGTTCAGATTTCTAAGTCTGGAGCAGTGCCTCTTAACTAGACGAGACCTGGGCCCCTAGGAGACATTTGGTAATATCTGAAAACGTTTCTCTTGTCACGGTTTGGAGGTACCCCCCGGCACCTAGTGGACGGCTGCCAAGGAGACTGCTAAACACATAAAAATACGCAGAGTAGCCCCTACGACTAAGAATCCCATAGCTGAAGATGCCGCTAATGCTTAGATGGAAAACCTTTCTCTACATCAGTGGTTCTCAACCTTCCTAATGCTGAGACCCTTTAATATAGTTCCTCATGTGGTGAGCCCCAAACAGGAAATTTTTGTTGCTACTTCATAACTGTAATTTCGCTAGTTACGAATCGTAGTGTAAGGCTTGACATGCAGGATATGCGACGTGTAACCCCCTGTAAAAGGGTCATTCTACCCCCCCGCCCAGAGAGGTCTAGAGAATAGAAAAAAAAAAATTGAAGATAGGGAAACATGGTTACGTATGGTTAGGTAAGACATACAGCCCACATAAATATCTGTGCTGGATAGTTTTGGGTCAACCTAACATAAGCTAAAGTCATCTGAGAGGAGGGAACCTCAAATAAGAAAATGCCTCCCCAAGACCAGGCTGTAGGGCATTGTCTCAATCAGTGACTGTAGCTGGTGCCGTCCCTGGGAGTGGTGATACTCGGCTCTGTAAGAAAGCAGGCTGAGCAAGCCACGAGGAGCAAGCCAGTGAGCGGCACCCCTCCATGACCTTGGCATGGATCGGCTCCCACCTTCAGGCTCCTGCCTCTGCTTGAGTCACTGTCCCGACTCCCTTCAATGATGACCTGCAAGGCGAATAAACCCTTCCCTCCCCAGCCTGCTTTCAGCCGTGGTGTTCTGTCACAACTAAGACAATGTCTCTGAGAAACGACGCAAATACACACCATAGGTTTAGAGTAGCAGAAAAAATAAGAGGCCAACAGGGAGAAAGCCACCCTTCCTCCTGTCTCAACCCTCTCGCCACAGGGTTGAGCCTTACTTATCATAGTGGTCCGGGTCAAGGGGCTGGTAAGTGACTTTGTAGCACTCAATTCTCTTCAGGAAGTCCTCCATCACATTCTCCCTATTTCTTTCGGGGTAGTCGGGGCTTGACACCTTTACCTCCTGAAATCACAGGAACATAAGGACCTGGTCAGAATGCTGTTCTTTACAGCCCTTCTACAAATATAGCCACTGCTAAAAACAGAAGGAGTCCGTAAAAGCAGATCCTCACTTGAGCACTGGCACTCCTCATTCACTGAACACTCTCATCCTGTCCTGTGACCCTGGCAACCAAGAAAGGGAAGACAACTGGAGAGTCATGTGCCTGCCTTTGGCCACAGGACAGACAGTCATGCAGCTGATGCTGCTTCTGAGCGCTGCGCACTGAGCCCTTTATGGACTTGCCTGTGAACGCAGAATGGGCTCCAATTTTCCCCTACTGCTTCTCAGAATAGGGTATGTGACCCAGTACCTGACTTAGGAATCACTGCTTCTTCCACAGATAAGAGAACTCCAGCTCCTACGGTGGGAAGGCACCTCTGAGAGAGCACACAAAGATGCCTACTTGGCACAGAGCAAAAACAACCTGTCCTGGGAGAGTGCTGTCTGCTGCTGGGCCTCACAGGGCATCGATGCTGATGAGAACATTCGACAACTCCTGAATAAATCACCTCCCCGTGAGGCGGCGGAACAGGACAAAAAGAACTCTAATCTGCTACAATATTTAGGTTTCACTATCAGGTAGTATCAGAGCCCAAAGCCAGGACTCCCAGACTCTGAGTTTTTCCCCATTCGGCAACTCATTGTTATTGTATTTCTCACAGGCCCGGGCCCGTTTCCAAAGACAAGAGTATACAAGTACAAAATGCTCTCAGATAAAGAAGACCTCTGTGTTTGCTTCCTTCTTTCACTATCCGGAGTCCACACACACACACACACACACACACACACACACACACACACACACTGAGAGAGAGGCAGAGAGACAGAGACTGACTGACTTCAGGTGACAGGGGTGGCACTCACCAGAATATTGGCAGCAATGACATCGGGATCATCACAGACAGATTCCACAAAGAATACCTGGCCACCGAGCAAAGGCATGATAAACACGTCAGAACTGCCAGACTGTTAACTGAAAGCACATGCTAACCTACTCTAGCCAGCTGCCGCACCGTCAGGATTTCCTTCATAAGGTGACCTTTAAGGCTTCTTCCTTTAAAAGCAGACCTTACCACATCCCCTGCACCTGATGGGCTAAATAAAAGTCAGAGAAAAAGATCTAAGCAAAAACACGCAAGGATTAGGCATGTGCCCCAAGTGGACAAAATCAGATGTCCTAATCTTGTATTCATCAGAGTCAAAGGGATCTACATCCCCCTCTCCATCCTGGCTCCCCGTCTCTTCTTTTCCTTCCAGAATACTGTCGGAGCCCACCTTGAAGGCATTCTGCTCCGCAAAGTTCAAAATCATGTCCCTCCTCTCCCGAGTGGTATTGGTAGCATCAAACACCTAGGCAAAAAGTATACAAAGTAAATGAGTGGGAAGACAAAAAAAAAAAAAAAACAAAAACACCGCCCCCAGACCAACTCCAGGTGGGGCTGAGTAATGAATGACAAGGATGCTAGATGAGCTGAGATGGAAGGCTTACCGCAATCTGCCCACTCTCTTCAGTAAAATAAGCCTTAACATCTTCCAGCGCTACCAGAGCACACTGTCTGCCACGAGAACAAAGGAAATCAGTGAAAAGAGCCACGCTCAAACAAGGCCGGACGGAGTCACACACGGTTGCAGGAGTCACCTCCCACTCAATTTCTTTCTGGTTATGGTTCCCCTGACTAAATCCATCAACCTTCCCAAGAAGTTTACGCGCCATCCTACACCTTCCTCACCGTCCCATTTATGGGCCTTATACCCCTTTAGACATCACACAAAAGAGGACATCTTCTAGAGCCCTGCCTGCTACCCAGCCAAGCCACGCTGATCTGTCAATCTAATCACACTCATTAAAACACCCCCCCATCAAGATATTTCCTGAGAAAAACGGGGCCCTAACACATTCAGTCTCACAACTGCTGCAAAACAGTCGAGTTGGGTCAGGCCTTTAAGACTCACTTGCGAATCTTCATAGCTTCCTCGTTGTCATGACGAAAGAAATCGTAAGACTTGTAGGACTTGACTGCTTCACGCCGATACACCCCAAGATTAAACACTGCAATAAAAACAATACAACGGCCCCACTAAAGGAGACTTCTTGGCTGATGGGTAGGGTGGCCAGTGGGACGGGAAAAGCCCCATGTATGTTGGAAACAATACCAAACTAAGACAAGTGAGGTCAGCCTCCTGACACAAGAAATGTGTGGGCAAGCCTGAAGCTGAGCTTCTACCTCCTCAGCTACTGTCTCACCAGAGTGCCATTAAGGTCCAAAACATGACACATTGGGACAAGGGTTCTGAGACAGCATATTCTCATTTAGTTATAAATACTTCTATCAAAGGCATTCTATCAAGACTAGGATGATCTGCCTAGGCCTGGAGGAGACATGACTGGGGACAGGAAACAAATCCAGGAAGTGAGGAGGCAGTCTTTATTTTCATCAGAAGCATTATACGACCTCCATGCTAGGAAGATGAGGTCCCTCAGAGGCCTGTGGGGCCCCAGAACTCATCAACTCCCTTCCAGAGGAATGGCCTGCACCTACCTTTGGTGGGTACCCCAATCCAGTTGAGGTAGCGTGTTAACTTCTTGGACACGTAAGTTTTACCCCGGGCTGGCAAACCGATCATAACGATGAGAGTTGGGGAGTTGGTCATGTAAGAAGCCCATGCTAAAAGAAAATGAAGCAGGTAGAGCTTAATGGCTACACATCTGCCGAGGGTTATGTCCCGGATGAGGGACTTCATAGGCATCACCTCATTTCACCTCCATAAACTACAGAGCAAAGCTCCAGGAAGAGTGAGCAGGCAAAACGAGGCTGTATTTGGCACAGCCTCTTGAAACACAGTGAAGAGGCCAAGCAGACATCCATAAAGTACCCACACCCAGTCATTTCTGCCCCAAGCCTTCAGAGAGGTTCCTAAGAGGGAAAGACATCCCAGTAAAGACTAGGGACAGAGAATGCTTGGTAACATTGTAGCTATGATTCTATTCATCCCAAACTACACTGACTTTAAAAGAGGCCCCACAGAGTGTTTGTCTCGAGGATCCCAGACATCCCTCCAGAGCCCCAGGCAAGACTTTGAAGGTCTGGGCAAAAAGAGCCGCACCTCGAGCTGTCCACTTTAATTTCTAAGCCAGTGATATCCGGTAGCCAAAACCTACAGGACAAAGGGTTGGCCAGACTGGATGAACACAGGGCGTGGAGCCTGCCTGCCTCCACAGCTCATCTAAAGGAAAGATGGCTAGAAAGGAAGCAGTTGGTGGTGCTGACCTCCCTGGGGAACTTCCATGAGGAGTGTTCCTTTACAGATACAGGGTCCCCTGGGTTCGTAGGCTTAGACGGTTAGTGACTTGTACAGCACAACATTGGTCAAGTGCAGGCCAGTGCTACCCAGACAGTTTTCCTGCCAACAAAAGGCCTTTTCCAGTTTGCTCACAGAACTGGTTCCTCCATGCATACGATGACACAGAGCAAAGGTGGACAACATACCCCCATTTGTGCCTGATCAATCCCTTTCTTGCAGCCAAGACCCGAGCTGAGGTTATCAGGGAATGCTCAGGCTGCCGGCTTTCTCCATGGAGAAAGACAAGGAAAGGAAAAACCAAAATACCTTGACCTTCTGCTTTCAGCACCCTTTTCCAAAGGGACCCTGTCACATGTGTCACCTGATGGTGACAGTGTCGCTCTGAGGCTAAGCATCTTTGAAGCGCAGTGAGGTCCTTCTCACTGTGCCAGAAACTAAAGCACCAGGGCACTTTCCCACACTTGTGCGCTAAGGGGCTGCCTCCTCAAGACCTGACATCATTATAATGCACATTGCTGTTGTGACACACTTTCCCGCTTGCAGGGATCTCCTAAAAGGGAGATGCGGCCCACCATGACTTGGGAGGAGAAAGGCACCCCCTAATAGATACTCCTTTAAAACCTACAGTTCAGAACCTACTGGGTTGCTGCTTCCTGCCTTCAAGCCTCCAACTCCAATCTCCTTAAGAGTCTTTACTTTGTTTGGCTTTGCCAAATACACTTCTGTTTAAGCATCTATTACAGTCTCTATGAATTCTTTCCCTCAAAAGGAACAAACAGACCACCTACTGAGAGTCCAACCCCTGTTGCATGGGGGAAATTGCAGGCTCTCCACCAAAACAGGTAATGGAGCAGTGTAAGCAGTTTTCATCTCTAACCACACAAGGCCCTAAGGGGTAAGTAAACAACACCTTGTAGTCTCTGGGGACAGGCATTAGTCCCTGAGCACTGACCCCAGCAGACAACATGCCTCTCTCTCCTGCCATCAGGTTAGAGCAGTTAATAAACCCCACCCCACCCCCGCCCCCCAGTCTTCATGTTCTCCAGCCTAATGCATACTCCTCTGGACATGCGATAATTTGGCTCATTAGCTGCACTTAGAGGCCTCTCTGCCCGCATCTTCTAGCCCATTAGGCACTTCCCCCAAAGGAGTTGTTTCCCTCCCTGAAGTTTGGGAAAAAAAGCATGCTTCCTTGGAGCTGCTCTGAGAGAAACCAGGGAGAGGCAGCTCTGTGTCCACCGGGCTGGACAGAGAAAGCCAAGCCAACAACAAAAGAAAACACTGCTGGGTCACAGGCTCCATAGCCCTACTCTTCAGCACCACTCCTCCAGCCTCCGCCTAGGGCACATGCGCGCACGCACACACGCGCACACACACGCACGCACACACATGCACGCTCATGCACGCACACACACACACGCTCATGCACGCGCACGCACACACGCGCGCACACACATGCACGCACACACACACACACGCACACACACTCGCTTGTGGTATAACCACGTTTTTGGTTTTTTTCCACCTGAGTTTGAGCAGAAGGTACTTCACACCGATTGACCTAGAGATTTGCAATACCATGTCTTGACAATGGAAAACTGCTCTAACCCTGAAATTCTTTTGTCTTTTTATGCAGAATTGAACTTGGGTTATCCAGCTTCAATTCATTTTCTCTTTATAAGCATCATTAGTCAAAATGAGAGCTTGACGGTTTCATAAGATCCCAGAGATCTTAAGAGCTTGGCCCACAGGACCACAGAAGAAAGTCAAGGTCAGGCTTCCTGACCACATTCCTGATCTCATGACTGCCTATTCAGGCTTATCTGCTGGTTCTTAGCCATCACATTAGCACCTAACAAAATGTCCCAGGGAAAACAAGCTGATCTGGAAGGACGTCTGAAAGAGTAATGGTTCCTAGTCTCCTCACGGCCAGAGATATTTTCCACTATCCACATAAAGCAGGCCCAGTATTTTGAATATGCAACCCATAAGGCATTATCATTACTGCTATCTTAATTTTATTCATTAAAAGTTATAAAACCTGATTATCTACTGCTGTTTGACTGATAAGCATGAAATAATCAAGTTCAAGAACTGCACTTAATTAAATACTAAAAAGAACTGAGGCTTCTGTCAAGCAGCGCAGCTTTAGTCGGGAGTAGCCAACCTCCAGCAAATCCGTCTCTGGACACCCTGAAACTTCAAAGAGCATGCTACCACATGCTGAGGACTTCCACTGGGGCTACCATGCTCCTTCACTTCTCTCAGAAAGGCTGCTGACAGATGTCTGTACACTCTGTCTGTCACTGGAGCATTCTTTACCATAGAGGAGAGTTTCTAACAATTATTGCTTGACATTCATACAGTGCAGAAAGAGGTCAATCTGGATTTACCAACAGGGAAAAAAATTAAAAAAAAAAAAAAGAGTTCAAAGTGTAGGAAATACGACAACAGAATAGAACAGGTATATCATGAGTCTACCTATGTTTGGTACTGTGATACACCAGAACGAAACACACACAAGAAGTGAATTTAACAAAGATAGGAAAGATTGGAAGAGATTTTGCTTTCTGTGTTTTTTTTTTTTTTTTTTTTTTTTTTTTTTGAAGTATTTGAGTTTTCCTAAACATGCACTGCGTTAGTATTTAGAGGAAAATATACTTGTCTTCTCCAGATCTACTCAAAATATTTAAAAATAAATAAATAAATAAAAGGAACCAAAAGATAGAAAGAGAAAAGAGACTTAATAAGGAAAGCACATAGGACCCTCGCTTCCTGCTCTGGGAGACCCCGAAACCACTCATCTGGGCACCTTAAAAGGACCCAGCCAGCCTGCCTACTACCCAATCCCAGGAACAGCTCAAGTCCCAGTAGGGCTGTTCGGAGGTTTTGGCCTTGAAACAAAGCCCAGTCACTTTCCAGACTCAAAGTTAGCAAGCAGGTGTAGTGAGCAGCAAGGAGACAGCAGGGGAGCTATAAATAATGCGACACCAGCCTGTGTGGCTCTGCAACAAGGTCCCTTCCCCACACAATACAGAACGGGCCAGTGTGGGTCTATCTACTGAGGGATGATATCTCCCATTTACAGGGGTTTTAAAAGGACACAGTAACAACAGAATAGGTGCCTATGGGTGTACTTTGACTCATTAGTAGGGTGGACCAGAACAAGCTGTCTAAACAATCAAACTGCCAAGTCTCTGTGCACAGCAGAGCAAAATAAACCAATATTCTCCTCCTAAGGGTCTTACAACCTCAGTCCAGCCACGAAGTTAGAAAAGTTGGGTTACATAAATGACAACTCAGAGTCCTTTGGTTGGATAGAAAAAGCAGTTTTAAAAGAGCAGAGATTAGCAAAGAAGATCTAGAGCCAGGAGTGGGGATGAGTCTAGAGAACATACATGGGACCTAGGGTTACGCTTCTTAATCAAAAGCCCTGCTCTACGAAAGGGTCAGGAAGGCAGCAGCAGCTAGTTGGAGAGCAAGGCAGAGCTAGGAGGGCTGAAATACGAAAAGTGGAGTCACTTGTGAGGCGGTACACACAGCAGCTGCTTCCAATATTCATCTGAGTGCTTGAGTGTACGCACCTACCTAATTCTCACAGCACTCCCGCAAGAACGGTTTTAGAATTTCACTTCATAACTAGGTTAAGAGTGTCCTCGTTCACCTGTAATCCTGGCACTCTGGATCTAAGGCAAGAAAAGCACGTTTAACGCTGATCTAGGCTACATAGTGGGACACTGTCAAAGGAAGGAAAAGAAGAAGAGGAGGAGTCAGAGAGTCCTGATTCTTAAAAAAAAAAAAAAAAAAAAAAAAAAAAAGGGCAGGTAAATTGAAGGAGAGAGAGGTTAAGCAAATTGCTCACTGGTACACAGCTAGGAAACAGGAAAACCATCATTCAAACCCAGGGAGCGTGACTCAAGGGGGCTACAACTAAGCATCTTGCTGCCTGCTTTACTCACGAGACAGTTTGCCCTCAGTACTGGCTTCCTGCCCTGGCAAGGAAAAGAGACCCTGACCACAGAGGTGTGCCAGGCTCAGTACTATAACTGCATCAATCGGGATTTATCTCACGATGCCAGGTAAAAGAGCACGAGCCTGTCAACTCTGAACACGGCTAGTACCTGGTCTCATGCTGACCACCCACCTCCTTCCCCCTGCCCACAATAAGCACTTCTCACTAATGTAGAACTGACTAGAAGTGTTCCCAAAAAAGATGCCTTCCACAAGGAAGACCAAGCTAAAACACTTGTGCGGTTTCCAGAAACACCTGCGGACCAACGCCCCAGATTTTGAGGAACTCTAGAGCCTTGCTTAGGAATGTAAAGTCAGGCAACAAGAAGAGATGTTTCATTCCCGTGTCACCATTTCTGCCATCCCTGAGCTTATGGTGAAAGAATCTGCAAACTGAAGGCTAACCCTGTAAGAATGTAAGCACCCAAGACAATGAAAGTCACATGTCAGGACTATTCCCCTCAGGCCCAGAGGCAGGGTGAGTACCAGCTTCTACCTGCAACTTCTAGTGCCCCAGGCTTACTCTGAACTAAGCCAGCCTTTATCTCACCAGGGCTTGGGTTACAGGTGTGTACCACCATGTTCTGGAACACAGTCCAACAGATAAAGGGAAACTGAGTGACAGCCCTGGACCTTGACACTCTGCCATCCTGTGTATATAATAACTAGCGTCCTACATCAGGCAAGTGTTCCCTAATCGCACAAAAGCAAGAAACTCTGGGCCACAGAGCAGTCAAGCTCCAAAGACACATTTCATTACGTCTACTTGTTTGGAACAGGAAATTGCCCACTTTGTAGACTTTAATTTCATGTCGTGTCCAACACAGTGGCACACATTTGTACTCAAGAGGTTAAAGAATAGGAGAACTGCATGAGTCATGGGTCAGCTGGGTTACACAGTAAGTGCCCAGCCAGCCAGGGGTCTGTAGTAAGACTCTGTCGCAAAATAAATAAAACATAAGTGGCCATACCAAAGAATTACTATTCACTCCCACAGAGCAAGAGTCTAGGATACAAATACATTCATTATACATTTCCAAGACCCCCCCCCAAAAAAAAAAAAAAAACAAAAAGAATCCTAAGAGGGAGCAGCCTTCATCTTTACCAGAACTCACAGCATTTCTTCCCCGCCTTCCGAAGGTTTGTGGCTTGAGGTTTACAGTTGCTGCTGCTTCTGTTTTCTGCGGAAGATGAAGTATTCCCAGACATGGCAGTTCTTCCAGAGGCACCTGGGAAAAGAGAGAGAGGAAATTCAAGGAAGGGAAGGAAGGTGTCCCCCAAAACAATAGAGATTAGTGTGATACAGGCAAGGAGCCCCCCACCAAAATTCAGGTCCAGCCTCTTCCTCTGATTCAAATGCACTTGTTCTTGGAAAATTCACAAACCCAATTCCTCACCTACAGAGCTGCTCCAACTTTGAATTTATTTGTTGACCTTGTTCCCATTCATAAACCTCAAATCCAGGAAGCCTTCCAGTAATCTTTTAATAAAGCAGATTTTTCCCATCATGGTTACTTCGTTTTATTTTATAGAACTGACAAATCAAAGACAGCCGACTAAAATGCCTGTCCAGTTCTCCTGACCTCACATTCTAGTCTTAAGACTATGGAGAGAACGGAGGTGGCATCGGAGGTGAGGTGGAGGTAGGGATAAGAGAAGTAATGCACTGTCAAGAAAGCAATCTCAATCCAAAGGTAACACTCAGTCTCAGTGAGAGAGAGAGAATGAGGGCGGTGGAGAGGACAGGGCTGAAACGTTCTCTGAAGGAAGAACTGTAACGGGGCTGAGACATCCCTAGCATGTTACATTCCCCTCCAGTATTCCCCATCCTCCCGGCCCTCTCCAATCCACCCTCTGGGGCTCAGCGGAAGAAAATGGTTTACCTACAAAATAAGCCTCGGGTCCTAATATCAACTAGGGTAGGAGGGGCCGAGCCTCACTTCTCAAACCTAGATAGATAGATACCAAGGAGCTCAAGACAAAAGGTCCTATTTAAGAAACAAAACATAAAAGAAGACCTTGCACGGCTTGCTCCTCGCCTGACAGTACAAATTCTTCAGTCCTCACAGCAGCTGCGGCTCGGCGTCGCCAGGAGTTGCCAGGCGAGCTGCACTTCCCGGAGGGCTATGCACCACCGCTCCGCACCGTAACCGCGCCCGCGCAGCACCCCATCCTCGCGTCCCGTCGGCTCAACTGCGGCTCACCCTAACCGCCCTATGCGTCCTCCGCGCTGTGGACCCGGTGTCGCCACCGGAGCGCCGCGAACCAGACCTGGCGGACCGGCTGAAGCCCCGGCTCTCCTTCCCCCCCCCGCCAGCCCCCCCCCAAACCCCGGGATCACGTGGCCCTGGCCCCGCCCACTCGCGCGTCAGCCCTCACCTGGAGGCAGGCTGGACCAATGGAACGGCTGCAGGCCCGGAGGCGGCTCCTGGGGAGGCTGGGCTGCCCCGGAGGACCTACGATCGCCTACGGCTGCCGGCTCCCAGAGAGGCCGACTCAGTGCGGCTCGGTGGCATCGTTGCTTGGGAACAAACCGAGCTGGAGGCGGGGTTAATTAAAAGCCTTACCTTTCCCCCCCCCTTATTCTCGCGAGACCTATTTGACTGACATCCTGAGTGGGAATGACTGGTGAGAGCCAAGATTAACGCCTTCACTCCTGTATCCCAGCTAGACTGGGTGGCTCCCCTAGTCTCGGGAGGCAGACGTTTGCTATGGTTTGGTTTTTCGAGACAGGGTTTCTCTGTGTAGCCCTGGCTGTGGAACTTAGATCAAGCGGGCCTCGAACTCACAGACATCCACCTGCCTCTGCCTCCCCGAGTGCTGGGACTAAAGGCGTGCGCCACCAACGCCCGGCTCCGACGTTTGCTTTTAAAGACGCCTTGCTGGCTACCAGGGTGCGAGAGCTGACTGCTAACTTAGGGTCAGATCCTGGAACCTAAGCCAACCGTGCACGAAAGCCCGGAGCTTCCCTGGCCCCAGGTGGCTTCTCCAGGGGACTGCAAACCACGCACCTTCCTTTCCTCCTACTACCCCGACCCCGATGGGATGATCAGTGGAATATTTTCTAAAGAACCAAGGGGGCGGAGAGGGAAAGCTTTGCTGTAACTGATTTGTAGGGAGAGGCTCTTTCCGCGGCCTTACGCGTCGCGGAGCTGCTTTGCAAACTTATCCCAGCACATGGTTCGACTGACAGCCCCGGGTGGGCGGGGATCTGCCGCTTTAAAGTGTGGGGAAACGATCGAACCGGGGCTGCTTCCCTAGCTTCTTCTTCTTCTTCGCCTGCAATCGGGTCGCCTTCCAGCCAGTCCACGTAGGCGCCTTACAGCCCCGGCGCGTTGCAGCGGGCCAAGAACCGGCCGCGTCGTCAGCTCGCGTTTACTGCGCTTCTTTTTAATGCCCAAGGTCGTGCCGGGCTGTCGGCACGCAACGCTGGGAAGCGGCAAGTGGGACTTTGTCCCGCGTCCTCTGTCCCTGATGCCCCCGGTGCGGGAACCGCAGTGGCATCCGACGGCACGGCGGGGCGGGGCCGCGTCCTCCGCGCCCCGGCGAGCACCGGAGTGAGGCAGCCGCCCCGGGCACAGCCGCTGGCCTCACTCGGGCTTCCGGGTCCGTCCCACCGAGGGGCCGGGCCGGGCCGGGCGTGCAGTGCCCGGAGGCCGCGATGAATCAACCATCCGGGCGCGGCCGCGGGGCTCGCCGGCAGCCCCCGTGACGGTCGCCGCCATGGGATCGCCCTGTCCACGGTGAGTGTGCTTTTCCTGGAGCCTGAGGGTTGCTGCTTTCATCACTTCCGACCTCCCTGACAGGTGACACACGCCGCGGCGCGACCCGCCCTCCCGCCGGGAGCATAAATGCTGCGCGGACGCGCCGGGCGCCACCCTCGCCGCAGCGCCCGCCCTGGAGGGGGGCAAGCCGGCCGGCCGCGCTCGGCGCTTTTAAGAGTCCGCGCTAACCGAGCTGTCGCGAGAAGTGCGCCCCACACACGCACACACGCACACACACACACATACCCACCGGCCCGAGCCTACTTCTCGCGATGTTTGGCGGCGCGAAAGGCGGCCATTTTGGAGTCCCCCCTGCTGGCGGCGGCGGCGGAGGAGGCGGCGTCTCCCGGGCTGCGGCGGGGACCAAAGCCGGCCCAGCAGGTGGCCGGCCGGCGGACGCCATGTGGCGGCTCCGCTGCAAGGCCAAAGGCGGCACTCACGTTTTGCAGGGGCTGTCCAGCCGCACCCGCCTACGGGAACTCCAGGGCCAGATCGCCGCGATCACCGGGATCGCCCCGGGCAGTCAGCGCATCCTGGTCGGCTACCCGCCCGAGTGCCTGGATCTCAGCGACCGGGACACCACTCTTGGGGACCTGCCCATCCAGTCAGGTACCGGCCGGCCGGGGCTCCCCTGAGGGCTGGGGCCGTCTCGGGCATTTGCTTTTCTCTGCTTTCCCAGAGGACAGCAGGATCCTCGCTCATGTCCTGATCAGCAGGCCAGCAGTTATGACACCAATTTTATCCAATTGGGTTTTTTTTTTTCCTCTTTTTCCCTTTGCTTTAATTTGTTTTTGTGGTTTGTCCCGTGTGTGTGCACTTACCTGTACTGTAGAGTTTTGTCCCCACTATTAAAACCTAAACGTCAATGTTGGTCATCAAAACTCAAGGCTCCCTCAAATGATGTAGTCAGGCTAAGTGCCACTGTTAACACCCCGGTGACCTACCTAGTCTGTGGTTGGCATCTGGAAGATTCGTGGTTTTAAATGCACAGTATAGGAGGGTTGTTGTTGTTGTTTGCTTTTTTTTTTTTTTTTTTCTTTGTATTTTCTTCCCCGAGACAAGAGTTTCTCTGTGCAGCTTTGGAGGCTGTCCCGGAACTCACTCTGTAGACCAGGCTGGCCTCGAACTCACAGAGATCCACCTGCCTCTGCCTCCCGAGTGCTGAGATTAAAAGGTGTGTGCCACCACTGTCCGCCTTGTTTTTCAACTTGTTTTTTGTTTTTTGTTTTTTTTACATAAAGGTTTTTGCCTCCAAGTTGAGATTGGACTCGAAGCATTTTGTTCTCTTTCCCTTTCCGAAGACACAGTGAACTGAATAACAAACAAACCTAAGTGTCGCCAGTCTCTTGTTTACAAAGTCATGTTGTCTTCTTTATGCTTCAGCCCATTTGACTCATAACTTACCGTGTTGCCTCATAAGCACGCAATCTATAATTTTCTGCAGTTCTGGATTTGTTTTATTTTTAACAGGTGACATGCTGATTGTTGAAGAAGACCAAACCAGACCAAAAGCTTCGCCTGCATTTTCAAAAGCTGGGGCCCCTAGTTATGTCAGGGAAACTTTGCCCGTGCTTTCCAGAACCGCAGTGCCGGCTGACAACTCTTGCCTCTTTACCAGTGTGTACTATGTCGTTGAAGGAGGAGTCTTGAATCCAGCCTGTGCCCCTGACATGAGGCGTCTCATAGCACAAATTGTAGCAAGCGATCCAGACTTGTACAGTGAGGCAATACTGGGAAAAACAAACGAAGAGTATTGTGAGTGGATCAAAAGGGATGATACTTGGGGAGGAGCAATTGAGATATCAATTCTCTCTAAGTTTTATCAGTGTGAAATATGTGTAGTAGATACACAAACAGTTAGAATTGATCGTTTTGGGGAAGACGCGGGATATACCAAAAGGGTTCTGCTTATCTACGATGGTATCCACTACGATCCACTGCAGCGTAACTTCTCTGATCCAGATACTCCTCCTCTGACCATTTTCTCCTCAAATGATGATATTGTCCTTGTGCAAGCATTGGAATTAGCTGATGAAGCTAGAAGGAAGAGACAGTTCACTGATGTAAACCGCTTCACGCTGAGATGCATGGTGTGTCAGAAGGGGCTAACTGGACAAGCAGAGGCAAGGGACCATGCCAGGGAGACAGGCCACACCAACTTTGGAGAGGTGTGAGCCTACTTACGAGTTGGAGCCTACTACCTCACAGATCCAGAAGGCTCTGGGTTTTCCAATAAGCTATTCATCACCCTGCAGAATAGAAGAACACAATGCGTGGACCCATCCTTTTAACTTATATCAGTATGACTGACACTGGAATTCCTTGTTAAGATTAAAATTAGTGTGCAAGTTTACAGGTGTGTGTCTACACTAGTGGCATCCCTCTTTCTACTAGGGTGACGGAATAGGTGGCTTGGGCCACTTCTGCTAACCTGAAGACTGGATTCTATTATAAACCAGCACCCAGCGGCTTTACCTAACAGAAGAAAACACCCTACTTTAGGTAATGTGGGAAGCCTTGCAGAGGGTCACTGGACGTATGCCACAGTGTCTACAGCAGTTGATTCCCTTAAATAACTTTGAATGAGTTAGTAGTTTCTAAATTCTGAACTGATTCATCAAATGAAGATACTCAGAATTGTCAAAACTTTTTATATTGCAATTTGGTAGACTTTATAAGTGTATCTAACAACTTACAAATGCATAAAAAGCAATTTTACAGGGATGCGTGTATCCTTTGAGAATGTTATCTAAAACAGGAATGGGGTCCTGTTTGGGATTTCTAGTGTGTAAAAGTGGAATGTATAAGGGGGTTAAGGTGCCTGATGTAGCTTACTGAAGCTTTAAAAGACTGTTGGCCTCATTTTTTAATGCAATTCGTGTGTTGGTATTTGTCACATTAGATATTTCTTTGTTGTTGTTAATGAAGCAGGGTATGCCTTTTTATTTGCTAATTTAATTTAATTTGAGTGGTTTGTTTTGTTGATTACATTAAGTTTGTCTGGAGGGATTTTGATTCCTCAGCTGCCCTGCTGAAAGCACTTCTTCCAAACAAGTCTTCCTGTAAAGTGTCAATGCTAAGCTTTGACTCCTAAACATCTTTTATGTAGATAAGTATCCACTTTGATATTTTAGATACTCCACATTCCTGCAAGTTAGGACCTTGTTTACCTGTGATCTTTGACTTTCAGTTTTTAAATAACTAATTGGGTTTGTTTCACTTCTAAAATACAAGTTTTAGAATCCTTGCCTTATGCAGCTCTCAGAATCCTGCTACCTAGATTCAGACATGTAGCCATTTACTTGATGGATTGCTCCTCAAAGCATACCCACTCAAAACAGCTTCACTATGCCATCTAACAGGTAAAGTCTTCTACCTCTTAATTCTCCTAAAGATCAGGGACCTTTAAGTTAGGATCTGTGTGTTCTGTCATACAATGTCAAGAGGCATACTGTTGTGAAGTTCTGTTGTCTCCATCTCTGATTACATAGCTCACAACCATCGGTGGGTGGACTTTCAAAGCACTCACATCTTTCCCCGTGTATCTTAGCAAATGTTTTCAAATTAGCCATTTACTTGATAGAGGTTAGCGATGTAAAATCAAGGAATATTAAAGCGAACAACTTCAAAAGTTCCTTTAAGGAGCAGTTGAACAATTCACAAAGTATGCTTCAGTCATCAAGTGACATTCCTTCTTGATATGAGACAGGGTCTCCCTATGTGTTTCTGGCTGGTCTGAAATTTACCATATAGACAACCAGGCTCTAAACTTGAAGTGGCCCTTCTGCCTCAGCCTCCTGAGTGTTGAGATTACAAGCAGGGGCCACCACACCTGACCAGAAGACTTCTCTTGAAAACCTTTCATGACATAGCCAGTCAGGCAATGGCACTTATTATAGTCATGTGAATTGGAAATACTTAATTTTTGTGGTTTTTTTGTTTGTTTGTTTGTTCGAACTGAGCCTTAAATATAGCACCAGTGAGGTTAGGACACTGAATATTTTGCATCTGTGACATGGGTAAATGACTCTTACAAAAGTCTCAGTGGTCCAGATGATTTTTTTATCTATTTCCTCTATAAAATAGTTTAATTTAAAACTGTATAGGAAAAGTCTAACACTGGGTAACATCCATCAATAGAGTTGTATGCATCATATTTATAAAGTCTGCCTTCCTGTGCCACCTGAGCATTCAAATTCAATGTTTCTTAAAGTTTGGATCCAGAAGTCTGTTCATGCAACAAGTATTTATTGAATAACTTATAATGTGTAGGGCATGTTCTATTTATTTGAAGATAAAGTCCTATCACAATAAGTGTGAGTCTGTGTTATCTACAGAGGATTAATTTAGTAAATGTGAAGAAGTAGACTGAGTGCTGATGTCTTAAAATCCAAGCCCTTCCTTCGAGGTGGTTTCTGTACATCTTGTTCAGCGCTTATTTAGGGGATAACTTCTTACCTTATTTTATCTTTCACCTGGATTGTCCAATTGCCAGGCAGACACTTGATAGTCAAATGGCTTTCAAAAAGGCTTTTTAATTATTTGCTTGACATGTCAATTAAATATTTAATTGACATGAAAAGTAGTTTTAGAGTAGTGTTCTGGGTTAGAACATTCAAGGTGAAGCATTATATGCATATTATTTAATTATTAATTTATGTTCATTCTAAATACAAGCTGATAAGCCTCATAGAATTTAAAGGGCATTGTTGTTGTTTTATATATTTTTTGGCCTGTGCTTATTAAGCTCTTGAAATTATTTATTAGTGAGTAAACTCATTTTGAGAGTTTTGAAAAATCTGAATTTAATTGCCATAACTAAAAGAAACTTTGTCCTAATAAAACCCTTCCTTCTGTTCAGTTTTTGCCTGTCCTACAAGAATTTTCTTTTTTAATTAAAATGAAACAGTTTACATTCGTGTGCTAGAATATTAGTGGTAGAATAAAATTATACTTTTGCTCTCGATACCCTATTCTTCCCTCAGTCTTCTTTGGATTAAAGATTCAACATGTTTTCATAAAGATACCCTCCCTAGTCATGGTATTAGTCCAAATTATTGTCCCTGGAATTTTGTGACATGACAGCCATATAAAGACATCCGGGATGTTACCACATCTTTTAAAAGCTAGTGATTCATGGTTGATTTCTTAATTGCCCTTTGTGAATGAGAAATGGACATAGTCAAATGCTTACTCGCCAGCCTGACCCCTTTGTTAGGAACTAATACCATTATGCCACTTGAATATTCGATGGAGTCCAAGTCCCAGAAAATCAGAATCCAAAAATAACATTATTACTTCCTACCTATATATCCCTCTAACTGCTTATGCTTACCTTGCTTGTCTGTCTAGCTTCCTCCCTTCAATCTGCCCTAGTTGAATCTTCTGTTCATTTGGAAAGTGTACAGAAGGACAGGTGTGAAATTAAGCGACAATGATCCGTATCCCCGAACGCACTATATTAAAAATCAGGTGGCCTTAAATTTACATACACTGAGAATTACATTTTTTCCTGTGTTGAAACATTATTTTTGCAGCACTTTAAAAATTGGAAAATAAAAGTTTACATAGCCCTCTGCAGATCTTGAGGGCAGGAAAGATAGAACCTTGAGCTGCTTCATCAGTATTACCATCAGTATTTTCTGTATCTTCTGATAAAGTCTAATGTCATTCACTAATAAGAGCTTGGTCTATGCCCTAACACAAGAAATACTACTTGTGTGATGTGATTGTTACCACTTGTTTTACAGTATTCAAATTGTGTTTACAGCACAGAGTTTTTAAAAGAAAGTAGATTTCATCGACCCTTTCATTCATTTTTAAGTAAGCTTATTTTGGAGAAATTGTCTTTTGAGTAAAGTATGCAAGCAGTATTTGTGAACCTAAAGGAATACTTGTACGAGCTAGCTTGTTTCTCATAGTGATAGACATCGCCAGCCCCAGGGTGTTTCCTTAATAACCATTGTAAGATGTCAGCACATCCAACTCAATGAATGTAAGACTAACTTGATGGTGATAGTCTTTTCCTTCAAAAAGTAGTTAGCATTTGTTTACAGTGCTTTGAATATTTCATTTGGAAAACAGTATTTATGTTGATAATGAATTATGGAGTGTTTACATCTTAATTTAGTAGGAAAAAGTACTACTAAAAGGGCATGAATGTAAGCATTTTGCATGGCATGCTTTTTTACTTCTGTTCTTAAATACATTAACCAGTGTGTAGGAATTTAAGTATAGTGAAGGTATGTTTTGGTTAAGTTACAGATAAAGAGGTTGGGAATTTCTGCTGAGGTGATGGGCCTTGGCACCCACCGGATGAGAATGTTGTGTTAAGTATAATTCCCCCTCAGTTATTTAAAGGATTAGGGTTTCCGGTTCATATTTTGTACCATTCAGGACTCAAGGTGTCACAGGAAATGTATTTATACCAAGTTAGTTTTTCCTGTAAGAATGCCTAATAAGTACATATAGCTTGTTAAACAGATAAGGAATGAGAAATAGTTTATAGAGGCTGTATTAACACAGTAGAGGGAGAACTCCTTAAATAAGGAAACAGCCATGAAGACTGAAATGCAGAGCTCTGGAACATAATTGCAAAGGGATTAAAAGGGGCCAAACAGAAAAGAGTTGTTTTCTTAGCATAAGAAAATGTGTTCTTAGTGATGAAGATGGACAGTATTGCTTTCAAAATGTTCCCTTGGCTACTTGCCAGCAAGTTTTCAAAGTTCATGCACTGCTGCTACCTGGAAGATGTCTTAACTTCGTTTTACATAATTCATGGTTTTGCCTTTGTTATTAAGATGCATTAATTTTATTTATGATATGTGACTTTTCAATATCTAAATGTATGAAGTGACTTGTTTTAAATGAATAAATGAAGTGAAAACATTGTTGTGTGAGCTTATTTTGGGGTCAGGGCAAAGGACCAGCGAAGAATACTACACTCAGTTTACACATTACCAACTGAGACCACAGTTTGGGTTTGTGTCCCTCGTTCCCACACCCTTTGAGTAATGTTTCTCTTTTCTGATGCCAAAAGGCATTCACATTTTCCCTTCATTGACTAAATTTTCTAAATCCCCTGAAGTTCAAGTTTAACAACCTTTGCTGGTGAATTGTTTAAATGGACAGGTTGGGTGTACCTGTTTTCCCTAGATTAGGGTCTAAATGGACTTAAGTTATGTTTGAGAGTCGGCAGCTTTTCTATAGGTTCCCATTGTCAGCAGTTAAACACCAGAAACCACAGGGCTGTTAGTGTTGGCCAGAGCTTAGGTTTTCTAACTTGACCTAGGTCCACAAATACACACAGCACACAAGAAACTAACAAGAATAGAAAGAATTGGTTACTTTAGTATTCTTTACAGCTTCAATACTGTGAAGTCTGAAGTATAGGGATGATACTAGAAGTCAGGTAGTATCTGCCATCTTGAAAAGCATTTTAATACCAGCTATAAAATAACTGCAAAAGAACCTCTTCCTCCTTTCAAATGTTTTTTTACAATATTACACCCACAATCAGGGTTTTCTTCCCCTTACCCTGGAAGAGAGTTGGATATGGTAGAGGCTACAAAGCAGGGCATCCATTTGTGGCAAATGCCTATTTTTGAATTGATAAAGATCTTACATCTCCAAACCTGAAATAAGGCAATGAAGATCAGAAGGTTCACAAATCTTGTTTTGAAATTCTTGTTCTGATATGGATGTTTGTCTTTGTCTCTCTTGCAATGGCACCAAGTGCCAGGTTACATACACACAGTTACCAAATGTGACAATAACTATAAATCGAATGGGAGTTCCTGCTCCGTTCAGGGTGTAGCACACTGGGGTTCTAACCTACACCAGGTGTAGTCCTTGTTCCCCTTGTTCTGCCCCGCCATCACTAGTACCATCCAGCCTTTCAGAATGTCAGCTACCCAGTCTGGAATAAACATCTCTCTGGAAGAAACCCCAAGTGTTAGGCATACTACCCCATACCTGTCCCTGCTTCCAGGCCCAGTCATTTACCAGATTCTTGGCCTTTTTGGTTTTCATTACTGCAGCAGGAGGTTCATCTGAATTACTTGTTTCAACATTTCTAGAAATGGATACCTCTAACATTACCTTTGTTAGGATTATCAATAGACCACCACCATGAAACTTGGGGTGGGGGTGGGTGGGGTGGGCATAACTTAGAAATGGCAGGTGGAGAAGAGTAGAATTTGTCAATGTGGGATGTAGAGCCCTCAAGAAGGAAAGGGGCTTAGCAAGTAACATAAACATATCTATGATAGTTCACGTTCATCCTTGTAGATATTGTATTGAAATACCCATCAAAATAATAGAATAAAACTTCAGAAATACTAGAATTCCACACTTTATTTTATGACTGAAACTGCTTCCTACTGGGGCTAGGAAATCAATGCTCCCTGTGGTTTTTATTGAATTACTTCTCCCACAGCATAAATATAACAGGACAAACCAATCAAGTTCTTAAACCTCCAAAATATGGGACACACTGAATTACGACCTTTTGCAAAAGTGACCCTCCCTCCCACTCGGTTCATTTAATAATGAAAACATCCATTTTGTTTGTCTGGGGTGGGCTTTGGTTTGTTTTTCCTGAAGAGTCTCACTGTGTAACCAACCCAGAGGGGCTCCCACTTAGGACCTCATTGAGTCTGCCCTCATATTTCCTAAAAGCCAAGTCACAGGCGTGCACTTCTGTGCCAATCTCTAGTATTGTCTTTCTTACTCTTAAAATGACAACCGAGAAAATGGTTTTTAATTTGCCGAAGAGAAGCCAGGTAATTCCAAGCTGTTAAATCCTTCCTAAATTCTACTTGTGGGCTGTGGTGTCACATATCTCAGGATTACAAAAAAACACAGATTCATTCAGTGCGCATTCTTGAATGGCATTATTCAAGCCATTATTCAATGGGTGCTAGATGCACTGGAAGGAAAAATAAAGACAATGCTGTAAAGAAGCTAAAATGTATATTCCATGAAGGAAATAATGGGGTGAGAAAAGCAAATTAAAATTGGTGAGTCTGGGAGAGCCTTTTAGAAAAAGTGATATTAGGGATGAATTAGTCCTTTAGAGAGGACCAGGAAGTGGTGGCATCTGTAAACTCAGTACTGTGGGAGGCACAGAAGTATTTCCCTAACCAGGCTGTCATAGTACAAAGGAAGGAAGAGGAAAATAGATGCCTTTAGAAGTGGACAAGGACCCCAGATTTGTGCTCTCTTATTCCATGTACTTGTGTGTGTGGATGTGTGTATATGCATTTGTCTTCAATTTACTCCATGTGGGACAATGAGTTCTGTTCTGTTATTGTATTCTCAGCTCCCAGTAATGAATGAATGAATGAGTGAATATGAATAAATGATGTCAGGGTCTAAGGAAATAGACATTGACCTTCAAGTTTGTTGTAGAGTGACTGGAAGGACATAAAAGCATTCCTGTGAATCATCATATCTTTGTCTCAAAGGAATTTTATTAGCTCTTACTGAGGAGTCCAAGAGCTCTCACAGGACTAGAACCAGAGCTTCGAATAAAGCGACTCTTAGAAGCATATCCTCATTGTTGTGGAAATTTCTAAATGCTAGAAACAGGAGGGTCCAAAATGTAGAGTCAGAAATACTTTGGAGCTTTTCAACAGCAATACTGGAAGCTAACACATGGTAACTTGAAACTGTATGCAGCCACACAATCAAGTACAGGGATGAAAGTAAACATTTTCCGACTTACAGGATCTTAAGCATTTGTCCTTAGGAAATTAATAGAAACTGCTCCGCCAAAAGAAGAGGGCTAACACAGGACAGAAGGTCTAGGCTCCAAAGACTCAACAGGGATGGCATTTCCCCTAGTTATTGATGAAGAGAGTAACGGGACGTCCATTGACCAGCTTACAGAACAGTCTTCCCCAAACTGATGCAGCTCTGAAGACTGAAGGAAATGTTTTCTTCAGAATGAAGCTGATAGAAAATATAGCATATATGTGAGTGTACTGAGGGGAAATTTACATACGGAGGGGGGTGAAGGGCATAGAGATACACAGAAAAGGGGAAATGACCATATCATATCTAGTAGCTCAACTATCAACATTTGTGTAATAGGAAACTGTGTGTGTGTGTGTGTGTGTGTGTGTGTGTGTTTGAGAGAGAAAAGAGAGAATATGGGGTGAGGATGTGGGCATAGAGGAACAGAGTACTGTGTAATAAAACAAAGCCATCTTCTTGCTCAGTAGAAAGAAGACATCCATACCCAGCGTGGAAACATAAACTCCTAATTCCCATAGCAAGTGGGTTAGAGAAGCTTTGAAAAAGAAATAGGGAAGAACCTGCTCCTGTAAACAACTTAGCAATTAAGTAGTGTCAGAAACTAGAGTGCACTTTAGTATCGCTTAGTTTCCATTTGTATTAGGCATAGTAAGACTCATACTTTGATGAAAGCTTGGTAGTTTATTAGCTATGGCCTGTTCTAGAATTTATAGCCAAATTATACTCTTCTGAATCCATTCCTAGTTATTCCTTATTTAAAGTCAGCTCTTCATTCCCCAGGCTGTAACTTGAACTGTCAAACTTTCTACCCGTATCTTAGAGGTCACCCTCAGAGCCCCAGCAAGCATCCCCATGAAGACAGGGTGTTTCCTGGGAGTAAAGAAAACACTTTTCCTTTAAGAGAAAAGGAAGAAGGACCCTGGCCAGTGTGGTGTGCTTCCAGTGTGAAGTGTGGATGGAGTCCCACAGGTGTTTTGCAGTCTGACTTTGTAAGGAACTGCAAAGGGCCAATGTTATCTATTTTTTATTTAAAGTGGGCGTGGCTATGTGTGCTTACACACCTGCCCATACTTGGGTCACTTAAGTGACTGCCTCACTCACTGAGTCAGGCTGACTGAAGAAGGGAATGGTAAATGAGCCTTTAACCAAAAGGAGGTCACCTACTCCAACAGTACCAGCAGGGACAAGGAGTATGGAAACAGGGTCCTGGGAGCTCCTCTGTAATTGGGTATCAGAATCAGATCATCCTAGGGGGATTCAGTTCCATCTCTCAATAGTACCTCTCCAAGCACCGATGACCTGCATGGACCATCAAGTGTCACTCTGACTTGGGTCACTCTAACTTGGGAGTCTTCCCTCATCTGTAGTTCAGGACACCTTCTTCATTCTCTGGGGACCTCTGAGGTTCTTATTTTTCCAAACAAAAAGGAAAGGAAAGCAAAACCATGCTCAATTCCAGGGAAAATAATTAAGGAAATGGAGAGCAAGGAACACCTGAGTTAGGATAGAGGCTTCATTTCTACCAGTATGTATGTGTGCTTTGAGGGATGGGGAGAGGAGCTGAGGCTCATACGGAATTCCAGCTATAATGGTGGGTAGCTGACTTGACTTGTATTTAATGTCCATTGTCACCTTCTCTGACCAAAAGGGACTAGAGTCCCAAATGACAGAGTTCAAGTTCTCACCTTGCCCGTTATAGGGTTTTGTTGTCGTTTTGTTTTGTTTTTAAATCCAGAAAAGGACTTCCTAGAGCTAGGACGGCTCTCAGCAAGCGGGTGACTAAGCTACATCTCTAACCTTGAGATCCCAGAACCTCCTCTGGATATGATGCTGCCTATGGCTGAGAGTTAGGAAAGCTGGCTACAGAACTAGCCACCAGAATGTTAGCCTGGAGAATGCTTTCAGCTTCAAGTTGGGGAAGGCTTTTCTAAACAGGAAAACCGGTTCTCAGCAGGCCCGTAGAAATGCATAGTGACCAGCCCGCCTGTTGCATTCCTTTCAAGAAAGAAAATCATGCACCATTGGCCTACTTCCTCCCTGACAAACTCTCCTTGCCCTTTCCACTCCCAACATGAACCAGCTCCGGCCCAGTACCCTTTTTTAAAGCTCTCTATTGGCTCTAAGCCAAAAGGGGGCGGGGCAGGGAGCCCGAGGTTATTGGCTAAGTCCTCCGTGACTGAACAGCTGGAATGAGGCGTAGGGAGGGAGGCTGGGATTGGCTGGGAGTCAGCGGCTGGGTGTGTGCAGGCAGCGCGGATGAAGCTTTTACCTGTCTAGGTAAGTCAGGAGGAGGTCAAAAGAAGAAAATAGTAGGAGACGGCTGCCTGCCTTCGGAGGGACAAGGCGTCTCCATCTCTGCCCTTTGGAATAGAAGGGCCTTCCTTTCTTCTCTTCAGACCCCAAGCCAGAGAAGGTGAGTCAATCACTAACCAATTCTTGCTTACTCTGCATCGAGGGAAGGGACCTTAAGGGAGGGCTACAGGGCTGTGCTGGGGAGGGCTGCCAGAGTGTCCCTTTCCATCCAGCCAACCTGGGCTTTTCATCTCTGTTGCTCAAGTCTCTTTCTTGGTCAGCCCAAGATTAAGCCAGATGGGATTTTTTTTTTTTTTCTCCAGAGTTGAAATATGTTTATGGAACACTGGGGAACATCTCTTCCATTTACTTATTTAAGTTACATAAGCATAGTGTACAAACAGAAAACCAGAGCTGGTTTTCTTAGTACTCAGAAGGTCGAGGCTGGAGGATGGAAGAAAGTATGGGCTATACAGCAAGTTCCAGGCCAGCCTATCACACCTGGCAAGACCTGTCTCAAAGGAAAAACAAGAAACAAAACAAAAACAAAAAAAAAGACAACAACTTTGTTTAAAATTTGGAAATTTCCATCTCTGAGCAGCTAAGATCGAGTGGTGATTTTGAAAGAGAGTAAGTGGACAGTCGGAAGAGCTGGAGTCAAAATGATGAGGAAGGTCCTGCAGATGAACCAGGTGCCTTAGTTTTCCATTACATTTGTAAGAGGAAATTCGCCCATGGCTCCGTGTCTATCTTTCTTTAAGTAAAGGGTGCAGTGCCTGTTAGTAGATAAGGCTGCACGCTGTGCAGATACGTAAAGCCTGAACTGAGCTAGCTTGTTTGCACGGGGAGCTGAGGTTTGGAAGTGTTGAGAAAACGCCAGCTCAGGCCAGCGTTCCATCTTTGGAAAGCCCACAGATAATCTAGCTCCGATCAAGTTCACTTAGGGTCTACTAGTTAAATCTCTGCCTTCACCCGTTACTAGATGTAGACCCCGGAAAACAGAAAGTTACTTAGCCATGCTGGGCCTCACCCACATTTTATTTCATCTCAGCGTAGCGAGCCTAACCAGACCGCCAAGTGGGGCTCAGGCCAAGGTAATGCGGCGCGGTCCTCAGAGAGGAGAAACAGACTTGGGGTGGAGGTTTTGCTTCGTGCTTGTGTGAGCAGGCGCATCTGCCTAAGGATGCAGCATATACAAGTCCAGTCGGAAAATAAGCTCTCTCTCATCATCTTGGCTGGCGACATGCAGCCGCTAACTTGAACTCTGACCCTCTGCAGAGAAGGGGGGATGTGAAAAGCCATCAGCACACAGCCCTAGAACAGTTCCTCATGTTGTGGTGAATGCGCCCCCCCCAACAATTATATTATTCTCCTTGCTACTTCATAGCTGTAATTTTGCTCCTGCTATGAGTCATAATATAAATGTTTTTTTGGAGACAGAGGTTTGCCAAAGGGGCTGTAAGACATAGGTTGGGAACTATTGCCCTGGATGAATATATTGAGTTTCTGGTCCTGAATGCTGGCACTTTAAATGTTATCTTCCCCTACCCGGTAGGGTCTGCCCTCTTCACTCACTGACTGAAGACTTTGATAGGAGGCAAATGTCAACAGTAAGAGTCACAGGGGTCACATGCAGTGTCTAACAGGGCTTTCTGTACAGCCCCTCCCATAAAGGACTGGTAAAAGAGAGACTACCATTGTACAAATGGTAGCAATTTCAGTCTTTCTGGTGTTTAATTCTGTTTCCCGGGTATTCTCCTGCCAAGGCTCAGGCTGAGTCAGCAGAAAACAGAGCCCCTTGCAGAAGAGCAGCATTCCTCTGGGACTCTGGGCTGAGTTCTTAGGAGATAGGAGGGTGTGCTCACGGGATGTTGAGGAGGCCTGAATCTGTTCCGAAGATCTGATTCAGATCGCCTAGAATGGCGCTCCAGCCCTCTCCACGCCCACTGCTTTGGATGCCAGGGCTCCGGGTGCCATTTATTTACTCTCTTGCAAGGCTTGGCTGGTATCAGAGAAGTAGTTAATGTTTAATGTGTCTTTGGATAGGTGGCTGTGCACATTTCTTCGCTTGTTCCTTTTACCCTTGAGTCTCCAAAAGAGGTCAAGGGTGAGGAGATAGCAAACTCTCACCTTGACTGCTCTGCTTGTTTCTCAGGGCTTCTTATCAGGCAGAAATGCCTAGAGTTTCGATTGCTGCCCTGATACAGCCCACAAGTTTCAAGGTTATAAAAACAGCACATCTAGGTTTGGCCTAGGTGGAGAGTAATGGGATTTTTTTTGGGGGGGGGTTGATTTTTGAGACAGGGTTTCTCTGTGTAACAGCTCTGGCTGTCCTGGAACTCAAAGAGATCCCCCTGCCTCTGCCTCCCAAGTGCTGGGATTAAAGGCATGCGCCGCCACTGCCCATCTAAGAACAGGCATCCTCTGCTCAGTCTGAGTCAGAAAGCTGGGTGTGGAGATGGGGTCCCAGCAGCTGGGCGCTAACTCGTTCTGAGATTATGTGGCACCATCGCATCACCTGCCACTACATTTAGTGCTGGTTTTTTACTGTTTACTTTATCCTGCTGTTGCCAGGGTAACCAAGTAACCTACAAATGCAAAGCTGAACCAGATGATGCACAGGGCTTAAGGTATGATGTAGTAAGAGAGGGTGTCCTTGGACTCTTGGTGGCAGAGTGGCTAGTGACCCGTACTTGAATGTGCTTGACACCTAGCCAGTCTTGAGATGTCTTCTGTAGGTGAGAGCCATTCCTACGTCACTTAGGAATTTGGGAAGACCCCCAGTTTTCTCAGCTACCAGGTTCTCCGGATGATCCTATTAGCATGCCTGAGAGCACCTTGAAGGGACAGCATGCAGATGGTGTGAAGCAGAGCTCTGTCCAGTAGCTCTTGAGTTGCTTCTGGGATAGGAATGGGAGTGCAGTGGGCTTCCCTCCTGGGAGGGACCAGAAGCCACCTACCCACGGTGCAGCCCAAGGCACACATGAAGGTACAAAGGTAGTATTTTCCTGTGAAAGTAAGAGGCACCACCTCACCCATTGGGAGAAAATATTGCATTAATTGTAGTGAGTCACCTTAGAGATTTATCACTCATTAAACATGGAATATTGGAGCCAAAAACAGCCCCATGAATCCACACCGACTCCTTGAAAATAATGTGTTTTGTTTTGTTTGGTTTTTCTTGTCTTTTACAGTGCCTATTGGGTGCTGGCAAATGCTAATCTAAACTAGCATTCCACAAAGTCTTTTGAGCCACTTGTTCTATGGGAAATAAAATCCTGTGAAAAAGCTTAGCGTGGTGGGCTGAAGCCTCCACCCAATAGACTTATTCCGACGGCATTGGCTTTTAATTGAGTTAGCTCTTTGACAGTCTCATACGTGTATATAATTTATTCTCGTTGCTCTCTCTCGCCATCCTTCCTTTCCTCCTACCCCGGTCAACCTTCTTCCTCCTCCCTACCTGCCCCTTTCCCCACTCTCCCAGATTCATGGCTTGGGACTTTGCTATGTGGCCCACTCAGTTTATCCAGAGCCATCTTTGTGACCAGTGGTGGGATCACCAGGGTATTCATGGAATTCACTCTCCCCCCTAGGAAATACTTCAGCAGTGAGGGGTAGGGCACCCTGAGTCCCTCCTCCATCCTTGCTTGGTTGTTGGTGGGCCCATTCTTGTGCAGACCCAGTGCCATCTTCAGAAGTTATTGGGAGGTCGTGATTACACGGATAGGCCATGCCTAGATGGTGACATCACACACTCACACACACACACACACACACACACACACACACACACTGCATTTCTGACCCTTTCAGTCTTTCTACCCACCCTTCACAATATTCCCAGAGCCTTGGCAGGGACCATATGGATGTCTTGTTTGGGACTGAGCACTCAACTGTTGCCTACACGCAGCACTATGTGCAGACATGTCTCTGCAGACAGCAGTTTTGAGTGGCTTTGCTGAATGTTAGGAATTGGTTAGTACACCCTGAGCCTGGACGATCGCTAATGAAATGCAGAGCTAAGACGGCTAAACTCAGTCTGCTCAAGGTTGTTCTTGAGTTTCTGTTTCCTTGGGTTTGGGATGTTGAGGAACTGACCTGGTGGAGAAATCCCAGGGCTACCCCACCCAGTGTTGATTGGCGGGTGGCTTCTTTGTTGTCCTTTCTCTTCTGGGCCCCTCCTCAACGTCTGAGAGCCTGGGAATCCTATGTGTCTGGCTTGGGACCCTGTCTTTTTCTCTCCCCAGCATCCTGCCCCATTTAAGGGTCTCTCCTAAGCAGGGGAGGAGCCTTGTGAGGCCTTGCCTTACCCTTGCCAGCATAGACCAGGTTGGAAGACCTAACTGAACCCAAAGCTGACATTGGCATTGAAGCAACTATTGGCAGAGGAACATGTACCCTGGCACCTAAGCCCCAAGTCCCCAGATCTCCAATAAAACATCCTGTCCCAGGACAATTTACCTTCTCTTAGAAGAGCAGCAGAAACGACTAAAACATAGTATAGTGTTACAAGCAAAATATGGATCTGAGTCATATAAAATTACTGTAACTCTAGCTCTCCTCTTTCTAGTTGACCTTGCAACTGAATTTTGCTCATAAGTCTTTTAGACTTTTCATTTTCCATAAAAAAACAAAAGTTACTCTAGACTTACCCCACTCTTGTGGACTATTTCCCACAAACAAATGTGAAGAAAGAAAAAAAAAAATCCTTGGAAGTTCAGTGGCAGCGATGAGGTGGCTTTCTGTTGGTGTTTGGTTTTTGCTATTGCTGTCGCCACAATGAACTGGAACTATTCCCCCCCCCCATAGAAGCTGGGTTCAGAGAGGACATTTTTCTCGTCCATTTGACACAGTCCAGGGGACCTCTTGTGAACGTGTGAATGGGGGGAAACGGGGCTATTCTCAGTTACTGCAGGGGCTGTGTTCATACGGCCGAGGGCAGAAAGACAGTGCCAGCCTTCTTGGAGGCAGGGTCATATTTATGATATTATTAACAGTGATTGCAGCTGACATTATTGGGCATATGCTACACCTCATAGGCGGTTCCATTCTCCTGTTCTCATGATAGCTCTGAGAAGTACATCATTAGGGGCCCTATTCCTTCTCTCAAGCCTGTAACCCCCCCCCCCCCATTTAGACAGACCCTTCTCTCCCAAACTCTTGTTCCCTGTGCTTGGGTTTAATTTGGTCTGAGATGGATTTTTTTTTTTTTTTTTTTTTTAATGAGAGCAATAGTATCTGCTACCAACAGAGCTGTGTGTCCTAACTGACCTCTCATTTAAGCTTTACCTTAATCATATTTAACAAGTAATTTTCCTAAAATCAAATCACTAAGTGGTTCAACTGGGTTTTGAACCCAGAACCCAAGCCCCCCCCCCCAACGTTAAAATATGTATTGCTTTTCATAATGAAATTACAAGTTAAACTCCTTGCTTCATAGAAGAAAAACCTAGAAAAGCAGCTAAGAGGAAGGCCAGAACCTCTTTTCCGACTAGCCCCCGTCTCTGCTCCCCGAATCCGTGCCTCTGCGTGCATTTGAGCCAGAGTCCGTGGCCCTCCGTGCAGACGGAGGGTGGAGTTCAGACACGGCCGGTCCACGGCTCCCTTCTACCTCTGAGCTTGCTTGGTATCTCGCTGCCAGGGCCTGAGCAGTGCTTTGCAGAAGCCTCTGCTCACTCGTGGCTTTGATTGCTCTCTTTTCAGGCCCAGCTTGGGACATTCTCCACTCCCATTCACTTCCCCTCTGGGAGCCCCTTTCACCACCCTGCGCCTTGCTTCGGGCGATGCCCAAGAGGGAGCTTTGGCCAGCAGGGCCTTGCTCAGAACCCGTGACCCACATCGGCAGCTGCGACAGCATGATGAGCACCACCTCCACCCACTCAGGATCTGTATGTACTCTCTCCCTCTTGCAACCTGGCCTGCTCCGCATACCTGTCCCACCCCGCCCTGCCCTGCCGTGCCACCCACCATCACCCACAGCATCTTCTCTTTCATCTTCCCCACCATGAGTGAATCACAGGATTCTTGCTGCTTCTGACTCAGCTCTGGCTCCACAGAGAACTGGGTGGGGACAACCTCAGAGAGCAATGGGATCAATACCCAGCTTCCCCGTTTTCATTAGACCTGAGGGCTTAGGTGGGGAAAGGAGCAGGCACTTAGGTCGTGGTGGAACTGGAAGGTAGATTCTTACAGCACATGGACTCTCAAAGTCCTCTGCATGGCTTCAGCTTTCCACAACAGGCAGAGGGAACAGAGCTGAATGCACCCAGCTCCCCTCCTCAGAAGCCCGTCTACCTTGGGCATATCATCAGTTTCTCTAAACTTCAGTCTCCTTGGTTTGGGGTTGTTTGTTTGTTTGTTGTGGAGACCCTGGCTTGTGGTCTCACAGTGTTACCCTGGCTAGGCTGGCATTCACTATTTCAACCAGGCTGCCCTTGAACTCGCAGAGAACCACCTGCCTCTGACTCCCAAGTGCTGGGATCGAAGGGGTGCACCACCACACTGAGCTAGTCTCAGTTTTAAAATGGGGAAAATATCAACACCTAATCATAATGGCTCTTGGAGGGAGTAATAAGGTATGTTTGTTATATGTTTTCCTGGGGAGGCTTGACGGAGCACAGACAGACCAAAGAGATGGTTCCTTTCCTAATATGGAGACTTACTTACAGGAGCATGGGTAACTCTGAGCATGGGTGACAGCTTAAAACCTACATCCCTGTAGTTCCCTGACCAACTAACTTGCAGAAAACTGTGTGTGTGTGTGTGTGTGTGTGTGTGTGTGTGTGTCTATGTCTCCCTCTTTCTCCCCGCCGTCCCCACCCCCCCGCCTCTGTCTACTATATATGAAACCTTGGGGAGGAGCCATGTGAATCTTGGAGCATTCTGAACTCCTTGGCAGTCTAAGTTTTGTCAGCCATCTCTTACAAGCTTCCCCCAAAGGGAGTGTCTGGGGTTAGAGGACAACTAAGCAGCATTAAGTAGCATTTAGAATCTAGGGCTAGGGTGCTGCCCAGCAATTTACTGATCACCTAGTGTGGGCAAGCCCTGAGTTCTATCCTCACTGCCTCATAAAATAAGAGAAAATAAAAGCTATTCTTTCGGAGTATATTGGCATACGCCAAATCTCAACACCTGGGCTGCGGAGGTCGGGGGTTCATGCTCTCCGCCAGCCAGTGCTATATAGTAAAGCTTTGTCTAAATAAAAAAAGGTTTATGAAATGGCTCAGGAGCTAGAGGTGGAGTTCTAGTCTCATAATCCACACGGCATGAAGAAGAAACTGACTCTTGCATGTTTCCTTCTGACCTCTCTACACTCAGGAGCACAGACATGCCCACAAACACACGCATACAAAGTGAATAACAAACATTTTAGGTAATAAGATCAATAAAGCCCTTAGCATTTAGCTCTATGTAGAAAATAAATGGCCCTCTATGAACAGAGATAGAACCATCCACAATCACAGTGTTTAGCTGTCTGTGAGGGCATGGAATAAGCTGCTTTTTTTTTTTTTCCTGGACATGATATTACATTTAGGTGATATAAGGTTGGGGTGAAGGAGTAAACATGACTTAAGCATTCCTTTGCTGTTAATCATTGTAACAAAGGGTTTGAACTTCATTGTTTTATGTCCTACAAGGTATGTGAGAATTTAGACCGTAACCCTGCAGGCACAATGTCCTGGGTTAGATCCCCACCGCCACCACAAACAACAACAACAACAAAACAGTTGAGTACCAGGTGGAGAGAATCAACAATTCAAGGCTATCCTCAGCAAGTTCAGGGCTAGCATAGGCTACATAGACCATCTGAAAAAATAAATAAATAAAAATAAAAAAAAAGGAAAGAAGCTGGGTGGTGGCAGTGAGCAGTGCCAGCACTCGGGAGGCAGAGGTGAATCTCTGAGTTTGAGGCCAGCCTGGTCTAAAGAGTGATTACCAGGATATCCAGGGCTACACAGAAAACCTGTGTATAGAAAGGAAGATGCTAATAAAAGGTTTCTCCTTTTTTTTTTTTTTTTAATTGTTGTTTTTGCTTTTGTTTTTCAAGATAGGGTTTCTCTGTGGTTTTGGAGCCTGTCCTGGAACTAGCTCTAAAGACCAGGCTGGTCTCAAACTCAGAGATCCGCCTGCCTCTGCCTCCTGAGTGCTGGGACTAAAGGTGTGTGCCACCTCCGCCCGGCTATAAAAGGTTTCTAGCAAATGTAAGCATTTATTTATTCTAGCTAGTGGGCTGGTTGGTTGTTGATTTGGAGACAGGGCCATGCTAGAGCTCAGTGTGTGCCCACCCACCGGGATGGTAGTCAATGAGTTTCATTACATAAAAGCAGAGCAGAAAAGGAAAAGCGCTTCAAACATATGCAGACTTCCCTCTTGACTTGAGAGTCTGGGGACACAAAGACAGCATCCTATTTCTGACTGATAGACACCAGTATGAGTGGTCACATTCCATTGGATAATCTATAAAGGAGAAATCCAGAGGGCAGTGATGAAGAGCTTTATTCAAGTTATTCCGAGAGCTGTTTGGGGGACTTGCCCTTGTTACGCAGGCCCAGTCAACTGACGGGTGACTTAAGGGCGGGCAGGGCTGGGGCAGGGGGCATTTATCAGCCTCTCCCCTACTCCCCAGGATATTCCTAGGACTCTCTGGCAACCTTCCCCGGCAATCTTGGTGAGTCTAGACAGTAACAGGAAGAGGGGTAGAAGCTATCTCTTGATAGCTCAGACCAAGTGTCACATCTCCCCACAGCTCCTTGTGGTTTTTTACCTAGCTGCAGGTGGCACCCGCCTGCCAGGTGGCTGCTGAGAGGAGGCAAAGTTAAAAGAGATGATACAGTTGCGTTTTAACTAGCCATGTTGTTGCCTATACCATTCACAATTAGACAGGAGACGGACTAGTAGAAGTATTGTCTGGACCACCTGGTCTGGACCATTAAGCCCCCTACCTACTGAGGACTAAGCAACAGGAAGTGTCCTTGCCGTCTGCCTACCTAGCCTTCAGAACTGGGTCCTCCTCAGGCCGACTGTTGCAGGAAGCAGCTTCCCTGGTGGACAGAGAAGAGCCAGCTTTGCAGTATTCTTTCCCTGTCTCACACCTCCCCCTCCCCTCACAATTCCTTCTCCCAACAGAGTGACAGCAGCTACGACTTCCTGTCTGCCGAAGAGAAGGAGTGTCTGCTCTTCCTGGAAAAGACCATTGGCTCCCTGGAGGTTGAGGCTGACAGTGGACTGTCCACGGACGAGTCAGAGCCAGCCACCAGTCCTCGAAGCTTCCGAGTACTACCCATCACCCAGCAGGCTCCCCAGGGTAAGAGACTGTCTAGGGAGGCAACTCTCAGAAATGTCTCTTTCTGGACACTTCTCACCTCACTTGGCCTCTGCTGCAAGCTCCTAGGCAGAAGGAACCCTGCAATCTCCAAGCCAAACTAAAGTCTCCAGAGTCGGGGGCGGTGGGGGGGGGGGGGAGGACTCCTGAGAAGCCAGCTTCTGTTCTGGTGACTTTCTATGAAGTAACAGAGGCCTAGGAGGGAGAGGGGTTTGGCTAACTCCCTTCTGTCAGGGAAGAACTCAGAAAGAGATATATTACAGCATGTAGGGAGGAGTCAGGGAGGCCCAAGTAGTTGGCCCAGGAGAGACTGACTCAGCATCGGGAACTGATCTGAGTGACACAGAGAACCAGACTGTGGGAGATAAGAGAGGCGTGTCGCAGCAACACATGGTACCTTGAGGCCCCTGTAAAGAGACCCCAGGAAGACCGTGGAGTTTCGTTTCAGTAGAAGAGGATGGAGTGGCGAACAGGCGACGTTGGGGAATGTGTCCCAGGGGAAACAGAAAACATTGCTACTATGCACAATCCCAGTAGTATCGTTTATTCATTCAGTAAATACTCATGAATACTTAACATAGCCTTGGGCCCTCCATTTAGACTGCGTAGAAATGGAAACTTCATGTGCCCTGAGGCTAATTCACTGAGCCTAGTGGACCTCACATACCTGGCAAGATCACTAGGCAAGATAGCCATGTCACTCACAGGTACAAGGTACTGTGCTGTCCAGAATCACCCAGTTCTGACAGAAAGGGAAAGTAGAAGGCCAAAGCATGTCAAGTTGACAACAGCAGCTTCTACTGGGCTCAGTTACCTGGGTTCCCTGAATCAGCACAAAGGCCATCTTCACATCTCTCCCATAGAGAAGTTGCTTTGAAGCAACTCAGAAGTGATGTCTTCCAACCACTGTGAAAAATCAGTTTCCTGTCAAAAAGAATCCGTCATTTTTGACCTACTCATCTACACGACCTCCAGAAAGCAGTGCTGCCCCGTTAAAAGTGGGCAAAGTCAAACCAACCCCATTCGTGCAGGGGGGCGGGGTTATGTGCTTTCTGCTTGACAGCAGCAGGCTCTCTCTGTTGAGTCTTAACTCCTGTTCTCTCTAATCCCCACAGGAAACCCCGAGGTGATAGACATTCAGCAAGTGCCTTCGCCAAAGAAAGTGGCCCAGACCTCTGGTCCTCCCAAGTCGCCCAGTCTAGGCCTCAGATCTGGTTCCTACAGCCTTCCCAGAAACCTCCACCTCAGCAGAAGCCAGAACCTCAGGGAAAGTGCCACTCAGACTAACAGCCGTGGCTCTCAAACACCTGGGGTGTTCTTAGAGCCTGAGACAGGACGGAGCAGCCCTGAGCCCATCCAGCCACCGGCCCCATCCAGGGGAACTACCCTTGATCTGAACACAGTTCTCATCCCCCCACCAGAGGCTTTTCGGGACATTAGGCCAAAGCAAAGTGGGGAAGAGAGCCCACTTAAAGAGCTAGGAGAGAAGAGACACACACCACAGGCCCATACGCTGGTCAGCTCCCCGAAGAAAGAGCCTTCGGAAGCCATGTCCCATAAAGCCGCTGAGAAAGGCTGGACAGAAGATCCTCAACAACCACAGCTGCCTCCTGCCCAGTCATCTCAGAATACAAGAGCTGAAGAGGCTCCCTTACCATCAGGGCCCAAGTCACATACCCAACAGGCTGCCCTCCCAGCCCCAAAGGCCCGTAAGCTGCCTCCTAATATCGTTCTGAAGAGCAGCCGAAGCAGTTTCCACAGCCAACCCCAGAACTGGCTGTCAAATCACACAGAGGCTACGGACTCTGGGCCTGCGCCTTCTTCCCTGCAGGAACAAAAGAAAGCCCGTAGAGAGGCTCTGGAAAAGTTAGGGCTGCCCCAGGACCAAGATGATCCCAGCCTACTTATAAATAAACACACCAGTACCCTCAAAGTCAAGGAGGCTCAGGCTCAGAGCCATTCCCAAGCCCCGGCCATGGTTCAGCAAGCATCTCCAGCTCTGGTCCCAGAAGCTGCTTCTGCCCAGGGGAAAGCTTCTCCGATGAAGGCTGTTGTTACTCCTGTGGCCTCTTCAGGCAAGAGTTGGGTTCCTGCTCAGGAAACCCCTCCAGAGAAGGTTGCAGCTGCCAAGTCTGTGCCCATTCCTATCCCTAAGACCTCAAAGGTAAACAGTTTCCTAACACAGCCCAAGCCTGACGCCCCGCTGACCCTGAAGGAAAGTAGCATCCCTGGATTGAGACAGATAAACTTCAAGTCCAATACCCTGGAGCGCTCGGGCGTGGGATTGAGCAGCTATCTCTCGGCAGCCGAGAAAGACCCCAAATGCCAAGCCAGCACATCTCTGGGAGAGAGCCCCACCTTGGACAAGGTTTCGCCCAGCGTCTTGCGTAATTCCCGGCCCCGGCCCGCCTCCTTGGGCATGGCAAAGGACTTTACAGAAATCCAGGGGGGCAAGATGGTTGGCCTGGGGCAAGGCCAGCACTCCCGGCAGCTGTCCTTCAAAGGGCAGAGCCCCGACAAGCTGCCTCGACCCCTCTGTGTCAGTGTCAAGATAACCCCAAAGGGCATTTCCGATGGACACAGGAGGGAGGCGCTAAAGAAACTGGGACTCTTGAAGGAGTAACTAGGTCACTGGCCTAGCCCGCACCAACCCACCAGAAGAGACTGACTCTACATAGAGCCTTGGCAGCCTCACAGCGCGGCTCAGGGCCGGCGTTCCCCCCCCCCCCCTGTCTGAGGCGAAGAAGGAAGAGGCTCGAGGCCAAGCACATGTCTGTACTCAGAGCAGTTGTGTTGTTGAGTACTTGCATAGACCACGATGACTCTCCCGGGACGGGAAGGGAGAAGGACAGAGCAAGAAGCCTTAACATATATCACTGACACTGTTTACGTAACACAAGGCGTCACTGTGCAGAGCTCTGTTCTCGGTTGCGATTTTACAAGTGTACAGTTCAGCCTGTCCCAGAACTGAGTGGAGCCGAGTGGCCAAACCTGAGAAGCAAAGTCTAAGGAGACAAAAGTGGTAGAGAACTTAAAAAAAAAAGATGAATGACATTGCACACGTGGCGTGACTGTGGTCACAGGAACCGTGGGATGAGTTTTTACAGTAAATGGAGACTGCTTCGTATCTGCCAGGCCTCTCTCTCAGGGTCTTCTGGGAAAGGCCAGAGGTCGGGGGGGGGGGGTGCTGTTAGTATCTCTTTACCCAGTCCCTTTCCCTGTGGTTCCTTGCAGTGTATGTAGGACATGTCCCTGTCTCTAGATCTCATAGTTCACTGATGGTCACTCACTCCCGGCTCTGAGAAAGCTGAGTAAAGGGCCACACCACACACCCCTCCATTTCTATCTGGAAAAGCCCATGCCATGGGCTTGAAGAATATAAGAATAAACTGTGACATGACGTGTGACTCTGGAGTCACTGTTCTTCCTGCTTTCTGTCTCCCTGGCTGGTTGTAGAACAGGTCAGCACTGAGCTGGAAACCCAGTCCAGTGACTTATAAATTCAGAGTTGTTCCTGAACTTTTCCCTGCTATTCAAGTCTTCAGGTTTCCTGGGGGCTGGACAGGTGCCTCCATGGTTAAGAGTGTGTAAGACTCTTGCAGAGGACCAAAGTTCAACTCCCAGCACCCACTCACAACTGCCTGTAACTCCAGTTCCAGCTCCAGGGGATCCAGGGCCCTCTTCTGGCCTCCAAAGACTCCTGCACTCACATGCACACACTCATACACAGACACACTTGTGTAACTAAAAAAATTCATGAGTTTTTTTTTTTCTCTTGAGAAAGTTTTCAGGTTCCCTCAGTTCCAAAGATGGAACAGAGGGAAATTCAGTGCCAGAGAAAGGAGGTGCTGGGCCATATCATCCCACCATTTAGTAACACGGCAGAAGCTGACCCCAGAACTTGAAGTATTCACATGAAACAGCTCACCAAAGTGCTTGTCATGTCAGTCATATTGTCACCCCACACTGCCATCATCGCCTCTTTAGCCAGTGTTCTTGTATCTTGTCACTATCAGAGACTCAGCCTCAGGCCCTTCAGAGTTCTACAGCATCTTCCAAAACACCGGGATTGATATTTGGAATAAATTGTGATGCTGTTTATTTTCTCTTTAACAAGGGAATAAATTGTAACTCATTCTTAATAATTCAGAACAATTCTTCCTCCAGATTTCCCAACAAGTTACATATGTATTGAGTGAGATGGGTAAGTCCTGTGGCCTAAATGACCAGGTGTGGCCAGGCATGATCGTCCTTTCCTTACAGTAGTGTATCCTGTGACGACTCTGAGCCAGGGGTAGTGGAGATGCCCAGAAGAGAGAAGCAGGTAACTGACTGCTGCTGGGAAGATGCCCTTTAATCCCCCGATCATTAGGGACCCATCGATGTCAAAGATCTACCTCTGAGAATGATGAGGTGGTTAGGGATAAGGGCAACAAATAGCTCCACCCTATCATGGTATGTGAGGTGTGGGTGTGGCAGTTTCTGTGTGCATTCTTTACACGCCCCCACATACTCACACACCCAAACGTCTGCTACCCGGTTCCCAGCCGCAGGTGAAGATCAGATCTCTCAGAGCTGGTGAGGGCTCCCACATCGACCAGGCTCTGTCATTACGGGCTCTGCAAAGGCAGAAGGCCAATTCCAGAGGACTAACTTGTGTTTCCAGACACAAGCTGGTTCCCTGTTCATTCACTGCGTGATCAAGGCAGAGCCGTGAGTTACACCTCAATTGATACTGAGGCGTAATGGGAGTCTAGAGACATCACGAGGCTGACTTTGTGCTGGTGAGAGGTGCTGTCTGTCCCAACTCCGTCCACGGGAAAGGGAACTTGACACTGTACTCACCAGAGCCACATACAGCCTGTACCCGCCCCTCTTCATCTCCACCACAGTGATAGGTCCATTTCCCCACTCTCTCAGGGTGAACAACTCCTTTCTGTTTTATTGAAGAACCACGCTTCCCCATGTGCTTGTCCTTCCGAGGATATCCTGCTTTAAAGAGTTGAGGAGAGCCTGAGGATAACGTTTGCAGCACCAGCATGAGGATCTGAGATCAATCCCCTGGGCGCACGTGCACACACACACACACACACACACACACACACACACACACACACACACACACACAAATAAAAAAATAAAAAACCAGGCTTGGTGGTGCATGCTTGTAATCTCAGTTCTGGGGAGACAGAGACAGCAGGATTTCTGGGTTTCCCCAGCTTCACCCACACAAGGAAGGGCATATGGGATGTTTATCAAGATGCAAGAATATGAACCCAAACTTGGCCATCTTCATTTTGAAGAGAATCAGAAAGGTCCAGTGGGGACATCCATCTCCCCAAAGGCGAGGCTACACCCAGCTGGCCTGACTGGTCTGTCCTCTTGTGCCCAGACAGGAAGGAGTTCCCTTCATCCTCTTGCACTGGTGGAGTGGGAGGTGGGGTGGGTTAAGAGCTGCTCCTCTTGACAGACATTGTAAAGCCCTACGTGTAATTTTAAAAGCCAAGCTGACTGCTTTGATTTCACTTGGATCTTAGATGTCTGTCATCTCCCACCAGAGTGGTGGGAACCATCTTCCAAATATAGAAGGAAGCTTCCCCCAAGCCTGGCACAGTGGACTACATGCTCCCTAGATGTAAGGATGGCTGCCTCCCTGAGTCACCACCCATGTGTTACCCGGGGGAGTACGGCTTGTGATTCCAGAGAGACACAGCAGGCCTACAGGCCATCTTACCCTGCAGTCTGGACAGGCCCACTCACCTCTGTGCATCCCCACAGTGGAGGAACAGTTTGGCAGAAGCCGTCCTGTGACCTGTGACCTGCGGGTGGGCAGTTGTGCAAGCATTGGCATGTGTTTTATGGCAGGGAGGCAGGTTTAAGAGGGGAAGTACAGGCTGAGTCTGGCCTGGAAGTGAAGGAATGCGTGGGTGCGGGAAGACGTCCCTCTCCCTTCCATGACTTCCGTGGCTGTCTGTGTGGGCACACAGATCATAGGATCAGAGTGTGACGCTTCAGTCTCATTGATCCAGGACAGACGGGTGAAGAAATCCTGTCCATCTCCATCATTCTATGCAGGATTGCAGGTGTGACGCTTCTCTGAACTTTTTGTCTTTGAGTAACTATGGAGCAGGCAAACCCATGTTCGAATTTAATATTCATTTTTTGACCAATCAAGTAATCCTAGGGTACACTTTCTGAATCTTATTGTTTTCATAAGTGAGGTAGGGGTAGTGTGACCCACCGTCTGTTTGAGGTTGTCAGGATAGATAGAGCACACTCATAGGCACACAGTAGCAACTCAGGAAATCAGTGTTGCCCTTCAGACGGAGGTGCCTCTTTCTCAGGGGAGGACACAAGGTTCGAAGCCAAGTGAGGGCTCAGGTAATAAAATTCTGCAAGGAACTTGCAATATATGAAGTCCACAGTAATCCTGTCTTCTTGGGCTCACCCTCCAGGTGATACAACCATGCCCACATTTTGTTTCCTGGAGTTGGAAAAGGAAAGTATCTGCATGAATCTGGTGTTTACGTCTTGTCGAGACTGAGCCAGATGTTTCCTGCTCCCGAATCCTCAAAACCAGCTTCCGTGCTTGCGGACCTTAAACTGTCTGTGACCAGACTGTCAACTTCTTCATGTTCCTGATAACTTATGCGCCAGTAAGGACGTGTGCCCAAATCAAGAGATAGAAGCTAAAAATGTTTCGAGATTCTGGAATACTTCATAGAACCAAGATCAGCATCTCTGGCATGAATCAGCTGTTGGTTTGGAAGAGAGAATGGGTGTGTGTGATACGCTCTCTCACCCTTTCTGGGGTTGGGATTCTATGGATTACAGGAGCCGGATCACCATGACACTCATCATTGGCACTGAGCTCACACACGAGTTAAAGACAGGTAGCATCCTAGACTGTCATTCTCTTGCCTGGTACCCAGCAGGGTCTTCATCCTTAATGACTATATGCCAAGAAATGGAGTTCGAAATAGCGTGAGATATGATGATATCCCAGGAAAGTCCTGGGCCAGTGAATTTCTGTCTTGCTCATACATGGGGTAGGAGAAGCAGAGTAGGTCCGTTTTACAGCACTGAAATATGTCCGCTCTTCCACATTGTCAATCTGCTTCCAGTCCCCACCCACCCAGAAAGCAGGAAGATATCTGTCCCATTGCACTAGTTTTCACTTTAAGAATAAGGTGCCTGAGAAAATACACACATATTTGTACATAGGCCTATGCAAAAGAAAGTACAAGAGCAAACTAAAACACTGATACGATTGATTACCGACAGAGATCAGGCAGGAAGCCGTGGAAATAAAGGAGAGAATTCACTGTTACGCCTCCTTCCATAGTTCCTTGGTAACATTCCACACAGTCGTCACATAACAAGCAGGCAAACCAACACAATGTGGGTAGAGGGAGAAGTGAGTCCAAAATGGGCTACAGACAATAGAGTAACTGTGCTAAGAATTGCACCAAGGGGCGGGGACAAGAAAGGAAACTAAAGTAAGAAGCTGGTCCAGGGAGATGGCTCAGTGGGTACAAGCATGAGAACCTGAGTTCAAATCCCCAACACCCAAATATAAAAGCCAGTGTCTGTAACCCACGGCATTGGGGGTTGAAGAAGCATGTGAATCCTGAGAGCCAGCAAGCTTCTAATTCAGCAAGAGGCCTGCTCTCAAAGAAATAAGGTGGAATGTACCCCCCCAACACACGCACAGGAGCACACACAAACTCAAGCGTGCACACACATGAGCATAAACACATGAGTATACACACACACACACACACACACTATTTTGACTATGTCTTTTTTTATTTTATTTTTTTAAAGGACAGACACTATTTCAAAACTGGGTGTCTCCCGTTTGTCTGTTAGGATAAGCACTTTCTGTGTATTACAGGAATGAGTAAGTGATCGCATTATTAATAAAGAAGACAAATTTATTACTTCTGGGAGAGGGGGCTAGAAAGTCTAAAACCAAGACTGGAATGAACCCTGTGAGCTGGTGTGGAATTGGAGGCATCATTAGCTTGTAGGTAGGTGGGAGACAGCTAGACAGGCAGACACATGATAGATAATTATAGACAAAACCATGTGCACACATATATTTGGACATCTTTCCTAGCTCTCTCCTTTGAAATAATCTGGGAATAAAAAGGTTCTCCCCTGGGGGCTGTGAGC